CAGCATCAGTTGCGCTTCATTGTGTTTTATTTGAGAGCCTGGCAACGTTGTGGTTCCTGCCTAAGATGTTTTTGTTTTTGTTGCGGTCTGCTGCTGTTATCGTATGTTAACACTTCATATGAAATGCGCCTCCATCATCATTGGAATGACCTTTATGTAACTGGTAAGCATGCTACTTGCTTGCTTGCTTGCTTCTTCTTCATCTTCATCATCTCGCTGTTGTTATTGTTATTATTGTAAGGTCCTTTTGGGCATTTGGCACCCAATTGCCAAGAGACTACGAGAAAAAACAGAAGCGCAAGATTTTGCCATTCAACACGCTTAGTTAGTTTTTGAAACGTTGGCGTGCAAAATGTCAAAATATATTTTAGTTGAATTTATGGTCATTCTCAATGTGTGTATGTGTGTGAGTGCTTGTAAGTGTGCGTGTGTGCCTGTTCGTGGGAAATGGATGAATGAATAGGCTCCTAGGTTAGTGCTTTGCTAGAGATGGGTGCAACATAAAATATGTTGTTTTTCTATTTGACATCATGTGTTTTTTTCTTTTTGGCACACTACGAATGCCTAATAAATAATATTAAATTCTCAACAAATAACAATCCTTCATGGGCTTTTTCAAAACAACAATAAGTATATGCGACAAAAATTCAGAAAAATGTAAATCTTAAATCATTGCAAGTCCATGTTATTTCCTTATTTTCGCTTGAGTTGAGTTGACACGAAATGAAGTATAGGATTAACTTCTCATTAAAGTGTAAAGTGGTTTCAAAAACAGCAGAATACCCGATAGAATGTATATTCTTTTGTTAAGCTGCTTAGTGCCTCTAGTGTGTTTATTAAAAACTAGAATAACAACTTTGCACCAAATTCATAAACCATCGCACCTATATGGATAAATCGTCCGTCAATGTCACAACATTTACAATTAAAAATAATTAATTGAAAGCGATGCAGTCAAAATGTATTGCTACGATTCCTTTCTACAAGCATAAAAGGACATGCGAAAAAAAATTTGTATAATTAAGATGTATTAACCTGATTTTAATAAGTCATATATTAATTAAATGCCAACTTAACAATGTTATTTGAGTTTTTTATGTCTTTTTTTGAACGACTATGTATTTTTCTGAAAACTCACTATTATAAGCTTCACTTTATGAAAAAGTTCTTTTCACACTCACGATTAACGTACATCCCCACCTTGAAGCTCTTTCTTGTCGTGCTTGACCATGCCCTTGTGTGTGTCTTTTAGTTATTTTGGGGATTTACACGCCGCTTATTATACACACACACCATAACATGCTCGTATCTAAAAAAGAAAATATTTTCTACATTTCATGAAGGCCCACATACACACACACTCACGCATACACACGCACACACATGGCAACTTTAATTCGATTTTAGTAACATGGTTAGCAGCCATATTAAGTTTGCTCAAACGTTCGTTTCACAGCCACTTAAAATAGATTAGCTCTCAACAAGGCTGCCAGTAAAAAAATAATAATAAATTGCTACCATAACTCTCATCTGCGAACGCTCTATGTCTTTATTTCGTAAGCAGTTTTTTTTATTTTATTTTTTTGTTAGCCTCCTACAAATAATAGAAAATCCATTGAAAACACAAGCAACTGTCAATGATTTAATGCTTGAAATCACAAGTTTTTGCAGCCCAAAGTCAAAATGGCAGAAAATATGCGTGACAGGAGAGAACGCAAAGTTCAGAGCCCACAATTTGATAAATGAAATGACAAACGCTTAAACACAACATTTCAATAATGGATGAAAGGCAAACGAAAATGAGAAATTGGAAATAGGCGTATAAATGAAAACATCAAGTGGACGAATCTGCTTTGGGATTGTGCTCCATGTGTGCCATATTGAAGAGGTTCGAAAAGGCTAAAGGTTTTGAATTTTGCTTACCTTGAGAAATGAACATACTACAAGTTTACAATATTTTTTGAAGATGTATAGTATAGCTACATATATTGTGCGTCCTCTTTTCTGAGTGCTGTACTTGACGTACATTAAATTTTGAATTTAGTTTTACAATTTTAAATTTTATGCTTACTAGAGTGTCAGTTTAGTTATAATTTCGTTTAGTTATCATTTTGTAAACATACATAAACATAATGTTATAACTCTTCTAAACTCAGACTTTAAAATACATATTATTACAATACTATAGTATGTAGTAGTGTTACAAAGATTATTGTTGGACTCTGTGGGATACATTAATGTGGTTGAAGTAAAATTTTTGCCGTCGTTAAACATATCATTAAACTAGGAGTGCGTCAATATTCTTTTTTAAAACCCATGTCTCCATTTAAAGCTCGCTTTCATGTTGGAATAGTGAAAACGCAAAATTTAAACCTTCGCAAAACTATAAACTACACACCAATGAGGACCTTTGCTGGTATATTTTTTATTTTTCTTTTCACACGCTAGCATCGCCTTAGGAGCCTTGAATTTATCTTTGACAATACATCAGCATGCTTAAAGAAAATAGGCTAAAGGCAAAGGCATTGCTCCTCGCTCCATCACTACCACTTTTGAGGGCAATCAGTATACAGCTATGCCGGCTGTTGTGGGTATAATGTTCACCTAAAAGGAGAAAAATCACTCATTCCGTCGTTTGGTCGTTTTGCCAACAAAAGGTCAACATAGGCAGCCCAAACCGAAATGCCAAATTGTTTGCTTATGCAAATTTTCGGGCTGGAGAAGAGCAAGAAAATGCAGAGGCCTCTTGCTTTCGAGCGATTTGTTTTGTGGCAAAGAACTGAGACGAAATGTTGCTTAGCAATCTGTGTATTCGCTCCTCATGACGATGCTAATGATAATGATGATGATGCTGATGGTGATGACGATGATGAATATACCAATATCATCGTTAGGTCTACGCAAATGTTTAATAATGGCCTAACACAATATTTTTGTAGGCCAGGGCAGAGACAGCACAGCACAATTCTTATTTATTTTATTTTAAAATGCGCTCAAAAGCGCGCTATGAAAAATTTGCGGTTACATCTAATGGACTGATAAGAAAGCAAGAACAACGAAATAAAACATTTTGCATGTAATGTGCACACTGGCATGCCTTAATATCATAAGCAGCCATGTCATGCAATTTTTATGTCGTTCCTCGTTATTTCTACTCATTTGTTTCGCACACAGAAGCAGAAACAGAAGCAGACACACTTTAAAGAGATGGAAAATTATGGTTTGGGGGCATGCTTGTACTATATTTTACTATTTCCTTAAACGATAATAAAATGCAGACTATGCCATCATTTATCACTTGCATGTGTGTAAATTTATGATTTAGAGCTTAGTTATGAGCGGGTATTGCCTGCGCTGACCAGTTTATAGCCTACCTGGCCTACCTGGCTACATAAATCTCTATTTTAAAGTCGCCTGCATTGATTTGGATGCAGTAGCTTAACTAAAAATGGTAAACAAACTGTTTTGCGGGTTTTGTAGTTTGATAAACACAAACTACCCTTTTCATTTGTTTTAATAGACTATCAAAATTAATGATTTTGGAAAACCAAAAAAATATGAAGTGGATGAACTTTAATATAAATATATTTTGCAAGTAACTATGTTGAATCTTTTGAACAATTTGTGTTGTAACTTTTGTTAAAAACGAAAGGACAAATTTTCGAAAGCGAACATTAAATTATATATGTGTATAAAGAAATAAATATTTACAAGGCATCGAACTCAAATATATTTGGAAAGGAGCTTTGTGGCCTTTTCAACAAAAGAGTCAAAGTATATGTTGTGCTTAAGAGAGTTGAAATGAGGAAAACCTATTGTGTATGCAAGCCTGTATGGAGAGGTATTTATATCAGATCAAATAATACTTAGCTACTTATTTAAGAAAGACTCTTCATAGCAGTTGTCTAAACCAATTTAAATTATTCGCTGTAAACTAAATAATACGAGATGTGTGTATTATTGCAAACATTTCCACTACTAGTTTAATTAACTATCGGCGCTTTTGTTTAAGATATAATATTGTTAATGTACTAATCCATTTAATCCAGTTTCGATATACACATAAGCTTTAAATGTTGAGCTTCAAACATGCAAACTTTTGCCGCCCTTTTTGTTGTTTTCTATCAAACTCTTTAAAATGTGATTAAATGGGGCGTTGATGGACATGCTTTCTCGTCGCATTTTATCTGCTAGTTCAGAGTTTGTCTTTGAAGTCAGTCACACGAGCGTCAAAAGGGCGACCTTTTTGTAAATTTCTTGTAAAGGTCATTGAATCACCATAATTAACACGCGCTCTGCTTTAAATTTAATGAGTATTGCTTAACATTTTAAATAGGACACATAGATACGTCTTACTCGTTTTTAAAGCAACTATTTGTCACACTTAACGTCACGGTCACGGTGTAATTTAGTGGCAATTTAGCATATCCCTAACCAATTGCATTTACACACAATTTAATTTGTCATAAAGTTTTCACTAAGAGCTCGCAAGTGCTATTCAGCCAAATAGTTCAAATGGCGATGTTTGGCGCACATAAAACTTCAACTTTATCGCTGCTCAGCGGTTGCTTTTACTGTTGGCTTTTATTGGTACTTTTAGCGCATGCTGCGCCCCTGTCAGAGAATTCTGGACGTATGTAGAAATAATGAGAAGCCTAGGCTATACTCTTAGTTTAATTAAAAGTGTTCACCGTCTTCAAACAGCTTGTGGCAAGAATGAAGAGCGCGCCTGTGTAGCATGCGCAGAGCCCTCCTGCAACGTGCCGTACATATACGATCCTGCATGTCCGTATTTCATATTCTGTCGCCTCGGGTGTACCTGCAAATTTGGATATTTGCGGGACGACAATACGAACATCTGTAAGTCAGCTCAGGAGTGCAATATCTTTGACAGATTTGACAAAAATGACATCGATACGAAACGAGGCATGAAACTCTCGCTTGAAGCAGCCGAATCCAATTAATTTATGTGAAGATTATAAAACATCTTCACACTTGCACTGCATTCCAAATAGAAACGTCTTAAGTAGTTAACAAAATGTCAGCACAACAATTGCTGGTCTTAACAATATTCCTTTTTATGTTTGTGAAATGTTTGTGGGCACAGGAAGGAGACCCTCCCATATACGAACTAAGAAATAAAACACGTGAGTGATTTGCCATTAAAAAATATCTGGAATCTTATTTTCCTAAATGCTATTTCCATATTCTTTGATTTAGTCTGCATTGATGAGGTGCTGGGCTATGTGATGTGTTACCGATGAGCTTATTCGATAAAAACCCTAATTATTTTGTAAAAACAAAAGCGAAATGAATGAAATAAAAAAAAAATGAATAACACAACTTTATCTTAATGGGCAGAAAAGTCAGCTTTAACACTAAGAATTGCAGCGTGAAGATAAGGTCAATGCAAGGCAGCATTTGTTTATTATTATAGTTTTTAATTTTTTAGACTCTTTGCAACTTTTTCTCTACACGAAGAAATTGAATGTACAGATTTGGAATACACTATCATACAGATCTTATACACGTGAGAGTGTTGTATTTAATTACTAATTGTGTAACTTTTCTTAGTTTTGTGTCCGTATTAATTTTCTATAAATGGTAGTAGAAATTAAATTTCTTCCTAATAAACATAGAGAAAAGAATGTAAGTTTGTGTTGCTTGATGTGTTCTGACTTTGTTTATAGTCTAAATTATTTTTTTTTTATGAATGAATGTATTGCGCAGATAAGGTGAAAAGTAGCTCGTGGGTCTGGAAGCTACTAAAGAACTAATACAACCTAAAAGGACAGAGGAACCTACACTTCACGCAGCAATTTGTTGAAGAACACAACACCACAAACGACAGCAGGTTAAGAAGCAGCAGTGTGCTAGAGTAGAGTGAAAAGACTGCAATACGTATCGAGGGACAATTTAAAGAGCAGCAACAGTTGCCACTCTTCGAGCCCACAACTAAATAGTAATACTGTCAGGCCCACAGGGAGAACGAATGTGTTTTCATATCATAAGTATATCATTGGGAATACAAATGTTGTTCAGCCAATGAAGTACAGATAAAAGACGCAGAAGAATACGTGAATTTAAAGGAAATTTTCAAATAATTCAATAATTTCTCTAATCGAGGTAGTTTTCACGGGTCTGCCTTATCATGGGAATTAAAAAGGAAAACTAAAAAGTATGCAATAGAATTTTTCTTGCCAGAAATCTGTACTTTAAATTAGAAACCACATTTTCTTATTGGAAACGACAATGGTTTCCTATGGGATTTATCAAATTCAAATTGAGAGAGAGCAGATCTGCAATTCCCCTTCGGGTTTGTGTCCATGCTAAATAAAAGTCGGTTTGCAGAAGCATTCGCTGTTCCGTCATTTTCTGCCATTTTATTATCGCGTTTTTATATTTCTCGCGAACACACACAAGCACACACAAATTGTCGTGGCGTTCCGCAGCACTGACACACATTTACAGACATTTTTTGTTTATGTATTTGCGTTTGCTACTCTTTATGGCTGCCACAGTCAAATTGTATCTTGAGTTTGTTTCGCCAAAGTTTTATTGTTTATTTTTGTACGCTTAAAAATTTATGTGTGCCAAGCACTTTGACACAGTTGTGTGTACGTGCGTGCGTGCGCATGAGTCTATGTGTGTTTGTGTGACTAAGTAAGTACATAAAGCATTCAGATATATAGTATGTACGTAAGAGCTTGTATGGCGATCTTAAATCTCAACGCACTCACACAGACAGGCATAAATATTAATTTAGTTGTTGAAAGTTTCGACTTTTGTCGCTCATTTTATTTGACTTTTGCTCTGCTTGCACTTTGTTTATATACATAGTACATAGATAAAAATTATGTCTTGGGCATAAAAATTGATGTGCTCTGGTTTGCACATTGCTTTTAAGCTTGTTTTTATTGCCGTTCGCTTGTGGCTTCTTCTAGGCATTTGTCTTTGTTTGTGTTCTTCTTTTGTTGTGTTGGGCATTTTAGCTTAATGGGCGGCTGGCAAGTGGTTTACTTGCAACATTTTGCCAATTTGTAAACTGTCCAGGCCTATTCTTAGCCGACGAGGCAGAAAATGGAAGGCATTAATGGAACGCAATTATTACAAGCCACATTTAGTTTGAAATTAAAATTCTCGAAAAAGAAAACTCTGTTTTCTTTATTATGTATTTTTAAAGTGAGGTATATAACTACTTAAAATACTATTTTGTATTCGACCAGTATGCCCGAGGGGATTAAACGATGCCCAAAAGCACGCTATAATTTTACGCTTCTAGTATTTCGTGTTGACTCGTCAATACATGAGCACGTTGGTCAATTTGAAAATAGTTTCGCGGTAAACATTTAACATCATTGTGGTACAGACAGACCTAGACAAATGGCGCTCGCTAAATCAAACACCGTAGAGTATTATTACACATCCTGTTTATTTAGGCTGTCGATCAATACTCATCTAACGAGCAAACATTACTTTTGAAGTGTGAGCGATACAAGCAGCATTTATGCATGTAATGTGCTTTGCAATTTTTTGTTTTGCTATTCACTTATAGATCAGATAAGTTAAAAAGTTAAAAAACTAACAATTAATGTCAACATACAGACCCAAAAGAGTCACTTCTTTGTCTGATATCTTGTTTTTGTTCCCAAATTATTTACATGTATCTATCTTTCATACTTTCAAGTTATAAGCTCAGATCTGGTGATCTCCAAATAACTCAATATAATTCAATATAACTCTTTCAACGGGATCCTACTTAACTGGAAAAAGAAATTTGTTAAAATTGTGCTCTTTGTTTCCAAATTTAATTGTTCATTTCATTATAAAAGCCACGTCAGACTGTTAGCCAAACTACATACAAGTATATATTTAAAAAAATATATATTTACACAATGACCTGATTGACTTGCAGTTTTCGTTTCCCCTTTTCAAACGAAATTCGTTTTTTTAATTTCTTAGAAAGTATGACAGTAAAATCCGCTATAAAGTTAAATAATTATATAAAAATACATTGGTTATAATTTTTATGAAATATAGAAAAACAATTGTAGAAGGTACGACTGTACTTTGCGTTTATGGGCATGTTTCTCTGCATTATGGTTATGTTCAACACACATGCTTAGGCACATATTTCATTTAATAAACTTCAACAGCAGTTTAACGGCAGGGTGGCTATGAGTGTGTGTTTTTTTCGCACGCCTGAGTTTCTATTAAATTCGCCATAAAATGATTATTATTATTATTATTTTATTATTTCGTCATGTTGCCAGCCGTTTAGGCAACTGTTCAGTTTTTTTTTTGTTGTAGCCAAACATAAAAAGCAATTAAGGCAGCTAACACATAACAAGCACAGCTGTATATTTTTATGTATATGTGCTGAATTTTGTGGTTATTTGAGTTTCATGCTCATGCAAGTGTATAAAAGTCTGCATTGGAATCAAATCAAATGACCAATTAGTGGTATAATTTTTTTTAATTTGCCATTAGTTGTATCGAAAATGCTGTGAAAAATATATTAAATGTTTAATAGTATTCTAAAAAAAAGATGATTAATTTTTATGCAAAGCTAATTTGCTTATTATTATCACAATTGCAATAATGAAGTTCCTGAAGCTTGATTACAATATCTATATCCACCAAATTGTTATAATCGTTAAAAGAGTAATTTGTAATTGATATCGATCCAAGAATATGCACTACTTTAGTTACTACTTTATAGTTACTATTTGTGGACAAATGAGCAAATCACAGCCTAAGAATGAAGCACTTCACAGCAATTCAGCAGAGGCAGCTCATCAAAGACTCAAACGAGAGGGGACGGGGGTTTGTGAATTCGTGCTGAAGATATTCGCACGTCCAGACACTCTACACAATAACTGGCTGCAAGGTCGTTAGAAATAGGGCCTGTGGACTAATACAAACAGGTGAAGCCGCTGCCTAAGCACTACATGTTTTCCATTCATATACAAACGTTCGCATTTTAGGTTTATGTCAAAAAGAAATCAAATCATCAAGAGTATAATTTGCCATTGTTATTTAGGGACAAAGCAAAAGACATATCTTTCTTTAATTTACAATTCAATTTATTCTTAATATTTTCATGCCGCACTGCTCTACGACTTATTAAGCTTAATATGGTAATATCGAATGGCTTTCATTTCAGTGCCTTGCGATGCATGGAATTTTGTCTTTAGCTTGTCCCTTGAGTTATTTGTTACCAAATTACATTCATATTTAATTCTTTATTAGTTCTTTGAGGTTCGACTGTATCTCAATATGTTGGCATTGGATTACGTGCGAAACTTGTGCCTTACCTTCGAACAATTCGACGCAACTCTCAACGCCCTCAACGCGGTGACGCACTAATGTGAGCATGAGGGCGTGTAAACTTGTTTCATAAAAACTTTCGCATTTAAATTGCCACAAAAGTTGAGCAGCAGCAGCAACAACAATTGTACACGTTAAAGGTGTTTTTTTCGTGTGGGCGGCAAAGTTTTGAATTTATTGGTGCCATGTTGAGGCCAACAGCAGCCAAAATAACAACAGCAACTAAGTGGAGCAAGCGAATTCGATTATCGGCCCCAAAAAGGAAACTGCGAAAGCAATCGGCATTGTTAGTTGTTCACTAGCCAGCCAGGCCCGCTTAGCCCAGTCCAGTCCATCCTGCTTGATTCTAGACTACCAGCCTGCCAATACTTTTTCTTACACTTTCCTGCTCTAATCCCCTGCTGCGAATGCGGTAACAACAACAATTGCTTCGATTTATTTGTTGTTGATAAATTGTTGTCGAGCAGCTCAGTGGATTTGTTGTGCTTAAAGTTGAACCATTTAAGGCTTAAATTGTTGCAAAGCAGCAGCGATTAATACGCGTGCATGCAGCCATTAATACTCATATGTACATTCTTGCCTCAGGGCTGTTGATAGATAGTATTGCTGGAAATACCTACAAGTATACTCTGAAAATACAAATAATATTAAAACTGAAAGTTCAATGAAACACCATCATTGTGTTTTAGAAATCTGCAGAAAAGTTTTCCTTCTTTGTCTTCCCGGCACATAACACAACAGACGCTTTTTTCTGTGTTATACGAGACTTTTCAACATCTGCAAGAATAAATATTAAATACACAAAGCTATGTTTATTTATTCTTGATTGTACATTTATGATATACAAACAAATGCAAACTCTTTCGCGTAAATTAAACCTTACTTTCGCATTTTCTCATCTCAAAAAAAAAACAATGCATAAATTTCTTGTCAGTTGGATTCCGAAATACTTGTAGTTTTTTTTAATGTCTGATTAAATCTAAAGAGTATCTCGTTTACCGACACAGGACCTCACAACAAAAAAGTATCCATATCCACACTCTTCCGAAGATTAACCCTGAGATTAATTGAGTGTGATTGCGACGCCAAAAATATTTAATGGAAATTGCAATCTTTTGAATCATATTGGTTGGTAATAAGCGTACACCGATTTTTAAATTAAATATATCTGTTGGCATCCCTGAATAAAGATTGTTAATCTAGTGAATTTTTAAATCAAGTTGGATAATCAAATACATGCTTCCAAAACGATGTAAAATTTAAAGTAATTGGAATGACTGTATAATAGATTTATTCCCTGATTTTAAAAAGGCGGTTTTCATTATAAACATTTTTGCGATTTCTTTCATAAAGCCGTTGTGCTTTAGAATTAGTTTACCAAATAGTTTTTAAAGTATCATAAAGAAGTGCTTGGGGAAATTAACTTTAAATCAAATTAAAGCAACTAAATGAAATATTATGCGCTGACTGCTGTCTGCTTGCCAGGCATGTATTTTATTTCATTCGCAATCATATATAATGATTCAAAAAATATGTACAAATGGGCAAGCATGTTCGTATTTATTAATGAATGCCAAACATAATAAATAAATGGACAGCAGGAAGTGTGGCTGACTGACAACGGCAAACTTTAAACGACCGCTTGAGCAGCATAGCTGCATTTTAAAAGTAAATATATGCCTTTAATCCTTAAGAGCATTTAATTAATACTCACAAAAGCACAACAAAAACGTTAAACACCAACACACACACACCAACACACACCCACACACACCGACACTGCACTTTGAAGTTCTCATGTAATTTCGCAGTCAATAAATTTAATTTAAAGCCAGCGGTCAATAATGGCAATGAAAAATGTAATGACTGTGAACATATTACACTTCCCACCATACACTGTGAGAAATAGTTATTTTGAAAAATTTGTATTATTATCATTATGTTGCAAATCGGCCTTAGAATCGGAAACTTAGAATATTTATTTAAGTAACATTTATTACAGAATTTTAAAACTGCAAGTAATTTTAACTCAGGAACGAACTTACATTGTGGGAGTCTTACTAGCTCTTTGAGTTATGCCAGGCCACCATTAAGGAACTCAATAAAACATCTTTGGGAGTGTATGGAAAAAATTCAGGGAACATTAATATTTATATATATTAATATTAAAGTAATATTTATTACGGTTTTGATAAAGCAGTTCATCATTCCTTGATTTTAATTTGGTTAAAGCTTAGGTATATGGTATTAAAATTTATTTATTAAAAAGTACATTATTGTTTTGAGTGCATATCTCGTTGAGAGATGACCACCGTGTTTGTTCTTTGCTCACTTTTGCACATTTTTGCCGCCCGCAGGTGTGCGCATTATCGAAACGCGCTGTGATATTGCAATCCTCGGATATGCTGGCGTACAACGAACTGCAGCCGGCGGCGGCGTCGCTTCATCAGAGCAGCGGAAGCAGCGGCAGCAGCAACAACAACAACATAGGAACCTCAATTTCAGCCAAATCGGCAGCACCACAGAATATCATCGCAAATGCCGGATTAAGTTATGAGGATGTGCTCAATGATGACTTCCAGTTCGATATGGATGGCCACGATGTGATGGTCTTTCTGCACATCCAAAAAACAGGTGGCACCTCATTCGGCAGGCATTTGGTGCGAGACTTGGACTTGAAGGTAAGTCTAAAATTTAAATAGGAAAATTTCAACTACTTGTATTTACACTTTTTGAAAATATATTTAAGTTTGCAAAGATTATGTTCCATCGAGGCTGTTAGGAATAACTCAAACTAGAGTTGAAAGATATTGAAACTGTCCTAACAAATTTAATATATGAAGCAGAGAAAGTATAAGAGTAAATTCTGTGCACTTTAGATAGTAGTTCTAAAGCTGAAATCGTTTTGAAATATTTCAATTATATTTCTTTTCTGTAGCTTAGCAGCCCTAGTCCTAGCTTCAACTTTTAAAAAATATTTTTTGTTTTTGTAAATTTTAATTACCAACTCGATTGATTTGCCTTCAAAATAAAACTGCTTTAAATTTTAAGAATTGTAATTACTCTAAAATTGAAAAATATTTCAAATTTCCACTTTTTAGAAAATACTTATTTGTAATTTTATTAATATTTTTAAAATTGGCCGACCAATATAATTGCCAATCATTACTTACATTTGTGGCTGCTTAGTCAAATGGATTTATAAAATCTTGTATGTAAAAAATATGCATTCTATATTGAAATATTTCTTTTTTAAAAACTCTTACACAATTTTATTCAAGGAGAGATAATTTTCAATTCTCAGCAATTATTTTAATTGATCAATAATACTGTCTGAAATAGTATATATACTTTTACCAAAAATCTGCTATTCCTTGTTCGTTTCAACAAATAAAGCTTTACTTTTCCTTTAGCGTCCTTGCGAGTGCCAGCGTCAACGCAAACGCTGCTACTGCTTCCGTCCGCACCGGAACGAGAACTGGCTCTTCTCCCGGTACTCCACGGGCTGGAAGTGCGGTCTGCACGCCGACTGGACCGAGCTGACCAGCTGTGTGGACGTCGAGCTGGACAAGAACGAGGGGGAGACTGCGAAGCGACGATATTTTTATATATCGCTGCTGCGCGAACCGATCTCACGCTATATGTCCGAATACCGACATGTGCGTCGCGGCGCCACCTGGAAGGGATCGCGTCATTGGTGTCTGGGCCGACAGGCAACCGCAGCCGAGCTGCCGCCCTGCTATAAGGGCAAGGACTGGCTGGATGTGGATCTCGATGAGTTCGCCGGCTGCGAGTCAAATCTGGCAGCCAATCGACAGACCCGCATGCTGGCCGATCTGGCGCTCGTGGGCTGCTATAACAAATCCTCAATGCCGACGCATGAGCGCGATCGTGTGATGTTGGCCAGCGCCAAGCGAAATCTGGCCGCCATGGCATATTTTGGACTGACGGAATATCAAAAGGTATATGTCCTGTAGTTGCACCCAATTGTTGGTATATTGTAACTGTTGTTTTTTGTATTTTATTTGGTCTGGTAGATGTCCCAATATATATTCGAGGAAACCTTCAACCTGCGCTTTGCCATACCATTTGAGCAGCACAATACAACAATTTCGGCAGCTGCTGTGCAAAATCTGCGACCCGATCAGCGACGTCGCATTGAGAAGCTCAATAGTTTGGATGTTGAGCTCTACGCCTTTGCCAAGAATTTGCTCTTTCAGCGGTAAGTAATGAATTCTATTCATAGCTGAAGAACCTGGAGTTTTATTGCAAGTAACTCTAAAATGAAGCTATGACCTACAAATTCTCGTCTATCATTCAAATCTATAAGTCTGTCTGGATGAACATAATTATCTAGGCATAATCCAAATAGTAGTCAATAAACTACGTATGAAGGCAGAAGTAATATCTAGGTTGGTTTACGCAATAGAATTATTGTTTTATTATTTTTGAAGACTAAAAGTCTAAATTATCAAAAGCCAGGCCAGTATTTCAAGAGCTGTCGCCTGCCTGACCATTTGTCTGTCTGTATGACCGCTAAGATTTCGGAAATTTTATGAACTAATGTCGTAAAATTTGGTATGGGGGTTCTTCTATAGTAAACGCAAGTGCTGGCAAGTTATTAATCGAGATATTTGACTTAAAATGTTCTTTAATTGAAATCTAATTTAAAAGAGTGTTAAATATTCTCTTTGAAGTAATAGTGTTATTTTTTGCATCAAAAGAATTTGACCTACCAACCCAACCTGGCCTTTATGCTTCGCTATATTCTAAATGCTAGGTCGATGACACATCGTTTTCTGTCTATGGAATAAACGAGGAGGGTGCGCGCACCCTTTGACTCACCTTTTGTGGCTTTGAACAGTTGTGTTTTGTGTTGTCGACACGGCCTATTGTTGTCCATAAAATGGTCTACATTTCACAATATCCTTGATGCATTTTCTGCAGAGTAATCTAATTAGCATTTGTTATGCACAAACATGGCGTGAGAACATAGAGACTGCCCTTCAAATCTAATGGATTTTATTTGTGAAAATACTACGTATTATACACGTATAGCTAACAAATTGATGTTATTTAAATGATTTTTAAAATGTGAGAAATTGTGATTTGGTACTTGATTTTTGAAAGAGAAGGCCAACAACTTTAAATATAATTACCTGTGTTTGTATCCAATAAATATATGATATTGGTAGCTTTTACTTAAAAAAAAAATGGTTTTATTAACTATAGTAAAGTATCTTCTTCTCATATGATATCTTTGTATAGTCAGATCTATACTTTAAGTATTTTTTTCTTCATTATTTGAATCCTTCACTAGCAGATATATACCAAGATTTTCCGAGCTTTCGTCTCTATTATAACCATTAATCTATATAGATTAATAAGAACTGTATTATTGTATACTTTTCTGGCCCATTTACACCTAAAGATAATGAACAATAATTATTTTACGATTTTTATTAAGTACTTTTTTAAGATTTTCTAATCAACAAAAGATTCTTGAAGGTCATGTCTTATAAAATATACAAGTTATGATATTGCATCTACGAGCTACTACAATATCTAGATGATTTTGAAAAGCAATGTGCAGAAGATATGTCTGTATAGACTTTCCTACAAAAAACCCTCGTAAATTTTCCATTTAATCAGGAATTTTTGATTTATAAAATTTAGAAAAGTTACAACAACTAGAACAAATTTAAAGTTGTTAGTTTTTTAAAGAGCGCCAATCGGGTGTCAAATATAATTAAAAATAATAAGAATAATAATAAGAAAGTTGAACTAATTACACGATTAACGTCTCTAGGTCTGGGCCTATTCCAGATAGATTTGTTATACTCAGCTATTAAAACGAATAAACTAACATAATCGACTTGATTCTTAGTCAAGGGCTGTGCATAGCATTTCTTGCCCAGCAACTATATTATTTGCCATTCATACAACAAGTCAACAAAATATTAATTTAATATGCATTTTGTTTATTCACACGATTAAAGTTAAACGAAATGAAATATATTGCATTTATTTATTTAATTCTATGGTCTGCCACGTAAATTATTTGCGCAACAAATTTGTTCATTTTCACAAATACGCCATATAAATAAATAATTATTGTAAATTCAATTAGAACTACTGTCTCTTGAATACTAATAGAGTTTTGTACTCCAGCAAACCACATGTGTTTGGTTTGGATTTTCAAAACCAAATATTGAAATAGAATGCCTTGTTGTGCAAATATTGTTTACTTGACAATAATATTAGTTAGAAGCATGCTTTACGGATTGGGGGTCAACCATTTCCACAATATTCATGCAGTTGCTTTGTGAACAGCCGAGCAACAGCTCAGAGAACCAGCATGGTAGCTACCACAGGATCAGCAGGCACCATCCGCTTTAACCACCTATATACACACATTCTATGTACACACGTACATACTATACTCGTACATGCGTGTCTCACATACACAAATCAATTTACCTTTAGACTGATTATTTTCCATGCAATTCAATTGAGGAACAGTCAGTAAAGCGGGAACAGGGACGCGCCCCTTTCCGCTCCGATCACATTATTTTCCTTCCTCGCTCTCCTAATGATGCGGGTCGAGTATCAAATGCAACTTTATGCTGGTTGCTAGTTCCCTAGACAGCTGGTCCGTTGTTCTATTTGGCTTGGCGACTAACGCACAAAATATGTCTAGGTTGGATTCTTAATGGGTTCCACTGCATTTACAAAATGTGGCTGATGATGGTGAGAAGTTTCCTTAGCAGGTTAGCAATTTAATATTACAATAATTCATAGATATTTTATAGATGTAAGAACAGTCTTCAGATTTGAAATTGCTTGCCTAATAATGATAGTTGAACTCAATGTTTTGTTATCCAAAAACGAATTCCCAAAGATATATTAATCGTCAAAAATTAATAAGGATACTCAAGCCAACATAATCTATTATTATTATATTACTCCTATAAATTTTTAGTATACATGAACCAGCCTACCAATGGATCAACCGCACAAACTAAGCCCAAACTACTAAGATATTCAAAAGAAAAAAAAAAAAACTAAATGCAGACAAAATTCCAACTTAAAAGATCAGAGAGATCCGCAATGATATGTAATGTATAATAATGTCTATTAACTTTTTTTTTGCAAACCAAACGTTGTCAGAGACATTATTAGACCGAGAATACGGTATTAGTTCAGATTAGCATCATTAACACCATTAATTTGATTCGAAGTTTATTTTGATAATGAAGCATTGCCGCCAATACTTAAATTAATCAAGTATTGATGATACATTTGATAAATGTTTTTCCAATTAACAAACTAAGAAACAAAACATTATGAGTGCTTCGTCACTGCATTGATTTTAGCCACAATATTGAGCTAACTTCCTTGACTAATGTTGTAAGCGCTGTTTTCTTTAATGAAACCGAGTGTTATCTTACCGTTAAGACATCGAGGAAGATATCTAGGAAGTATTTATTTTAGTATTTTAGCAATTAGACTGCAGAAGAATAATGGATGTTGATGCTTTATTTGAAAAACTAAAACCAAGGTTCTTTAATGCTAGTAATTGAGAAATATATAAATTGTAACTATTAAACAATGCCTGCCCTCAGTCTGAAGAGGGATTCTGAGTATAATTTTTGTTAACTGCCTTCCTATACTTATTTGTGGACCAAATACCAGAGCTTTTCATTATTAATTGTCTTTATTATATATTATTTTTATTCCTAAAATGAAGACTTAAATGAAATGCCAATTCTGCAGCGTAATACATGTATACTGCAATTCTGCCTTGAGTTCTATGTTTTCCAAGACCACCTTTGCGCGTGATGAAAAAAAGCACCTTAGGGGAAGGTAAATAAATCTTGCTCACATTGAAATAAATTCGTTACAGGCAGCTACGTCTGCATATAGAGTATATACAAGTATTCTATACTTTGGCAATTGCAAATGTAACAAGCAGACGGCTAAGACATAGCTGTGTACATATGGAACATGCGAGTATATATGTAGAATATAACATAGATAAGGCAGTCAACCCTCCCAACCAGCTGTCTCACACACACAAACACATTAACACATTTTTGTTGTTGGTTGGATGGTTGGTTGTTTTTTTGGTGCAATAACAAGCGACGTCTTTTGATGACAATTGCAACATTTGCGCGCGCTAATACAAATTTCTATAGTTCACCGACATCGTCGTCAACGTCGCCTCGTCTTGACGGAGGGAACAATAACAAGGAAGATAAGAAGAATGGATGTGGCACGAACCACCACCAAATCCCATGGCGATGCATTTATGAGGGGTATGCCATGAGGGTTGGTTCTTACCTGTGCGCCGGCGCGCCGTTTCGAGACTTCAGTTAGGTTTTGACAACAGAACGCGTAGGTACAGCAACGATCGACGCTGTAACGAGCACAAGTACGGGGGATAAGGAATCGGGCGCGACGACAAAAAAAAGTGACAACAAAATTGAAACGGACGCGTTGAACAGACGAACATTTGTTAAACAATTTAAATACGTTGTGTTTGCTACTAAAGTTTAAATTTATATTATTTGTTGCTATTATACTCGTGCGTATTTATTGAGTTTTTGTTATTGCAAATTAAAGCTGAAGAAGAAGAAGTTATTAAATTAGCAACTAAGTGAACTTGAAACCAACTTGAAAATGTCCTTCTCGAAAGCCAAACTAAAGCGCTTCAACGATGTGGATGTGCTGTGTGGCTCGCCAGCCGCTGGCAACTCAACTTCGACCACGTCGAGTGGCTCCTTGAACTCAGTAGGCACAACATCAACAACCACTCCAACAACAGCAACGACGGCCACATCTGCGCAGGCGCCGCCACCGGAACGCAAAGAACAAATTGAGAAGTTCTTCAAAGATGCCGTGCGTTTTGCCTCCAGCTCCAAGGAGAGCAAGGACTTTGCCATACCCAAGGAGGATAAAAAGTCCAAGGGCCTGCGTCTGTTTCGTACGCCCTCCTTGCCGCAACGCTTGCGTTTTCGGCCGGCAGCGCAGACATCGCACCACTCTGAGGCTTCCAGTGGAGCCTCTACAGCAGCCTCGACGCCACTACACTCGGCAGCCACCACACCCATCAAGGAGGCCAAGTCAGCCAATCGCTTGAAGGGCAAGGAGGCGCTCCAGCAAGAGATTAGGTCCAAGAACGAGCTCATCGAGAGCTATTTGAGTCAGCTGGATGTGTTGCGTCGTCATGTGGAACAGTTGAAAGAGACCGAGGCTAAAATGCGAGAGGAGCATGAGTGTGCGTTGGCCAAAACCGATCAGCTGGTGCAGGCTCTCACGAGCGAGAATCGTGAGCAGAAGGAGCTCAATGAGCAGCTGAGTGCCGAGAATACGCGCCTGCTGGAGCACTGTTCGGGACTTGATGCACAGCTGCAGCAGCTACGAGAGCAGCATGAGAGTGAAGTGCATGAGTTGACGCAAACCACTCTACTGCTGACGTCACAGAACGAGCAACTGAGAGGCGAAGCGGAGGAGCAGCTGCAGACGCAACAGAAGCTTCACATCCAGCTCCTCTCCCTGCAGGCTGATCTGGAGCAGTCGCGCTCCCACTGCGAACAGGAGAAAGAGAAGACGGCGGCCAACTTGGAGCTGGTGGAGAATCTGAAGAACTCCAATGATTCGCTGCTCAATGACGTCACACAACTGAAGGAGCAGATCGAACATGACGCGCTCAGCTACGCTCAGGAGACGAAGGTTACGCAAACAGAGTTGGAATGCCTGCGTCTCGAGCGCAACACGCTCAAGAACGATCTGGCCAACAAATGCACACTCATTCGCTCCCTGCAGGATGAGTTGTTGGACAAGAACTGTGAAATCGACGCCCATTGTGACACCATACGCCAGCTGTGCCGTGAGAAGGCCAAGTTTGTGGAGCAGGAGCGTGTCGAGGAGCAGGCGGCGGCCAAAATGCAGCAACTGGAGAGCGATCTAGAGAGCGCCATCGAGCGCGAGAAGAGCTACTGGCGTGCCGAGCTCGACAAACGCCAGAAGTTGGCCGAGAACGAGATCATCAAGATCGAGCTGGAGAAGCAGGATGTGATGATCCTGCTCGAGACCACCAATGATATGTTGCGGGAACGTGATGAGAAGCTGCAGAAGTACGAGGAACAACTGCGCAATGGCGTCGACTATTACATCCAACTGACCGATACGCTGCAGAAGCAAGTGGTGGACCTGAAGCAGGACATGGCCAAGACCATCACCGAGAAGTACAACTACCAGCTGACTCTGAACAACACACGCTCCACAGTCAACATACTGATGGAACGCCTCAAGAAGTCCGATGCCGATGTGGAGCAATTCAAGGCCGAGCTGGAGTCCGTCCAGCTGGCCAAGGGCGCCCTAGAGCAAAGCTATTTAACGCTGCAGGCGGATGCGGAACAGCTGCGTCAACAGCTGTCCAACTCAGAGGCCGCGCTTACAACGCTACGCACCTCCTCAGAGCAGCTTCAAAGCGAGGTATCGTTAAAAGAAAGCATGCTTCATCAAATACTATCCAGCGAGGCGGAAACATTGGCCAAATTCAATAAAATTGCTAACTCGTTCCAGGCGCGCATCGATACTGACGCCGATGTGGCCCGCTACTACGAGCTCTACAACGAACTGAAGCGCAAGGACGATACCCGTGAGCTCTACATGGCCGACATGAAGAAGGCGCTCGATGAATTCGCCACAGTTCTACAATTCGCTCAGCTCGAGCTCGACAACAAGGAGCAGACGCTGCTGAAAGTTCGAGAGGAGTGCGAACAGCTGAAGCTGGAGAACATAACCCTGAAATCCAAGCAATTGGATGGCATTGCTCTGACACCCAGCAAGGCGGCGAACAAACCGAATACCACAGACCTTGAGAAAATCGAGGATATGCTCATCGATTCCGAGCTGCGCGCCGAATGCGACAAGATTACGTCTTGGCTGCTCAATTCTTCGGAGAAATGCGTTCGTCAGGATAGCAGCAACGAGTTCTGCGAGTTGCTCAGCAAGCCTGTAACGCCCAACAAGGCGCGAACCCCCAAGGCGGCCACACCCAAGGCCATCACCCCCAAGGCGGTCACTCCACGCACTCCGCGCACCCCTCGCACCCCCAAAACCACCCAGACAACGCCCAAGAAGACGCTCCTCTTCGCTGCCACCGGCAAAGAAAACGTCCCCAGTCCCCCACCGAAGCCAGTCCTCAAGGCACGAAACGTTTAGCTGCAGGCATTTTTAGACGATTTTCTCTACTTTTACAACTAGGCTAAATTTTACACTAGTCGGCATATGTATTTTGATAACTTAATTGAAATTAATAGCTAAATATCCTAATCCATAAAATATATATTTAAAATTGAAAGAATATTGATTGGAAAAAAATATTATAAAATTGTAAATAAAAAAAACATCCAAAAAGATTTAGGATTACAGCAGCTATGTTTCAAAATATTTCGATCGACAAAACCACATTTTTCCATCAGAAATGGATTTAAAAATCTGACAGTGCAACCTGAAAACTATCTTCAAATATTTGAAAAGAGTTGAAAACAAAGACACGAAATTATTGTATAATATCGAATCTAAAATTTTGAGAGTTATACTATTTTTCAAAACTTTGAATCATTAATCTAAAATATTAACTTAAATGATATTTTTGGCGTTAATTTCATAAGTCTTCATATTTTATGAAAACAAAAAATATATTATAAAATTTTTACAAAAAATATTTTAAATTTAAAAACTAGTAATGAAACAGGTGTAAAGGAAAATTTTAAAATAGTTTCAATTCGAAATTTACAATTCCGTCACTTAATAGCAAAAGTATTATAAAACCAAAATTTAAAGAACATTTTTTATATTTTTAGCTTTCATTGCAAAAGAAACACTTTTCAGAAATCCCAACAGTTTTTTAAAGAATTCCTAAATTGAATGCTGTTACATTAATCAAAATTCGAAAACATTTACCTAAAACAATTCTTTTGGTTTCTAGATTTTTAAAACATAATTATAAATTATTATCAAAAAACTTAGACAAGGCAAAAAAAAACTTTAATTTGCAATTTTTTGTATATTTCTACTATATTCGATTTAAAACCATTTTCTAACACAAAAAATCATTCAAAAATGATTGTTAAATATTTCGATAAAGAATTTTGGAAGCTGCAAAGTTTTTTCAACACTTCAAAAACTAGCTAAGATTTTGAAAAATGATCAAGAATCATACTCTCTTCAAAAACGCATTAAATATATTTGCATTTCCGCTTTTTATTTGCAAAATTTATTACGCCATTAAAAACCTAAAACATATGTTGATATGCAAAAATATGAAATATGTATTTATATATCGGTACCTGCTATTTTTCAAATTGAAACGAAATTATATCAAAAACAAATAAATAAATAAGAAAGTTAAGACGTAGAAAAAAATCTATTACCCTCTTAAGACCAGCGAACAGGTGTCGAACCTTTTACGTATGCCGACTAGAATATACGTTACATTATACCAAAACAATCTAGAGTTATACTTTTAGTTAAGATCTATGCAGATGGTGATGAACATGAAATATATTATATGAGTGCTGGGAATGGAATACCCGTAACAAGCAGAAACAAACAAGTTTTGATTTCACATTTTCCCAGGCTCGACAAAAAAGACGTTATCCATTTTGTTCTTCTTTCGGTTCCGTTTTTTTTTTATTTGTTACCTTCTCTATTTCTAGTAAGCCACCCCAAGCCAATTGCGACGCTGATTGCGCACACGTGTGAAGTTATGTGGATTGAGGAAAGAGGAGCGACCCCTGCGCGTCTTCCTCTTTCTCTTCCTGCACTTCAACTCAACTTTTTTACTGTGTACGAGTACGAGTATGTGCGCAGTCAATGGAAACTTGGCAACTTGCTCGACTAACTCGCTCCCTACTTGAACTTCCTTTCCTCTCCCCGTCTTGTGGCTGTTGCTGCTGCGCAATGCACCGTAACGGCAGCTGGCCAGCTGCGCATGCGTCGTGGCGCGTCGCCTCGCTTCAGTTCTGGCGGCCGGGGGCTTAGTTTTCTTTAAGGGTGGCTCGTGTGCATTGCGTCTTAAGGTTCAAATTTGCTTATAATGTGCCATTAACTGTGACTTAAGCCATGGGCGAGTATCGGACCGCAGCACACTCTGGCGACTCAACGCACAGCTTCTGTTTTGGAAATCCCGCTGCCTGTGCTGCCTTGGCTGCCTTGGTTGTCTTTGTTTTCAATTTTTTGCCTCAAGCCATTTCAATTTTGCCTTCGGGTTGTTTGCGACGCTCGAACAATTGAGGCTTATGACCTTTGACATTTTGCTTGGAAGAACCAAGACAGCCCAAGATACCAAGTATTTGTGTGCCTCACAGCTGCGCCTCAACTGCAGCTGCATATGTGCGAGTATATCCATTCAATTGAGTTTTGATTTGTTGCCTTACATAAGCAGCAACTGCGCTTACATAGCTCACCCAGTGTGTAGTAAATAGTCTTAAGTAAATAAGTACATATGTACATAAGAAACCTTTGCAGGGGCTGGCAGCTTTTGAGAAAACACCCCTAGAATATTAAAATGGAATTTCTGCGAAGGGTGTCGCGCAAAAACTCTGAGGTACGACTTCAAGTTATTACAAAGAAACAGGTATATGGGAAAGGGTCGTAGGTAAATTTTCACTTGAGTTCAAATCCTACTTAGTTGCGGATCCACAACAGGCCTGCGGAAAAAACGCTTATCTTATATACGTACCTGTAATGGGAAAAGAGATCCGCTTGATTTAAAAGCTTTGTAAGCTATTGTTGGTTTAGACCCTTTCATTTCAGCCTTCTTTTCGGAATTGGATTCATTTAAATCTGTTTAAACCTGCCCAACTGGGATAGATAGTAATAGAGTTAAATTGTTTGTTAGGCTTCATCGATTTGGAAGAGTGTTTTACATGAGGGGAGAAAATATTAAAAAATAAAGTAAACTCGTGCTGCCTATAGCCTAGCAGAGTCTACATATCCCGTTTGGTTAATGTGGGCTCAGTAGTTTCCGAATTCAAGACGTTCATCCAGTCGAACAGGTGAAGGGACAGAGGGACATGCCCAGAACAATTTGTCGTATTATGCAGATTAAGAATAGAAACACGAATATATGAAGTCGGGAACGCTTTCGTTCTATTCGATATAATAATACTTAGCAGAGAACTAGAAATAGACTTGAAAACCTCAGCTGAACTAAAGCTCTGGCTTCTTGGAAGATTTATATCGCTTTGAGAGAAGCTGGTGGGTCCAACTGGTGCTCATTTCTGCATATGCTGGTTTGGTTGTCCTTTAAGGATTCATAATAATAATGCATTTGCTTATCTACATATGTCGATTGATTAAATAAATAATTGAATATTCCCGTCCCATTGAAGATGTCATAAATAATGTTCCTTTACATACCTTTTCCTTGCAGTTTTGAACATCTGAAGGCGAAGGATGCCAATTTTGAGCAGCGCTTCGCCAATCTGGGCAACATTTTCTATAAGCAGGGCGTCACGGAATTCAACTGGGACAGCAACATTGAGGATGCATTAAGCACGGATCATTGAACTCGAAACCAAATATTAAAATGTAGCATTTAGAATTAGAATAGCAATAGAGCTGATGGAATCAATGCATAACTATACATACATACATACATACAAGTAAGAGGAGCTAAACGGAATCCAGCATTAACAGCCCCACACATACACACACACACAGACTTTGAATTAGTGTTTAAGCATAAAGTTAATTAACATAAAATATTAATAATAAACTAAACTAATTAAACGGAGGGAGGAGCAGCTGAAAGATTAAAAGAGAGAAAAGTTTGGAACAAATGATGATGATGTATAAATTAATTTTAATGTATTCAACTATTTGTTTAACAATTTTGGCTTCCGTTTTGTTGTCGAAAACGAATGAAGAATGATCGAAAGAATGTAATCTCGTAGCGTGTATTTATTTAAACAAATTGGATTAAGAAGAGAAATTAAAATCGCACTTGAAACATCACTGAGCCGCTGACAACAATTGACAGATAATTTAGTGTAAATACTACGATCCACTACTAAGCTTAAAGTTAGTTACTAACTGCATTGAGTTGTGAGGCGGGGCGGAAGCACATAACGCTACTCGAAACTCTTCACAGCGCATCAACTATGTCATAATTAAGTTAAATTAGCATTAACAACAATTGAATTTCGTTTGTATTTATGTGTTCTTTGTTTTTAATTATGTATGAATCGTATGCCAAATCCAAATCTAAATCTAAATTTAGTCCGTATCTAAATATAAATAATTGTTAGCTGGCCAGATACAGATACACATTATCGATCTAAACACATGCATTTATTTTATTTAATTGTTTAGAGACCCGCCAACTATGTAAATATCGTATATAAGCTTCAAATCTACTGTAACTCTCCTTTTATTTTATACACACATTTTATACCGACTTACTATATTGTTTGCAAACATTTATAAACCTATAATACCGGCATTACATTTAAACAAATGAATGTTACGCGTTAGTATTGTTAGCTGACCTAATTGTTTAAGACAATAATTCATAACAAATTACAAAACAAAAAAGAAAAAAAAACCAACCACAAACCTTAACGAACAAAGAACAACCATTTAATGAGTGCAGTGCGTAAATTAAATTTAAAGGAAACAAAACAAACAACAAAACAATTGACAAGGCCAACGAAAAACATACAACAAATTGCGTTAAAACGAGGCAAAATAATAATAAATTTATGAAAATATTGAATTATACACATTTCGAATAAACCGCACACACTACATCAAATAAATGGCAGCTCAGCAGTGCCATTTGAACGCAAATCAAATATAAATGTATATTTAAACACAAACAAAGAATAGCAAATAATTTCCAACAAACAATTCTCAATTATTTTCCAACATTATTTTTACATTTCACATATTTGTAAACAAACAGAACGAATTGTGCAATTTGTAGTGAACGGACACGCATTTTCAAAAGCATAACAACAACAAATTATTATGCAGCAACAAATTAAATAACTGAATAAATACACTTACAAAAATATTCATACAATTGTTGAGCATTTCGTGTTTTAAATTATTTGGCTATATTAGACAAATTTTGATAAATTGAGTTAAAGATGGAGATGAAAATGAATTCAAAATGTACCCGAGGACTTAAAGCAAGGAGTTTAAAATACAAAATGCTTGTTATGACCATAATCAGGCGTAGCATTACAGCATTTAGTATCAGCAGGACAAAAGGAATCGATATAGGCATTACCTTCAGTCTGTTCGTTCATTTGTCCCTCTGTTCGACAGTATGAACACCTAAAACATTTGAACAATAGCAGCTAAGGACTCCAAACTTGGTATGTCAACTTGCCATATCCGTATGTAAAATAAGTTTATTACAAACGATATATAGTGGCTGCCATAGGACCGATCGGAGCAAAAATCACACCTCTTTAGATAACTAAGTTACTACGACAGATTTCCCAGCGCTTGCACGTGTCGAACACCAATAATGAAGGCATTGACAGATATTGAAGCGGTAATCGAATATGGGATACTAGAACCAAGTAGCAATCACGGTTTGTGCTTTGTTTTATTTGCAACGATTGAAAGCGGACTAAAGTGAGATTATCCTGATCTTAACTGAGTATTTTGTTGGCTTTCGGACAGGTATAGTCGAATCAATTGAATACGACGAATAAAAATAAAGTAAAACGTCTGTGGTTTAATCGTCTGTAAGAAATATGATACAAATTTAAATGGCTATTTCATCAATAAAATAAATAGGAATTTCAATGTGAATGCTCTATTATGCATAATATATACTGATAATTTACCCATAAAGACAATTAGGGTTATAAGCTTGCGATCTCAATCGAGGTGGATAGCATTCTTCTCAAAATCATTCCTACACCTATTCTTCTGGATCCGCAGTTGTGAATCTCTTAATTAGTCAGTATTCTTATAAGTAATCTCTTCCTCAACTTTGTTTGCTTGATAGCTGCATTAAAATGGTTTCCACAGTCAAATTGGTCAGACTAATACCAAATCATAAATAATGTGATTACAAAAGTTGTTATAATATTTGTAATTGGCAAATCTTAATATAACTAATATAATACATTACGCTCTTGTCGTTAATTAATAATCAACAACTAAGTAAGTAACTGAATATTGAGTAATTAAAACGTTTTGAAGCTGTTGAGTTTCATCAACCTTAGAGCGTCAAATTAAAGATTAATCTATTTTAAGAAATGCTAACTATTTATTATTATCTCTCTTCCCCTTTTGTTTACTATTTGTACAATTTTTCGCAAGTCGACACGAAATTTTCTGCGTCATCGATTGGATAGGAAAGATTGTTAAATAATTTGCACCAATTTAATGGAACTAACGAGTAAGGTAAACGCCGTTTTCCACCTCACTGTCAAGTTGCTTCGATAAATTAGCGGGCTCAGTACGCACGGGAACGGCTGCGTGTAAGCAGCGCTCTGATTAGGTCTCAGCTCCCTTCTTCCCCACCGGAATGTCAGCAAAAGGTCCGAGTACGCACCCACGACAGAGTGAGGATATTGTGCAACAGATTAATGGAAATTTTGGACCTTGGCAGCTGCGCACAATATTGCTGATATTTCTGTGCAAGATACCAACGGCATGGTTTATGGCCTGCATCGTATATACGGCACCCACGCCCCGAAAGGGCGAACTGGTATGTCGTCCTGCTTGGAATGAGAGCCATTTGGAAACGAGCAATCAGCATACACAGGTGGATAGCCATTGGGCTGATGAGCGCATCACAGATCGGCATTTCAATCTCGAGGTGTGCAATGCCTATGCGGAGAGCTTGTCCAAAAGTTTTGTGCATGCTTGGAATGCAAGCGGAAATTCCGGTATTTCCACGACGGCTCTACAGTGCGCCCATGTGGAGCACAATGCTCAATATACCTCGTTGGTCACACAATTCGATTTGATTTGCTCGCGACGCGTTCTGGTGGCTGTTACGCAATCCTCTCATGCTCTAGGCGGCCTCATCGGCGGACTGATCGCCTATCAGGCGCTAAAGCAGTGAGTAAATGGAATAAAGAAAGTGGTAGAATTAATGGGAATTAATTTTGTGAAATAAATAAAATTATTTAGTTTTTTCTGTAACCAATTTTTAAGCTTGATTAGTAGTTCGCGTATGAGTTAAATGTTGCGATTTTTCAAAAACCATTCTGTTTTCACAGTTTTTTGAATTACACTGGAAATAAAGCTAATTTTTCATTCCTGAGGAGTGTCTCACAGAAGCTAAAGCACCAGGCACTGCGGCACTATATATTCTCTTATGTCCCAATTTGTATGCTCCCTACAAGGAAGAACAGTTCCCCTTAGCCACTTTCTTCCTTAAAAGAATCAGAAATCCATAATCAAATGCTAATATGTATCTCGTGGCGAAGATAATTCGTTCTACTCCCAGAAGGTTCCAGCAGAACCTGCTTCTTTAGAATTTATAATTTGACAAGGAATTTTCAAATTGATTTTTTCCAAAATATAAAGCTTTGTAAAATTATTTATAAGAATCCACCACAGGATCTCATGGGAATGAAAACACCGCGGATTTAAATTTTTTATACATTTTATTTGATTAATGAAGCAGGAAACATATGCCTAGAATATTTAATTATTTATTGTTAATACATTTCACAACACTTGTTGTTACTTGATTTATAATCAGCTATGGCTTATATTGAATTTAAATTTGTGCTTTCTGATTTAAATATCTTAGAATTAAACCACATTATGAAAATTGTTAAATGTTAATTATTAAGAGGAGAAAATTAAGAATGACATGAACGCGGACTATGAATTTAAAAAGGTATTAAAGTTTGTGCATCTGACTATTTCCATTTAACAAATAGTAAAGCAAGCACAAGAGTCAAAAGTGCGCCTTAGAAGCCTGGTAATGCAGGAATAGGTAGGAATAGCAATAGCAACATTTCGCTCTCAAAGTCCTCTCTATCTAGTCTACATTTTAATCAATCGTATTCAACTTTAGCTTCACTTTCTATTTGCAGCTTCAGTCCTCGTCGTCTAATGCTGATGGGCATGTTGGGGCAAATCTTTTGCGGCAATCTCACCGGCCTTGTGGACACATATCAGCTACATATCTACTTTCGTTGCCTCACCTCCGTCTTCTGTGCGCTCATGTATACCTCGGGCCAACATATACGTAAGTGAACAAAAGACTTAGAAAACAAACTTGCAGTTTCTCACTACATTTCTCTTTCAGTCAACGACATCGTTGCGGGAAAGGCGCGCATAATTGTAGTCACACTGTCTGAGCTTTTTTGGTCGCTCGGCCTCGTTCTATTGCCGGCGATTTCTATATATTTCGATAGCTGGAGCTATCTGTATGTGGCGATATCCTCATCGCTGTTTGTGCTTGTCTGGCTGCACCGTTGGATAGCCGATTCGCCCCGTTGGCTGCTGCGGCATCAGAAAACAGAGCAGGCGCTGCAACTGCTCCTCGAATCGGCAACTTATAACAATCGAAAAATTCCCCTCACACTTGACGACGAGTTGACTGCCTACGCTGGCCATTTGGCAAACGAACAGAAACAGAGCTATTGCCAGATTTGGGATGGCGACACAAAGCGCAGCCAACTCTTCTACATTCACTGCAGCTGGGGATGTGCGATGGTGTTGTATAATCTGATTCTGCTCATGATACGCTCCTTGGGCGCTGCTCAGGTCCATGTGAACACGGCTGCCTTGGGGTTTGCCGAAATGCTGGGACTATTTGTGGGCCTCTATTTTATACTCTACACGCGTCGTCATTGGCGTTGGGCAGGCAATCTGATGATCATAGCCGGTCTCTGTAATTACTTTGTCTGGCTGTTGCCGAATACACGTGAGTAAATCAAATGTTTTCTCTACTATTAAATTTTTCTTTATAATTGAGTGGCTTATAAACGTTTTTAACTTTTGAGTCTAAAAATTTTTCTAAGCGTTCCAGATACTAATTATTTTCAAAATATTTTAACTTTTAATTTATTCTAAATTACAATGTTATTAACACTGAGAAACTAAAGCCTTTAGGCTGTCATCCAAAATAATCATAAACAAATCTACATAAACAGGAATGTGTCGAATTTTCTTTTCCATATTCCTATGCTCATAAAGACTGTTTTTATTGTCAAGAAGCACTTTATTTAGGCAAAAATTTGAGAAATTTCAGCCTTAGGCTTTGGGCAGACAGGCAAATAATTTGCAAAAAACATCTATTAAATTTCGCAAGAATGTTAAAACCAATTTGTTAACAAAGCTCTTTACCATTGAATAAAGAAATATAGACGTCGAAAAACACATTACAGTTTCGGGTAATTGAATTTTTAATCAATTATTATTTTTTATACAACTCTCTCTCACTTAAAAAAAATATTTTGTACAAGTAATTGAATATTTATACACATTTGTATATTAAATAATTAAAACATATCTACCGTTGGAAGGCGACATAATTCTTTATCTAATCTAAAAACATTTAATTTAAGATTTTGTAGACTTAACATTTATATGAATGACTAATACATTGCAACACTTTTTTAAAAGCTACACTAATCTTTTATCTTATCACGAATAATACTGTTCTCATTTATTAAGAAATAATTCTTTCAACAATAAATCATGAAATATATATTCTCCTTTTCAGCTCGTAACTCACGTCGCGTGGGTCTGGAGCTCTTCTTCTGGCTGCTTCTCAAGTTCGCCAATGCGGCCTCAATTGCAGTGCTCAGCACCTGCACCGGAGAAATGGTGTCTCCGGAGAAACGGGTCTTCATGCTGCTCTCCGTGGTCACTTTTAGTCGCCTGTGGCTGATCTTCTCCCCATTTATATCAACGCTCACTGTGGTGCATCGACTGCTGCCCATTACAATTCTAGCCACCATGGGCTGGATATATGGCCTTGCTTTGCGGCGTCTGAATCGATATTATTGGAATACGGAGCAGCCGCATAAAAGCCAGGTGCCCACTCCTCGCACCTATCGTCGCTGCTCGACTACCCTAATGCGACGCTGCAGCTCCACGGGCTCAGAGATCAGTGGCAGCAGCACCGAAATAATTCCCATTCCCGCCACAGCTGTCAGTATCTCCGATCTGTGGCAAATCAATTTTCAAACAATCACCGAGTGTGAAAGTGGCGCTGAAATGGATGAGATGAGCTACAAGAGGAATAGCTCGAAGAGTTAGCTTCTGGGTGCGATTACGAATCTCTCGCTACTTATTGTTGGTCACCTGTATATTCCCTATAGTATTTCTTGCCCATTTTTAGAGGCCACAGCCATATGAGAGAGTTGACACATTAAAGTTGAAATAAAAATAAAGTAAGTTAGCAAGCAATTTATTTTATTTTTTGATGAAAAGCAAATGAAAGAATGAAGAACTATGGGTTGAAAATATATATGAAAGGAATATTTGTAACTCACAAGCTTTGCTTCCGTTTGGTTTAATGCTAAACATAAAGATATCTTTCTTCTATAAATGTCTTGAAGAAACCAAAATACGATTATCGAACATTCTGATGACCTCGTTAAAAATAAGCAATAAAAGTATCTACATATAGAAAAAGCTTCATAAGAATTGTTTCAACATACCTCAGTAAAATAATTATATGTGTCTTATATTTTTGTAAGTTTAAAAAAGTACTCGTGCAAGTAAAAAAATTTTAGGTTTGCAGTTTTATTGCTTATAGTAATGGAAAGCAAAAAATAAGAAAAAAGTTAAAGAAATCGTATTTCAATACATATAAAACTTAATGTAAACTTTTTCTTCATTATAAATAATTATATGTGACTTTTCATGATATGCTCAACTTATTGGGATTAATCAACTTAAATGAATTGAATTCGATATAATTAAGTAAAATTAATAACTAATAGGCTTTCCACTATTCATTATTACAGAACTTAAGCGAAATGGCATGGAGTTAATTAATGATTTTAAGTGGGATAGGTCAATTTTCATTCATTTTCATTTCAGTCATTCTTGCTCTATGGCCAATTTAAGCTCTTTTGCTGTCTCAAACTGCCGGCAATTTTTGAATACTTCAGCAGATAGAATACCCCAGAGATCCCCAATTGGATTAAGGTCCGGACTCATTGCTGGCCACTTTAAAACTGGAATATTTTTCTCGTTAAAATATTCGGTGGTCAGCTTGGCACTATGTATTGGAGCATTATCCTGTTGAAAGGTCCACTCATCGCCGTATAACTGGCCGCCAAACTCCACTAACTCATCGTCCAATAGGTCAACATACATTTTGGCATTCATCCTAGTGGATATACAACACATTGGACTCTTTCCTTTGTAGCAAAACGCAGCCCATACCATTACCGTCCCACCACCATGACCACGCTTATAACAGGTGCGTCGATCCTGTCGCATATCGCGCCAATATTTTTTGCAACTATCAGGACCGTCCAGATTAAACTTTTTTTCATCACTGAAAATGACATTACGCCATTCCTCCTCCCAGAATTGGTATCTGTGTGCCAACTCAAAACGTGCCTTCATATGGCGAGGTAAAAGCTTAGGTTTAGATACCATGGTATTTGAATAATTTTACTCCTTGTTACATTGAGTCCCAATTGAGCCTTAATCTGTCCACTGCTCATTAAATCCACGGCTGCAAGTCGCTAGATTTGACGCTTGCATCGGGTGTCAGTATCAGTTTTCCGTCCGCTGCGTGGTGTTGTTTTATATTCACTCGGATTTTTGAGGAAATTACTAATAGTATTTTTATGACAATTGAGTTTTTTAGCAATTTCAACATTTTTGGAACCGCTTTCATGCATTCCAATGATTAATCCTTGCTCATACTCCGAAAGGCTATTTCCACGCGGCATTTTGCACAGTCTAATACACCAATATTTAGGCAAACGCATTTTATAACATATATGTATACTCACGTTTAAATTTAGAATAAAATTCTTGTAATTAAACCTTTTAAAACCAATTAATGAAGCGGAGCAGCGAGCGAATTGTAAAAGACACATATAATTATTTATAACCAAATACCAAAGGCACGGGTACTTTTTAACGGTAAACCAAATATGCAGAGAACAAGGAAATGATAGTTGTGTATACATAAGAAGAGATAAACAAAACAGACTGCATTCTCAAAAATAAAGTGCCGTTACCTAATACGCAGAATACAGCAAAAATAGTTTGTCACATATAATTATTTTACTGAGGTATAATCGGCTTGACCGGATGTTACACTGCATACTATATAGCTATTATGTTGTTTATTGAAGAAAATCACTTTATAACAAATTATTATTTATAAATAACTTCAATTGAAAATCAAATAGTTTGTTGTTTGATTAAATGGATTGAGCTGGCAAGTACCTTTTAAATCATTTGAATTCTGCTCAGTTTTTCCCTTGCTAATAAAATTAGACGGCCGCCTAAAAGTATGCTGCAGTTCCCCGACACTGCATAAAATCAACTGAAACAAAATCTGAAGCCATTTATAAATTTTATTTCATGCACTCTGGCGTATACACATTATACTACATAAAAATAAATAATCTTTTTTTTTTACAAATAGGAACAAAATTACATTACTGCCTTATTTGCGCTGCCATTTAACGCTTATCGACATATAAGCAGAGTACAAACAATTGTCTGACAAGATTATCATTCCGATAGCTGTCTGAGACTGATAAATAAGCCTTTATAGCGCACAGATTACAGCTATATGATATATTAATCAGTAAATGACAACAATTGTATTATTACATACCTATTAGCCCATGCATTTTTTGACTAAGCCCGCACAATTCTAAAAACCTTGCCTGTGAGTCGCCGATTCCACTGCATTTGATAATGGACTATATCAGAATGATTGCAATAATATTGCATTACAAATCAGGTCACTTTTCTTGTGAAATTGAGGCAAGTGGCTCAAAGTGTCTTATGTGATCATCAGTGTTGCGATAATCCAATGCTAATGAAAGTAAATCAATTTATGGCTCACATTTCAATTAATTTCGGCCTAATGTTTATGCATTCACTTAGCATTGCTTAACTAATCGAAGTGGTACAGCAATGATACAGAAATTCGCGAATTAGCAGAATATGGGAAGGTGTGACAAATCCGAAATGTAAAATACAGAGTTTAAGAAATGTAAAAAAAAAAACAAGAAAGGAATGATAGAGTCGAAAGGGCTCAACTCTTAAATAACCAGTGTGCAACCAAATTTGATGCCAAAATTCCAAGACTTAGGAGAGTTGTAGAAAATCGCGATCAAGAATATATATAATTTGTGGGGTCTGCCACGCCACTTTTTGCCTGTTACATTTTTCACCACGCACAAAACTAATATACCCTTTCACCCTTTGGGTACAGGCTATAAAAATTATGCAATAAATATTTACTAGAGAAAGAAATCACAATAACAATTGTTATGAAAAGAAATCAAAGGCGATCACATTTATTGCTTATAATAACAAATGTGAAGGAACTCTTTCAGAGCTTACAGAATATTCCAAAGTAATATTAAAGAACAAAAAGTTAATAAAGGGAACATATTAATTATCATTTAAAGTTTTTTGGCTAAAAACCAATCAATTAATTTCAACATCAATTTGTGTTAAATATTTGCTTGCTATTCATATTAATTTACACTTTTTTTGTTTTATATTATCATTTATTTTTCATAAATATTGTGAAATGTTTACTTTCTGAACACTTTACAAAAGTTTCTCATTTTATGTTTACTTCAAGCAATTTGTTGATTATACATAGTACATTCATTTAAATGAGACACATTTCTTTCTGATTTATATTTTAATCTGTCATTCGATTAATTACTTCTTTGAATTTGTGCATTTGCATTGCAGTACTTGGCTGCAACGACATATGTGGGCCATTAGACTACAAAACAAAGCGATGCGTCATTAAATAAAATAAGAAAACATAAATAAAGATCCGAATCGAAAATAAGCCTTGCGCGATCAAAAATAAAACGTATACGTTATTTACTAAAGAAAGGGAAATTAACATAAAAGAGAGACGTTCAACCAGTCGCCTATATGTCTCAGTAATTGAAGTGCTGATAATGTGCCTTTTAATTACAATTACAAGCCATTAATGCAATTAAAAGAAAAGTAATGCGCTGCCAAGTATCAAACAGATAACTGATAAGTCGAAACATATTACGATAATAAAAAAGAAGGGAAACAAAAAGGGAATAGCCGCAAGTGGTGTCGGCAATAAAACTAAGTAGTTTATTGATTGCTGAGTCACACTGCATTCAATTAAATTAAATATTAAAAGCGCAAACAAGACGGAACTGGAAGTGAAGCGTAGGAAAACAAATTCCTAGGTCCCGAACTTGAAAGGCTAGGCAATCGGTAAGTGTTAAATGTAACTGAAGACAATGTAAATAGGGAATGTGAGTCAAGACATGCGATGCAGGCGATAATCACACTAGACAACAAAGGTTTACGAAAGCTTTGTTGTGGTACCCTATTTAAATAAATTGGACAAATAAAAACAAGAGAGAACGCTACAGTCGAGCAAGCCCGACAGTGTAATACCCTGTACCCAGGTAAACTTCCGTCACTGAGTTATATGCGCCCATAGCAGCAGCAAAACAAGAGAGAACGCTACAGTCGAGCAAGCCCGACAGTGTAATACCCTGTACCCAGGTTAACTTGCGTCACTGAGTTATATGCGCCCATAGCAGCAGCAAAAAGATGAAGAAGAAGAGCGAACTTGTTGCTGCAGTTTGTGGGGGTTGTACTGACGAAAATTTGTTTTGCTAATAACTTTTCTTAGAATTGACCGAATTGAATAAAATTTTGAACAACAATAGACAATTATATATAAATTATGTGTGCAAAGTTTGGTTTAGGTAGCATTTTAAATGTGGATGCTATTGACGAAATTCTGTAGCGGGGGAAGGGGGGGAAAATTCCAAAAAATAAAATAAACTCGTCCTTACTCGGACCTAGGAGAATCTGGATGCCAACTTTGGTTATTCCAGCTTTTATAGTTTCTGAGATCCTTGCGTTCATCCAGACGGACGGACAGACGGACAGACGGACGGACATGTCTAGATCGATTTCTCTCGTCATGCTGATCAAGAATATATATACTTTATGGGGCCGGAGATGCTTCCTTCTGTATGTTACATACTTTGCACAAACCTAATATACCCTTTTTACCCTACGGGTACAGGGTATAAAAAGAGGAAGAAGAAGAGCGAACTTGTTGCTGCAGTTTGTGGGGGTTGTACTGGCGAGAATTTGTTTCGCTAATAACTTTTCTTAGAATTGACCGAATTGAATAAAATTTTATACAACAGTAGACAATTATATATAAATTATGTGTGCAAAGTTTGGTTTAGGTAGCATTTGAAATGTGGACGCTATTGACGAAATTCTGTAGCGGGGGAAGGGGGGGAAAATTCCAAAAAATAAAATAAACTCGTCCTTACTCGGGCCTAGGAGAATCTGGATGCCAACTTTGGTTATTCTAGCTTTTATAGTTTCTGAGATCCTCGCGTTCATCCAGACGGACGGACAGACGGACAGACGGACGGACATGTCTAGATCGATTTCTCTCGTCATGCTGATCAAGAATATATATACTTTATGGGGTCGGAGATGCTTCCTTCTGTATGTTACATACTTTGCACAAACCTAATATACCCTTTTTACCCTACGGGTACAGGGTATAAAAATAAGTACAATATAAAATCCAGTACATATTGCAAACTTTTTAAAGAAATACTGAATTAGAAAGTGGGAAATATTTCAATTCCAAAAAAGGACTACCATGTAATAGAACAGTTTTTTATAAAACCCAAATGTGTTAAAAGCAACAAAGTACATACTCATACTCATACTCCTAGATCAGTTACAGAAAAAGTCGTGTAAAAAAAGACATTGATCATATGCTAATTTAAATCGTGTTTAATATTTAATTTTCAAACCGTATAAAAACAGAATTAGGTGTATATCCTTGTGATCATCATAACAACACGGGTCCTTCTGGATGTACCCGTCTGTACAAAGACAAACAAAAACAAGAAAGGAATGCTAAAGTCGAGCAGGCTCAACTCTTAAATACCCTGTACCACCCCACAAAAAAGTAATTAAATTAATTAAATTAAATTAATTAATTAATTACATTTAATTTATTAACTAAATTAATTTAATTAATTAACTAAATTAAATATAAAATATTCCATGCATGCATACATACATTTACATTTACATCAGAATCGTGTCTATTCGTGTTGGTGTACTTGTACATATGTATGTATGTGTGCATTGGGCCTGGTTATATGGCTATAACTTTCTTTCCGATCATTCTATCATAATGAAACTTGGTATACGGATATATAATTACTAACCTAATGTGACTACCATTTTAGTTCAAAATTCCAAGAATTACGGGAGTTATAGAAAATCGTTAATAGAAGGGGAGTGGGGGGGTGGATCAGAAAAAATGAACAAACTCGTCCTTTCTCGGTCTCAGGAGAATCTGTATACCAAGTTTGGTTATTCTAGCTCTTATACTTTCGGAGATCCTTGCGTTCATACAGACAGACAGACGGACAGACAGACGGACAGACGGACATGGCTATATCGACTCGGCTTGTCATGCTGATCAAGAATATATATACTTTGTGGGGTCTACCAAGCCTCCTTCTGTGTGTTCCATGTGAACTCGCACAAAACTAATATACCCTTGTACCCTTTGGGTACAGGGTATAATAATACTGCTATAGTCACCAAACTTCGAATACGTACTTTTCTTAGTCGAAGAAATGACTAGTTTATCTTTATTTCGATGAAATTCCCACAAGCCTTTTTTCCCCTCTCCAACGCAAAAAAGTAATAAATAAAGCAATAAATCAGATATCCAGCAAATTTAGATTTATCTAAATCTAATAATCCTTTATAGCTCGTTCTCAAATTTTGTAATTTCTAAACAAAATTTTCTGTTGCCTAGTGTAATCAAAACCGAAGAAAAGAAGCAAAAGCTTATGTTCTAATTGTCTATAAAAAAATATGGAAGCTGAGCGATTGTCAGTCAATTAATAAGTTTTTTTTATTATATGTGCAAATTCATTAAGAAAATTAACGCGACGAGTTGCCGCGAGTTTTTCAACATAGTCTGCTAGGCGGGGCCCCAATCGCCAATAGCCTCAGTTCCCATTCGATTCTCAATCGGTCGAGACGCGTGCCCCGGTTCGGCAGCAAAGGCAACGGGCCGTGCGAGTTGCAAGCCACATGGCATGTTGTTTATTGTTCAACAATTCAATTCATTTAAATTAATTAGTATGCAATAAAAAATAAATCAAGAACAATTGCTGTGAAAATATATCAAAACGAATAGTCCCCCAACCGAATATTAGTTTTAATAGAAAGGAAATTCTTTGCAAAAAGTAAGACCTTATACTTATAATATATTAAGAATATACTGTAATTAAAATGGAGGCTATACATCTGAGCCGCTAATTGTAATGGCTTGAACAATTATTTTTAAAGTGCATGATTACAAATTAAAATGCGAAATATATTAACGATGTATGAGCACATATTTCGTAAACTTAAAAAAAAGTGTGAAATTTTATAGTTTAGATATATTTTACACTTCCAAATTTAATTTTTAATTCGCATATTTACAACTTTTTAGTATCAGAAAATAAAGCATTTGGACTAAATGGGGATATACATTGAGAAAGTATATGTAGAATGTATATTATAAATATTCCGCTTAAATGTATAAATTAAAAGGAAGGGACTACTAATTTCAAAGACTGTATATTACATAGTTGAGGCCATTTAAAAATAATAAATGGAAAATGAAATGAACAGAAAACAAGTAAAATAAATTAAAAAATTAAAGTTTATAGGAAATTAATTCAACCACCACAGTAGATAACCAAATGAGCAGAACTCTGTGTATCTCTAACAATGAAAACAATTACTATGTTTTCATTTTTTCCAAATTATTACAAAATGGTAATAGTAGTATATTATTATTATTACATTATTATTATTATAGTATTCTTAGCAATTCTGAGGAGTTCGGCGCTAAAGCTTCAAAAAATGTTGCTATCAGCATTGCTAATTGATAAGAGTTTTTGATGCAAAAGTGATTTCTTAAATAAATTAAGACTTGAAAATTTCAATTCGGGCTATTCGCATACCAAAACCATGATTGAAGACTCAGTAAAAACTAATTGCTTACCTTCTATATTTCCTTAGCCATAAACATAGAACAATATTTTTAAAGAACGCTGATGAAATGAAGTGATAAACTACAAAGGCAGTAAGAGCTCGAGTTAAGTAATTATTTATGTACTTTATTACTAAGTATAAGTCACAATTTTTAATGAAACCGTTAAAAAGTTAAATAGGCCGGCTTTCTACCAAAAGTAATGCAAGAAACAGTTTCAAGTTGAAGATATAATTGAAGTTCTTACTTAAAACAAAAACTTTTAATAAATAGGTAAGAGTCTTTTAATGAAAAAAGTATATAAATAGTAGACAGAAATTCAGCAAATATTGTTTTTTTATTGTATTAGAGATTTTTCCCTAATGAAATTATTTATTTAGTGATAGAATTCGCCTTAAAAAATACATAATTTCAGCAATATTTATTGTTTTTAATTGTTATATGTGGAAAGGCAGGACCAGTGCATGGTCCTCGCTGTTTACCTTTGCCGAACAGTTTTTGCTGAGCGTTGTTATCTAAGAGTAACCTATTTTGTAGTTGACAGACAATAAATCATGTTTCCCTATAGGTTTACTTCAAATCTATAACAAAGGAGAAGAATTTATTGCATTTGTATACTTTAAGTGCGTAGGGTTCTTATTTTTCTGTAAGTGCAACATTTTTTTATTGCACAAACAATGAAGCCACGTGTATTTTTGCAGCTTTTGTGCTATCTTTGCTATAGTTACGATTTTATAAAGTCCGCGATAGCTAATTTACACCTGCGGAAAATCACAAAACAAGTCATTCAACTTATTGCACGACCCGCCTCTTAGCACCAATCCGTCATGTCCGGCCCCAAATTCAAATAAATATGTATCGACTATATAGTAAGTGACCAGTTCTGCCTTCCATCGAATACAACCAATATTGTCGCCCATACAATTAGCACCCTGACTTTTCATACTTGGTATTAAATAACGTACAAATTTGCACGCCCGAAATGTCGTTTGACAGGTCTGGAGTAATGCGTCTGGCTTGTTGATTTTCCGTGGCAGCTGAACTATGCCGACTATGTAGAATTAACACCTAGCGATGGGTTGGGGTTGGAGAGGACTTCACAACACTTATTAGCACTGTCGTAACTTGGTTAAAACAAAAAGGAATTGTCAATATGAACAGAAAATTAGTAAACATTCTGGTGCGCAAAAAAGATGAAAAACTGAAAAATGTGTGGTTAGAATTTCTTTTCCAATCGATTGAAAAAGTTATGCCATAAAACCGCAGATTCTTTAGGATTGACACAAAAAGTAATTCATTTTGATTCCATTTCAAAAATCATAAATAAATGAATTCCTTCACTTTGTGCTCTTGATATGTGATTAGAATATTGAATTGCGTTGTGTTTTGTTGATTTTCAATTCATTTTCAAATTGCATTTAAATATAAAAATAAATATGCTATTATTTTCAATGTGTACGATAATTATAATAAATAAATTCCCCAATGCATGATTTGGTGGAACGTTGCGTGTTGTACTTTTTAGGGAAGAAGAGAAAGTGGAAAAAAGTCAGAAGTGCATTTTCAGAATTAAAAGCAGTTGATTATTTTATATTTATTACTTATTTTTACAACTATCTGCTTATGTATCAAGAATTCAATTTACTAATGAAAACCCAGTTTTTTTTTAACATTTCCCATTATTAAGCTTTCTTCATTGTTTCATAAACTTAAAGGGTAGAACCCGTCTATAAAAGTAGACTAAACTTATTCTTAAATATGGATTAGTTATACTTGTAAATAAAAACCTAACTGAGGTATAATATAGATTAGATTAGGTTAGGTTAGTCCGGTGCCTGTTGTCAGGCATTGGAGATCAGCTTAGAATGCTACCTCTTTCTTGACAATATGAAGAGTGCTTATGGAAACCATTATTCATGGTATTATGGATTCCTTGCTTTTGAGATGCCCCGGTGTATGGGAATCCGTATTGTCTGCGCATACCTTATCTAGTGCCTCCCTGCTCGCCAGGATTCTTTTGTGAACGCCTGCAAATATCTCTCTCCACAAAATGATGATATGCTGTTCGCAATTGGTAGCTTTAGAGCCCCTTCCATTGCCTTTCTAATGGCAAATACATCCTTTCTCTTTATCTCAATTAATGTACGAGCACATCTTTTTGACGGTTTCGCAACTTGACACAGTTTGGAGAGCGATTGTAGTATCTCCGCTATAAAGTGAACTGTAATACAATACTTCTGCCTTTCAAGATACAATCCAAGCTGTCGATAAGACTGCCAGCAATTTTTTATAGATATAATTTATGACTTGAATTGTTATGAACCTAACAAAAGAAAAAGAGGAAATCGACATTCAGTCTACATTATAAAAAATAAAACTAGAAACGTCAATATATTTTTTCTTCCTCATTGATTATGGCTTTTAATTCAGGTATTGATTCGTTTTATTTCTTCAACAAATATAATAAATGCTTTTAAACTTTATCTGTGCCAGGGCCAGGCAAACACACATGTAAAGAACTTTATGATTAGCCTTGAAATCAAATTGATAAGCTGCTGGAGTTAGGCGTCACTTTCTCCCTTTTATTGACGGCAGCACAACTTGCTGTATAAAAGCCAACATATACTCATATATGTATGTGTTCTGCTATTCCGTTGGGCATTTGAAGAATTTTGCTTGACATTCAATGCCGTTGTCATCAGATTTTAGCTGTAAATGCCTTCAATTGATATCAATTGAGTGGCAGTCCCCAAATGTTTACACTGTCCACGTTTATTTATTTATACAAATGTATTGAATGTGCTTCAGCATAACAGTATTAACAACAATAACAAATACTGACTATCAACATGAATGGTTTTGCTTTCAATTTCCAATATGCTAATGGTTTGGTGAAATGTTTTTAAAAAGGGTTGAACAAATTGCGGGCCCAATAAATTGCTTAAATAAATTCAGAAGAAATATACATTTTTATGAAAATACATTTCATTTCATGGAATTGAGTTCGGCTCCTAAATACCCTTTCTCCACTATCGCCATTTTATTGAAATCAACTTTGTTGTACCAATCAGTTCTATTACAGATGTGTAGATGAAAACGTTAATCTTTTTGGTAATTAGTATGTGGCCCAATAATTTTTATTTATTTTGCTTTTAAGTACAAATTTTCAACTCCCAAATGAGGAAAAATGAGAAGCGAAGTATAAATTTCTGCAACCCAGCCTAACTAGTAAGGTTAAACCTTGTCCAATCGTCATAGTTTCTTAGCAAAAAACAAGCTATACACTCTGGAAAACTATATGCGAATCCTCCTCCTCCTCTTTTTCAAATGTGTGCTGATTTTTGTGGCATTTGGGAGTTAGCTTCGCTTTAACTGCTCACTGACTATGCTCTTTTTTTCAATTCTATTTCCCCAGAGCCCAAGCCAATCACAACATGCGTCAACATGGTTAACCACTCAGCAACAGCAACAACATCAACAACACTGGGCGGGCATTGCAACAATTTGGCGATAACGCCAACGCCAAGCCCCCAATTATCGAAGCGCAAAATCTCGCACATTTACGGCGCTACGCCCCCACCGACGCCCATCAACGAAAATGACGGCCCATGGAATGCATCGCTAACAGCAGCAATACCAGCAACAACAACAACAACAACAACTGCAACAACTACAACATCAACAACAACAACAGCTGCTGCACCAACAAGCGATATCATTGGAGATGTTGTGGGAAACTTTGGCATTTGGCAGCTGCGTACCATCCTCATCATATTTCTATGCAAAATACCCGCCTCCTGGTTCATGGCCTGCATAATGTTTACGGCTCCCGAACTGTATCCGGGCACGGAATATAGCTGTGACATCAGCCAGTATGGCAGCAGTTCCGCCAACCTCAGTGTCACTTCCAATCAGTGCTTTGTAATAGATGCGTCCTCGGGCAGTCGCAGCGAATGCGAGCATTTCAATTATATGTCCAGCTTCGACTCGCTTATCATGCAATTCGATTTGGTTTGTCTGCGCGATATCTTCATTGCCTGGACCCAGTATTGGCATCTGTTTGGCGTCCTTGTCGGCGGACTGACGGCCACTTGGATGATGCGCACCATAAGTCCGCGCTCTACTTATTGTGTGGGTGCTGTGGCCCAGATTCTGTGTGGAGTGGTCACAGGATATGCGCGCGACTTTAGTCTCCACTGCGCCTTTCGCTGTCTCTCTGCGGTCTGTTGTGCCATTATGTTCACGGCCGGACAAACTATATGTGAGTGTTAAAACAATTGTGGGTTGTAATCGATTATTTATATGTATACTTGTACATATGTACCTCTCTTCAGTTGTGGACATAACGGCGGGCATGCATCGGATTGGCGCTATTATTCTCTATGACACCTTCTGGTCGATTGGTGTTATTTTATTGCCTGGCCTGGCATCATTCTTCAGCAGCTGGACCTTCATCTATTTGGGCATTACGTTCCCCACAGTTCTGCTCATTTTGTTGCTCTACTGGACCCCAGATTCGCCGCGTTGGCTCCTCAAAAATGCCATCGACCACCATTCCATTGACTTTGTGGAGCGAATTGTGCGCGAAGGCGCTGAGATCAATGATCGATCCTTCAAAATACCGCCCGATTTCAATCAGCAACTACAGCGGTTAAGTGAGAGGCTTAAGGCACAGCCTCCAGCGGCTGCTTGGCGCCAACTGTGGAGTGGAAAGCGGGCCAAGACGCACATGATCGCCGCTCACGTGGCCCTCGCCTGCTTCATCATCAACTTCATGGGCATGCTGCTGAATATTCGCTCCTTTGGGCGCGAGTATGTTGTGCCCAATTCCATTGCCATGGGTAGGTTGTATTGAAGGGAGCAAATGTTTCTCAATATTATTTGAAAAATTTGCACTAATCTGCAGGTTTCTCGGAAATCATTGGCTGCTTTCTGGCCCTACATTTTACGCTGCAACACAATAAATGGAAATGGCAATGGGCGGGAGGCTTCAATATCATTGCGGGCCTGCTCGGCTGTCTGGGTTGGCTGATCTCAGGCTCCAAATCTCGTAAGTTTTACAGTATTATAAAATAATTTTAAAATTTATAGAAATAGAAGATAGCATAGAATAAATAAATCTACTTTCGAAAGTCTTGTTAGTATATTATTTTAAAATTAAATTAAACTTTACATTAAATACCTTAAATAATCCCAAAATTTAAAATAGGTTAAGTAGGTAATCAAATCGTCTTAAATGTTTTTCTATTAAAATTGTTTGTTTTTGTGACTAGTGCAGTAATTTATAAGAATTTTCTTGTCACACTAGGAAATAATAATAATAAATAAATAAACTGTCATAAAATTGTAAAATTGAAAGTTCTTGTAGAAGCCCTAAGCTCCCAAGTGGAGTAAAAAGGAATAAAAATTTCACAAAATTAAACTTAAATTGAAAACATTTTTTGTCGGTTCTCCCTTTATTTGTTTATTTACATAAATGCACGGATTCAAATAAATTTATATGAGTTTAAGAATTTACCAATTATTTACAAAATATGCCAAATATGAATATGTATGGGGGAACCAATACAAAAACACTGGCCTTTAATTACAACTTTACTTTATCCAAATAGTTTCTTACATTTTATTTGACGCTTTACAAACGGTTTATCACACTTTCATAATTTATTTCAAACAGTTTCTTATAATTTTATAATATCTTTTCAAATAGTTTTTTACACTGCGTCTGACTTCGAAACTCCGTTAAATCAGGTCATCTTTTAAGACTCTATGAACCTTTTTAAAAATTATGGCTTAATAAAAGAGCTTATATTGAAATTAATTTTTTTATTACAAAATTGTATTATTATTAAACAAGTAACCTACTACCTATCTGACAGTTTAATTTGGTTGCATAATGTTGAATCTGTTAAATAGAAACAGTGGCATTGTTAACAAATCAACAACAAAATATATACGAGTAATCTGAAAAGAATGTGCCTAGCTATTTTCATAAATTAAGACCTATTATAACTTTTAATACTACATATTATTGGGATTTTTCCTTTTTTTTATATGTACATATATATTTTTTCAATCATCATAGCTTATCTTCTCTTTAATATTTAGAATAGTAAAGAATATAGTGTAGTTTATATAATCTTCCCCAATATGATAAAATTTTCTTCTGCCTTGCAGTAAATGCTGAGCTGGCCGTCACACTCTGGATGATCCTGGCGACGATATCCAAGTCGGCTGTCTCCTGCGCTCAGTCCATGATCCTAGCATGCATGAACGAACTAGTGCCGGCCAACAAGAAGCTACCCTTTGTCCTGTCCGTTGTCACCTGGGCTCGTGTCTGGCTGCTCTCGGCACCCTTTTTCAATGTACTGAAGAAAATCGACACGGCCCTCTCCTTGACCTCATATTGTATCTTTAGCATTATTGGCGGCATCTGCACGTGCCTGCTGCTAACGCCAAGGACTCACGTAGCCCCAGTGTCCACCCAAGCAGAGCTGTGTAATAATAAAAAGGAGCAGTCGCCATTGAATGCGCCCGTCTGGACAATCGAATCGGATGTTCATAATACGCGTTTGTGAATGACTCAAAGTACAACTTTGAGATATAGCTTTGGTTCGGTTCATAAAAGACCATTCTCTGTGATTAGTTTAAGTGCAGCTGCAAATTTCAGATACCCCTGTGAGGCATTATAATAAAGTACTCAATATGTTCGAAAAGAATTGTTTTACTTTCTGTTAAAGCCACAAGTTGTTTTAATAATAATATTGAAAAGTTCAATGGAAAAACTGGGCATTTTGAGAATTCCATTGTTCTAGAATTTCAGCATTTTTTAAGACAATTGTATATGCCGCAAAAGGACTAAATATTGGGTTTGATAAGATTTCTTTGTTTACACAGTGTTGAGTAATATATCGACTGCATTTCCTTAAATATATAATTCATTAATAAATAAATTTGACAAAAATAACAACAATATAGTTGGAATTCAGTGGAAATCGATAGACAAATGTCAGATGTATTGACTCTTAGGTATAAACTGAAAGATCTTAATATTACTTCATATAATATAAAATTTATTATTTCCAACCACTATTTTTTTTAAATTTATTCTTAAGTAAGCTTTCGCTCTCAAACTAATATAAACTTTTACCAGTTGTTTGCGATCAAAAACAATTAAAAGTCTATACATTTTTCTTGTGCTTTGATTTGAGTGTGTTTCTTATTATTTCCAATTATATTTATTCAATTTTTAACAATTTTTTTTTTTTTAATTTTCATTGCTTGTATGTTTTTCATTTTCCAACTCTATACACCGAAAATGTTTAGTTAGCTTCTCTCACCATAGCAACCTTTCGCTAGAACTTGTTGTTAATTCCAGCAAACAAAAAGCACAACTGAATTATTGCTATTTACGAGTAAAAAAAGAGAGAAAAGTACATTTTTGGAAAATATCTTAAAAGGCATCATGAATATCAGCTCAACAGTATCGTAAGTTTTCCATAATCGCATCAGATGGCATTGCAATTCATTTTTCTTGCTACTCAGTTGGGTTAACACGTGGGAAAGTAAGACTTTGTGCAATGTCGGGCCAGATGTCCTGTGTCTACGACAAGGAAATGTCGTCAAGTTCATTAATCTGCAAACGAATGCGACAAGTTATTTCAAGGCTGAGACTGTGGCAACCGGTGTCTATATATCCGCATTTGCCGGTCATTATCGTTTTCCACTTTTCGCCTTCGCTGAGAGCGTTCTCCATCCACAGATACATGTCTACAAATATCCCGATTTTACTAAATTCAACACCCTTTCACGTGAGTAGCATGCGAAGAACCACTTACCACTCTCTAGATACTAAAATATTAGCAATTCTTTACATAATTCCATAAAAATATTTACATTTTCATAAGGTCTTTAATTAATCTTTGTTTCCCAGCTTCTCTGCTTAACTATCATGATATAAGCTTCTCCGAATATGATTTGCTTGTTGCCATTGGCGGTCATCCAAACTATCCGATATGTGTCTTCAATTATCGGACTGGCATGGTTCTGGTCAAGCAGGAAACATACATTATGGTACTTAGGCGCTCCTTTGTTCTGTCGAACAACAATTTTCCCACCATTGTGCAATTCAATAGGGAACATTTGAGTCTGGCGTGCTATGAAATGTGCTTCTTGGAGAAGATGTCGTTCCTGCATAAAATATCAGAGGTGGAACTGGGAAATAATTATATAAAATCTGCCCAACACTTCATGACCTTCGGCGATGACAACGGACTGTACGTGGTCAATGACTTTGGGGTCTTCTCCCAAATCGATATCGCCTGCTTTCTAATAAAGCAGCGCTGGGCGCCCGCATCAGCCGAGTTTGAGGAGTTGGATCAACATCCCCGAGCCCATGGTCTGACTGCACACAAGATGGGATTTCTACTCTATAATAGCAGTACTGCCTATTATCTGAAACGGAGGACAGGACAATTTGCCATCGAGTGGAAAATTGATGAGCTCATCTCTAATATCAATATGTTCGTGAGCAACTCGAATGGAGAGCTCTATGCCGAGAGAGAGTTGGGCAGCATTTATCATGTGCACGTGACGGAGACGGAGGGGCGACTCGAGCAGGTGGTGAAGACCGGTGTTCCCATCAAACTGTTTCGTCAGATGCACGGCCTGAAGGAGGAATGCATTGTGCTGCTGCACGACGATGGAGTCTCTATATTGGATCTGATGCGGAATATCATTGCAAGCGATATTCATATACCCCGAACCAGCTATATGTACGCACATCATGTAATGCCCTACGTGGTGGTGAGCACCTTTGACGCGCGCCTCATTCTGTTGCAGTACGAACGAGCCAGTCAGGGCAGCATTGTCTTTGATCTTCAATGCGATACACCGGCCATTCTTTCCCTGGCATACTTCGACAGTTGTGTGGTCTTTAAGGACGAATTGAAGATCTTCCATATAGTGTCCGTGGAGTATCGGCCTGCCAAAATGTCACACTTATATTCGTTTCAGGACGATCAAATAGTGAAGCACGTATTCGTACATTCTTATCGCCTGCTCGAGGGCAATCGTCTCATGGTGTTCATCGCCCGGGACAAGCACATCAAGAAGCCGGGCCATGCCGAGGAGCTGTGGCTCTATCAATGGACTCGAGATAATCGTCTGCGCCGACGCGAATATATTCTGCCCCACACCTATGCCTTCACGTACTTGCCCTTGCCCACTGGACGTTGGGTGCAGATCGAATTTTTTGGCGCCATTGCGGAGAGCACCGCCTTCGATCACCTGATACTGACCGATCACAACGAATTGCACCTGCTGGCCACCATTAAAACGCCCCACTTCGGGTATATTACGGGCCTGGGCATGACCAAGAATTTGTTGAGTTGGGGCGTCGACGGCATTATTATACATTTTCGTACCCACAAACGCTCCCGGAAACCGTTCATGATATCACGCTTCCTAAAAGTACTTTTCGCGCCAATAAATGTGCTAAGGGCCCGAGAGATATACAACTCCAAGTGAGTATGGTTGGGGGAATGATTGGGACTTATAAAAAGTCCGTTAATCTCAATTAATAATAAAATGTTTAGGCATGAAAGATATTTCGACGAAATATAATTAGCAGATCAACAGTTTGTCCATCCGTCCTGCCTTCCCTCCATCCGCATAAAAACTTAAAACGTTTGAAACATTACTACTGGGACATCGATTTAGCTATAGAGAGTTGTCTTATCCAAAGGAAGATCAAGTTTATTAAACATAAACATATAACTGCCACGGGATCAATTGGTCCAAAAGCATCTCTTGATCAATTTTATGTATTTATGCTTTACACAATCATTTAGCTACCATATTGATTGATTCATTTAAATTGAAGGACTAAGGCAAAGAGAGAGGTGGGAACAGGCAATACCAGAGTTAGACTTGTCACCCTTTAACATTCTATTCCCAACTATTAATAGATATCTTGTGGTTCACCTACCCGGCCGGCACTTGCGTGTCATGCGTTTACCATCTCTGGCCGATAATGTGCGGGAAAATAAGGAATTGCCTTTACCGCAAGAGGGTGTGAATATTATTGAACAAGCGAATGAAGTTATCTTAACTGTCATTCCGCTCGCCACTAAGACGATGGTCAAGGAAGTCGAGTTCACTCAGGCGGATTTTATGAAGCGCGAGCGTGTCTTCACCATGATTGCGGAATTCGCAGCCAAGGTGACGGCTCTGATAGACTATGACATGGAAGTGACTGGCAAGTCTCAGGGTATTTTCAAAAAGTTCTGCTTCAACTACGAATGGTTGGACGCAATCACCGATGAGGCCCACAAATTGTGCGGCCTGGAGCGGGAATCGCTGGAACTTGCGATCAAGGATCAGTCCCGTATACGTGACTGGATCATGCGATTGGTGACTGCGATGGCCAGTAGCATCAACTACAAGGTACGTTCCATATTTGCCGATGCCAATTTCGAAAGCTTTGCCTTGCTACGTAAGCCGAATATGGAGCTATTGGACAAATACCGATTCTATGACCTCGAGGATCATATGCGCATGTCTATTATGTCGGATATGGAACTAGAGGAAATAGGCCCTCCACAACATGGACCGCCACCTACCGATTTCGATGACGAAGGTGAAGAAGAGGAGGACGAACAAAAGAAGGGATTCAAGGAAATGAAACCATTTGTGGTGGAAGGCGACAGCGTCTATGAACACATTATGGCGCCAATCTTTCGGCTCCAAGATAAGAATCTAGTCACATCCAATCAAATCTACAATGTTGCCTGCAAGTATCGTCACTACTTGAATCTGCCACTGAAGCAAGAGTTCAATAAACTGTTTCACGAGGCACAACAAATGAAACAGGAGACCATTGACAGTGTCCTGAACACTAATTCTGTCCTCTATAAGATTTATGATAACATGAATATAATGCTCCGTCTCTTACAAATGGACATGTTCGATCCCCCCGCACTATCAGTGCCCCAGCTGGCCAAAGACGAGGCCATCAAATGCATTATGGAGGTGGATGATTCGGAAATCAAGGCCGTCAACCGACGTAGAAAGAAGACGATTGATCTGGGTGGGAAACGAGGCCGTCTACTGCTCTGGTCCATAGAGTTTTGGGCCCGAGCTCTGATCATCATGATGGATGGTGTCATAGAGAAGCTGTGGGAGGAGGAAATAAAGAAGGATATACCCTTGCCAGAGTTCATGGTGAAGAAACAGCCGCATGAATACAATCTGGAGGATCAGAAGATGTTTCGCGCCTACGAGGAGGCTGTCCGCCAATTGGGCGAAGATCGCCGCAAATACCTAAAAATTTTGCACGAAAACGAAGCCAAAACCCTGGAGCTGAAAACCCAGCAAATCCTGAAGCTGAACAAGCGTGTAGCCGAGCTCATGTTACTCAAGCTGAAGTATGACTTCGCCATTAAACAGGAGCGCTTACGAAGTCTGAATCTGAAGCGCATTAACTTCCAGCGCGTCGAACTGCGCAAGCGCATAAATCTGTTCTACAACGATGTGGAAAAGTTAAACCAGTATATCACTAAGTACAACCAGCTGCTGGAGTTCTGGGAACGCGGGCTGGCGGACACTCGCATTCGCATGGACACCCAACAGACCAGAGATCGTGCCGTGGAGCGACAATTTCGCAACAATTTTCTAAACACTGTTCCCCATGCCACACACGAGATGACCAAGCTCTTCAAGAAGCGCCCCAAACTGCCTGCCAAACTCTTCCCCTCGGCTCTCATCTGTATGGAGACGGCCCATAAGTTGAGCGGCAAACACCAGCAGCGCATGACATTCCCATTGCCAGCGGAAGTGCTCGAGTTTCTGGCTCTTATCGATGACATCGATCAGCCCAAGAATTGTCCGCAACAAGTTGACACCAAAAATTGGGAGGCATTCATCAAGCTGCGACGCCAAAAAGTCGAAAGCGAGCTGAAATTGAAGGGTCTGGGATATCAGATGGTAGACTGCCAGGGATATTTGAATAACATCACCAAGGACATCGCCGGACTAAAGGATGCAAAGCTTTTGACTCAAAAGCACTTGGAGGACGCAACACAGCAATATGTGAGTAAATTTTTACTATCGATAGATCGGATCTTTTCTATCTCTAACTATTCTCATTTACAGCTGGAGGTTATGCGAAATAGAACGCTGCAGTTGACGCTATCGTTGGGTCAAGTAGAGGTCTCTGTCATGAGAAGTCCCAAAGCACTCGCCAATAGTGTTCTCATGCATGTGGACGATATCAATGGTGTGAATCGTATGATAAAGGTGGGTATAACTCAGACATCTAGTTCTGGGCAAATTTATATTTGCAGGCGACTAATTTTTATCTCGAACCTTAGGAAGCTGGCGACAAGAAGATCAAAGCCATGCAACGAGTGGCCGTCTTTAGGCGTCAGGTCATCTTCAAGGAATGGGAGCACAAGCTCTATAAGGCCAACATCGCATATTTGAAGTACATGCTTGATGCCATAGAGCATTGCAAGGTCACCATTGAATTTCTCAACATCCTACGCAACTGGAACAAAGTTAAGGCCGAGCGTCAGAAGTTTATGGCAGCTGGTGCCATAGAACGTGTGATAGAACAGAAAATATCGGCCTTCAAGAAGCACATCGAACGCGTGTAAGTTTAATGCCTAAATGCCTCATTCAATAGATCTATTATCATCCACATTTACCCAACAAAGTAATGCCAAGATCGATATTTGCAAAGCGAATACGCTGGACATGAAACGAGATAGCCATGCGATCGATTCCAAAATCGAACGATTTCAGGTGGAGGTGTGCTTTAAGGGTTCGCTGCGTGATACCATGATGGAGGAGCGACGCGATCGCGAACGAGATGAACGGTATATAGTCCTATAAGTAATAAAAATCTACAGTATCCTAACCTAAAATGTATTCAATTTCTAGCATGGCGCAAATCATAAGACATCGTCAGGCTCTGGACAAGGTGCGGCGCCATTATGTGCAGGTCCTGGAATTACAAACCATATTGGAGCTTTTACGCCTGCGCACCTATCCTACGTTGGGTCCACCATTGCCCCAATGCCATCCTCCTGTGCCGGAACATATACTTAGCTCGGTGCCAAATAATCCATAAATATTAATTGCTATTTATTTGTGACTTTTGTAAATACATGTAAAGCGCTAAATCAGCACATAAATCAGCAGCATATAGGAAATTAGGTGCAGGAATATCCAAAGCCAGTAGGTTCTGAAAGCGAAGAGTCAATACATGAAAGGGGACAATACGCGAAAGACTTGCCGATATTGCTTACTTTGTCACTTGGATTTTATTTGCATCCACATTAAAGTTTTCACGATGCAAATATTTGTTAATGCCGATCATGTGACGCCGCACATAGTCATCGTAGTTAAGCTCATCCAAATTCCAGTACAGCATGGGAAAGGTGCCATTCTCAATGAGCTCTTGAAAGTAGTAGCGACTGCTGTTCTGGAATATCCATTCGTTCAGCGAGAAAAAGCTTCCTGAAAATTAAGATTGGTGGTTAGAAAGGAATAGCATTTTCAAAAAACTTCGAATTGACAAAGAAGCCAAATGAAAGGTATTTTTTAATAAAATTTGATTCCAATTCTTCAAGAACATATATTCAACCTAATGAATCAATTTAAAAAGTTTTGGAAAATGATAATTTCAGCAAATTTTAGATTATAGTATTGAAGTAACTCAAATGAATCTCTTGAATAAAATACAGAACCAATTGCCTAAGTTGCAATCTCTTCAAATATAGTGTAATGGATAATGACGCACCTGCTAGACATGCCTGTCGAAATTTCTTGGCGATCGGGGTCACCAAACGTTTCTTCTGGCCCAAAAGCAACGTTCGCAGGTCCATCAAAATCGCAGGCCCAAAATGTAGCATCCAAACCGCCAACTCGTGTCTCAGAGCACCTCGACGATATTTGAAATTGGGAAACATAATCATACGCTTTGTGGGATAGATACGCGACCATTTCATAGTCAGATTGCCCAAACGTTGCCAGCTAATGGGATTTGTCACGCCCGAAGTGGCATTACAAATGCTAATGCTGCAAAGAATTCGAAAAGCTATATACATACGATTACATTTCTACAACTAGGATCTTTCACATACCGGCCCACCACAGCCTTTTGGGCCATCATGATCATGGCATTCACAACAAAATCGACGGGGATTATATCACATATTAAGCGGCCGTCGCCCAAAATACTGCTGATGCCACCTTTGCCGATTTCCATCATAATGCCACTAATCGCCTGTATATTGTCAATCCAACCGGGATACGGCTCCCGATAGGCTGCTGTCACAATCGAGGGACGCACAATGACTATGGGCAGCAGATCCTTGTAGGCGTTCACAATCTGTTCGGCTATGGATTTGGTAAACGTGTAGGTGTTCACATGCGGACCCGTAATATAGTCGGCCAAACGATTTAAGTAATCGTCGGGTATTTTGCGAGTGCAGGTCAAAAATTGCATCCAATTTACAGGCGGCAGTGTGGGATAAATGCGCTCGTCGACATATTTACGACCTGGATTGCAATACGCAGTCGACACATACAGGAAGCTCTGCGGACAACATAATTAATGTAATTGAAGTAATTGAATACAGTGATTGAATTGTGGTTACCTTTAAGCGCGTCATTTGTTTGCAGAGCTCCAGCAAATTGTAAGTAGCCACGGAATTGACGCGCGCTGCCACTTTCAAGCACTCATTAAAACGCACCTGTCATTTGACGAAATAATTACGTTATTGTAGGGTATTAAGAGGGGTCTAAGTTACTGCCCTGTAAAAATAGTCATGATAACCCACCAGGAATAATATTTAGAGAATCGAAAATGTATTACTCTATGGTATAAAGGAGGTCTTCAGCCATTGTAATTACTACCCTATGGTTTGAGTACTTCTTCATGTATGCTTTATGAGCTGACAAAAGATGTGGTGACCCACAGAAATAATACTGGCGAATAATAGCAGAAAATAATCTTGAATTACAGTCCACTTAAAAGAATAATCAGTATCGTCTGCTTAAATATATTTGAAGGCACTAATATTTTTTTTAACATTTATAATTTTTATACATCTATTGGGAAGGTTAATAGGATGTGACCTTTTCAGCCCCCACTATTCTTCTTCTTTTTCTTGACCGTTTCAGTAGGCGTCTTGCTAATGCTTTTTCGTGGGGGCACTAATAAAGATCTGTATTGTTATTTAAAACACCTAGAATAGATCGTTTCCACAGTTTTTATAAAAAAATCAATTAAATTTTTGTATTTTTATTTTAAGGTAAGACGCCTATCCGTAGCATTATTTATGTTCAATAATCAAATAAGAACTCTGCCCAAGTACAGATTTCACAGATTTTTCCAGCACATTCTTAAGAGTAGGCCTTTTTGCAAAATCCAATACTTTCTCTAATTTTGTTGTTTGTCTTGGTTCTGTTGCCTATTCCCTTACTATTTAGTAGTACTCTAATATTTTAATGCTACTTACCGTTGCCGCGCTGTGGAAAATAATGTTCACCTCAGCACATAGCTCAGCTCTGTCCAGCTCATTTAAACCTGTCCAGCAGATGGCCATTAGTTACTATTTTTTATTGGTATGCCACTAACGGGTAACTCACCAAAGTTGTCATCCTCTATGTTACCCGCAAGGTAGGAAATTTTATTTAGCCGTTCCGGATAACTTGCTCGCAAACGCTCGAATATGCCATTCAGCAGAAAGCTTTCGAAACGCTCCCGAACGCCAATACCCGCCTTGGGCCGTATGAGCATATAAATGCGATTAATTTGTGGAAAACTCCAGAGCAATTTCTCCAGCAATGCCTTGCCCACAAAACCTGTGGCGCCTACGAAGAATTTGTTTAGAAACTTATAATATTGGAGAGGAATGGGTTTTTGGGTTTGGCAATACCTGTTATAAACACCACAGCATCGTCGTAGATATTCGGCTTTTGTTCCATCTCAGCAATTTGAAATCTTCCAATGTGTTTGCAAAAAGTAGTTCACCGTTGTTGCCGCTTTGGCGCCATAAATGCAACTGAGGTCCACACCTTTCCACGCATGCCACAAACCAGTTCGCTTCGCGTTTACTCAACTGGGCAACAACTTATGATGGTTCGCCAATGTGGAAAAGTGAAAAGCGGCTTCGCCTCGCTCCTGGGAAAACAAGTTTTCATGCTTTCTGCGGCCGCTTGTTGCACTTTGCTGCAAATTCGCTTTTGAATGAAGTCGTCCGATAACGTGCGAGTAAACACCACCACACCAGACACGTAACCGCTATTGCCAGATCTTACATCACTTTCCGACTACTCCGATTGTTGATATTGTTGTGAAGTTCATTCAAGAAATTGCAATTTCTAGTCCGCAGCAACGGTCTGCTTAATATATAGGAAACGAGGCAGTAAAGTCTACGGTGTTTACTTCAAAAATCAACAAACCATCAAATTATTACATGAAAATTCGCAACACATTATTTCTGGGTTCCCCGTTGTCTTCAGCGCCTTAAATATACGTTGACTGGGAATTTCACCTCTAATATTATCAGCACTAACTAAGAGTTGTCCAATTTAATAAAAAGCGTCATGGTTAACATAATTCCAAGACAGACCGCACATTTTGTAACGCCATTGATGTAATTTAGCAATCATCCCACCCAAGCCAAATCGTGAATTTTGACAGGACTGGGTCCCAAGCGCCTCTACAAAATCAACCACAAGATGATGCTTAGCACTGTGCGCCAAGGATATTGATACGCATATCGAATCATTGCCCAACGAGGATAGCTCTACTGAGCTGCAGAACCGAAGCTTTTCTAGATTGGAAATTGAAAATCAAGAAACCGCACAGGCTCTACTGGGTACACAAATAACATTAAAGCCCAGCACAAATTCTAAATCTATAATTACTACATACTTAGATTATAATAGTTATTGAACAATTTTAGGTATCTAGCTTGGATATATCAAAGTATGGAATGTATAAGAATTTCCCCCTTATAAACACAATCTTTAGCGGTTTGTAACTAAGCTTGAGCTTTCTAAAATGAAGTTGTGATTTAAATAATTAAGATATTTCACATTACACAACAAATATAACAAAAATTACATATAAGGATTTGCAGTTGACAATATTTTAAGATTTAATTCAGAAATTCTTCAAATCTTCTTACAATTCACAACTGGTTGAAGCCAATCTTTAGGAACTGTTTACCTTTTGCAAGTAATTTATAATAACTTTACTTTACTTTTTTAATTTAATTTAATTTATTTTTTAATTGGAAAATTCTTTACTTTCATCTTTTTTATTTATACGAATGTGTGGAAAATGCTGGAGAATTAGTGTCTTTACCAACAATTTGTTTTAAAATTTCGTTTCACAACCAGGTTTTACCTTAAATTTTAAATATTTGTCATTCATTGAAAGTTTATTGCTTTTTAAAAATCCTTCAAGTTAGTTTTAAATGAAGCTGCTTGAGAGAATAACAAATTAGCATTAGAGAAATAATAAATATGAATAAATTTAAAAGGAAACTATTATGAAATAGGAATGTCACATGGAAATAAAGAAATAAATTGGTAATCTGAGCTTTAAAAACAACTCGTGCCAGACACATACATACAAACAAGCCGCTATTTACACAATCGTTTAGGAACACAAGTACGCTATATGTATATACATATATGCACATATTTGTACAAAATCGAACAATAGAAGCGCCAATTTGATTAACGACGATATCGTAAAGTGGTACGGCATTATGTTTACCTGCTTGAGTAAGCCCCAAGCGAAGTCGCAGTCATGCTGGAGGATTGAAACTATTAAGACGTCGCTACAAAATTCTATATGTACATATGTATCTATCGATAACTGAGACATGATGCAGAATCAAGGCTTCAAGCCCAAAACGAGACGCCTATCTCCGATACCGAACTCACATTGGCACATCCTTACCCATCCCGCGGCATCCACGGAGGATGTGCGGCAGACTGAGACAGTCCCCAAGGACATAGTTCACCATATACTGGGGGATTTCGGAATATGGCAGCTTCGTGGCGTTCTCATCATTCTGTTATGCAAAATACCCATTGCATGGTTCATGGCCAATATTCTGTTCACAGCCCCGGAAATTTATCCTCGAAAGGAGTTTAGCTGCGATGCCAGAGCGTATGGCGTGAATAGCAGCATTAGTGGGGATCAGTGTTTTGTTTTAGTCTCCCATCCTGGCCGCAACTACGTCATGCATCATTGCCATAAATTTCAATATGCTCAGTCCTTCCACTCCCTCCTCATGGAGTTCGATCTCGCCTGTCTGGGAGACATCTTTGTAGCCTGGTCCCAGTATTGGCATCTCTTTGGCTTACTCGTCGGTGGCATTGCGTCCACTAAACTCCTGCGAGTGCTCAGTCCGCGCACTGTCTATGGCCTGGGCGTTGGTTCTTTGATCGCATTGGGTCTAATCATGGCCTATTTGATACAGGATTTTAGTCAGCATTGCGCCCTCCGTTGTCTCTCCGGCGTCTGCTGTGCGTTAATGGGAGCTGCTGGACGAATTGTTGGTGAGTTTTTCATTAATTTACTTCAATTGGTTTTGATGTCTTAAGGATAATATCAGATATACGAAAAAATCACAATAGCTTACATTACATATTTCCTAGGGAAACAGATCGTAAAATCTAAAAATAAAAATAAGGGAGCAATTTTATATTTTTCAGAACGTTTTCAAGAAGTTATTAAATTATTTTTAATTAAGTGTCTTTACCAAGATGTGAATATCTCCGGTTAGAGTTTGTTGATTTTGAAAGAAAAATTTGTAAAAACAAATTGTTTTTTGGAATAGAAACAAGCTTAATAGAGTTAATAAATTGTTTATCATCTGCAACAGTTTATTAGCATCCAAGTGTTATGAATATAATATTTTTTCGTTCAAGATCAATTACTGTTCTACGAGTATAGTAAAAACAAGTTGTCTTCAGAAAGATACTTCCTTGGGATTTACATTTCGTGAAGAGAAGTTCTTCTTACTTGTTATTTCTGTACAAATTGTTTGCATGTCTGACCGTAGCTTCATGTAAGGATTAGCTTGACATATGTTTTGTATTAATTAAAAACCGATTGATCATGAAAGTTTAAATATGTTTACTTGAATTTATTTAAATATATGTATATTTTTTAGGGCGTCTTAATAAACTTGTTTAACAAAAATGTCGCTAATAAAAATACAAATTCTACGGAAATTTAAAGGTTTACATATATCAGCAAATACTCAATCAACGTAAATGAATTATCACTTATATATGTCTAGACAGTTTAAATAAATTTACTTCAATTTATTGGCAAAAATGTCGTAATACTAATTCTATGTAAACTTAGCAGAAATAAATGTTTACATATATCAAGAAATACTCAAAGTAAATTAAAATATTACTCATATCTGTCTGTTTGCTGAATAGGTTTAAAAAATTACCTGTAAAATGTTAATCGTGAATGCTTTTGGGGAACCGATTAAGCTTAAAAAGTTGGTGCTTTAGCTTTAACCTTTTCTTTTTTAATTAATTTATTTCATTTTTAGGATTCAAGTTGTGGTTGATTGTTTTGAATACTTTTGTGGTGTGTGTGGAACGAACGTTCAAAAAATTTGTCTGTAATACTTTTGATAGCAAACTCAACTCAATCCAACTCACTTATTGCCGTTGTTCATCATTCAAGCTATTTCTAAATCTTCCTTTGTATATTTAAAAAATTTAGAAATGTTTTTTTTTTTTGAAACCATTTAAAAAAATTAAAAATCTAATTATTATATATTTATATATTATATTTCCACAATTCGTTTTGAATTTCTAAACATTTTCATTTCCATATACCAAAAAATCAATATTTTTTTATTCAACCTCTTTAATTTTTTATGTTTTTCATTCCTTACTTTCATTTCAGTTGGCGACATTATAGCTGGGCGGCATCGCTTAATCGCTCTGCTGCTCTACGATAGTTACTGCTCATTGGCTCTGTTGCTGTTGCCTGCAATGGCCTCCTTGGCTTCCAATTGGCGTCAAGTTTATCTTTATATCACCCTGCCTCTATTTGTGTTACTTATTCTGTTGCCATACACGCCCGAGTCGCCGAGGTGGCTGTTGCAGCACTCCAGATATCCGGAGACACTGGAGCAGGTCGGCAATCTGGTGTTGCAGGCCGCGCACGTTAATGATCGTTGCTTTAAGATACCCGCCGATTTTCATGAGCAACTCCATCAGTTGCAAGCACATTTGCAACTCGCTGATCCGCCACCGGGTTGGCTGAGCCTGTGGCAAGGGAGGGGCGCCAAGCTGCAGACATTTGCGGCACACGTGGCACTCGCCATGTTCTTCATAAGTCACATGGGTCTGTTGTTAAATATACGCGCCTTTGGACGGAAGAATATGACGGCAAATATGCTAGCCATAGGTAGCTATTAATTAATATCTAACTCTCCAAATTCTATCTTTTCAAATAATTTTCAAACTATTTTCTTGCCTTACACTTAAACATTGTTTTTGTTTTTTCACCTATTTACAGGTCTTTCCGAGCTACTGGGCTGTGTTTTGGCCTTAAATCTGAGCTTTAAGCGCAGCTCCCACAAATGGAAATGGGCCGGCGGCTTAAGCATTTTGGCCGGCTGCCTGGGCTGCCTGTGTTGGCTGAATGCGCATCTGCCAGCACCTTATGTCCAACTCTCTTGGCTGCTGCTCTCATCCCTGCCCACAATTGCAGTTTCTTCGGCCCAGGCAATGCTTTTGGGTAGTCTGGAGGAGCTGGTGCCTTCAAAACTGGGCGCTACTTTTGAGTTCTCACTGATCACATGGTCGCGTCTCTGGATGCTCTCTGCCGCTTTTCTTACGCTGCTCAGGCAATGGCATGTGGCAGTGCCTCTCAGCATTTTCTGTACTCTACTCATTGTGGGTGGCATCTGCACGTGTTTTTTGGTGACGCGGCCTCGGGAGGAGCGGCAGGTGAAACAATTGACTGGGCAGCGCGCTGGCAGTGACTGCTATAGCTCCGATACACACATATAAATGATGGCATAGTCTAAGTTACGCTCCAAATACATAATAATAAGTTACTGACTACTGAGCTAGAAATGTGATTAGTTTCATAATAAAATCGTGCTGAGTCACTAACTTGCTCTTCATATCTATCCACTTTCTTCGTACCTCCAACAAGTCTACGAACAGCTTATCGTCAGCTATGACTAACCAATTGGGGGTCCCAGTCTAAGCTCTATAACAACCTAATAAGTATGCTATATATATATATATTTATCTACATACTCGTACATCGTAGAGACACTGATGCGACGTTAAATAGTAACAGTTTCATATTTTCAGACTCCGCTTGTTTTCTTCTATTTTGCTCAACCTGTTTATTTAAGGTTCGAAATCAATAATAAAAAAAAACATTGTCAAATAAGAGTATTTTTTCATTTTTTTGACATATATCATTTATTGTTATTATTTGCAATAACCTAAATTTAACTTATAGAATAGTACAAATTCAAATTAAACTAGGAGCTTAGATTTATTGTATTATTATTTATATTTTATCGAATTTAATTGACAAGCCTGACGGGATGTAGCCTTTTCGGCCTACTACTGTGGATCCTCCTTTCTTACAAAATTCGTTTCACTAAGGGTTTAACATGGGTTTAACTTGCGCAGGCTGCTCGGCAAGGACGTCATTAACTTTTGGTACTCCAAGATCCTTTTCGATGTTTCCAGTACTCTTGTACCAGGCGGCATCAGTCAACAAGCCAAGGGTTTTGACTTGCAAGGTTTGAAATCTCCCTAAGTGGAATTTCGCAGCGATTGCGCCAGATAGGAGCAATGTAGGACTTGTATATGGGAATTTTGTTGTTGAATGAGAGCTTTTTTCTGGTTAGAAGTCATCTTATTTGGTTAATTTTGTCACTAAGTGTTTTATAAATAAAAAGAGTTGAATAGGATATGTTATTTATTAAGCTTAAGCTTCTAATAATAATTTAATAAATTGTAAATAATTTTTTATAAATGAAAAATCTAAAAGTGTGCTACGCTCAGTTTTAATTATGTTTCAAAAACAATTGTTATTCGATTAAGTCGTCTCTCCAATAATATTAATATTATTGCAAATACATATAATTTTTTTTGAGTTAATGGAAACTTTTAATGAATTTCAAAAAATTTCATGATAAGTACAATTTTATTTAACAAATACTAGCCTGCCTTTTATTATATTCCTTATTCAAAAAAATCTAAAAAGAAAAGGGTAAAGCGTAAGATATAATGGGTTTCATTAATAGTAATTGAAATAATTATTTTCATAAGGATCCGCTTTATTTAACAACTAATCCAAATCTTATAACAATCTTCGCTATTAGCTGTGGCTTCGATTGTAAAGCAGTATAGTTAGAGCTAGTGCTTAACTTTCTACCGATTGAACTGTATTCGTAGCTTTATTAGGCCAAGCTTTCTGTTGCGCCGAGTCCTTACGCTGTCTTCTTCGCACGTAGGCTTGCATAGCTGTCTGGAGAAGCAAATGTTCAGAGCTTTCTTATAATACCAATATTTGCTTAAATAGAGCTGTATTCAACAAATTATAAATCGTACTTAAAAAGTTGTAAGTCTAAGAACTTTGCGTTTTTTGCAAATACTTATTTGAAGAGAATCTTTAACTGAAAGTATAGTTAAAACATAACATTGCATAAAACTCAATAAACTTCTGTATGTTCTTATTCAGTTGGCAGTTAGTTCATACAATTATGTAGTATATAGTCTATTGTATTTTAAGCTCATTGCTCTGCTCTGGTATGCAAGCAATTTTAGCCCCCACCTGCAAATTTGAAAATCGATTGAAGGGAAACCTTACAACCGGCACACTGACACACAAAAGTCAGAGCCCCTATATTGGTGGAACTCTTGAACTCATTGTTAGATCAGCAATTGCCAAGCGACGACGTCGTCGCCAGCAATTTGGCTTTTGAAAACCGCCTCAGCTGTGCCATGAAAGCCAAGAAGTCGGCCTTTGCAAACACATCCACAGGCTACGGCAGGAATAAGCACAGCAGGACCAGCAATTCCAACTCGAACTCCAGCAACAGCAATCCCAACTCCAAGTCGGAAAATAGCAAAAAGAAATCGGGAAAGTCAGAGGCAGATGGCAAAACCACAGTCGACCCCAACAAGGATGAACACGATAAGGATCTGAATTCCGGCTTTGGGGATTACCTACGCACGCCGGAGGGTCTGTAAATGACTTACCTTGCTAGTACCTTGCTTTTATCCTTAAATCCTTACAGCATTTGAAATGATGAAATTGTTTGTCTTCGCCAACACGGTTATGTTGATTGTGACTATGGCTTGGCCAAATATTCGTGAGCAATTCTTTTGGCTGCATCAGTGGTGGGAAAGCGTGCGTTACGAGCAACAACTATAGGGAATACCTTACGTCTAGTAAATAAAATAAAGAGTAGAGTCTACACAATGGTTGGTCCATTCATGCAGGGCTTTCTGCTCATTGGCATCATCTACTGGTATTCCAAGGTAAGCTATTCGAACTAAAATAACAGTTTTATTATACTTGGACTTATGTAATTCATGTAGGGCATGATGTCCATGATCAATGATTATTATCGCAGCGAATTTCAACGCAAGATACAAGTGGAAACGACGGAAAAAACAACGGAGAAAGCCCCTCTTAATGTTGATAATTTTATGGATTATGTGCGAGAATTGGATGAAGGCGTTGTTGGACAGAGTGTGAAGTCAATTGAAGAGTGCTCCATTAAGAGGGATTCAGTCTGCAAATCCCCTTCCCTGCAGCTTTGGACCTTTTTGCATATAACTGGCGCCTGGCCAGCCAGGAATGTTTGTCGCATAGACAGTTATCCTGTAGAGGGCGCTCTAATCTAGTTAGGAGTATATTTTCTAGATAAACTAAGTTTATAAGTTCACATAATACTTGTATGTGTGGTTTGGTTTCAACTTACGATTTTCAAACTTCGTTTAAACATAGGGAATAGTGATACTACATATATAGCTATACATGTGTGCTACGATTTCTTTCTTTGATTTAACGAAAATAAAGTCCACTAACATGTGTTCCAAACATTTTATTTTGCATTGTTTGGGCACAATTTCTTTTAATTATTTATTCAATACAATTGGTAGCAGAATATACGGTTTTTTTTTTTAGTTTTCAACTTTACATTTTGAACTCACAAATTACAAATTCTTTTTGCCAGAATGTTATACTCTATACTATTCAATTCTGTAATATTTGGTATATAAATTAGCTTCCACTTTTGGTCTGTCCTATATATGTAGATAAATTTCCTTTTGACATCAAGTTCCCTGACATTTCTAAATATGTGTTCATGTTAATTATGCTGCAGAAATTTTAAGTGTTTTAGTGGTAGAAAAATAGTGAGGAATAGGATTGTAGTAGGAATTTGAAGCATAAAGCAAATACGTGCAGATATTGAATAAAGATATCAAGAGCGAAGAATTACTCATATCAGGTAGTTAATGTGGCATATTTACTTTTCACCTGAATAATTCCAATTAATTACTACTTAGAAATATTTATTTAGAACTGCAGTTCAGTTATACAAATTTCCCATAAACCTCAGCAATATCTTAGGTAAGTTTGTTCATAAAAGTGCTTTATATGTGAATGAACCCAAAGGTTAACGAGACGAGTTCATTTCAACAGCGAAATATTTAAATACTCGTTCTGCTTAAGTGGATTATTTAGACTTGCTCTATGATTGCACAATGCCGATCACTAATTTATATAAATGCCTCAAAAATTGCGATTGCGATTACCACCAAAGCTCTGTAGCATGCATTTATTTAAATAATATTTTGAGGTTTTAAAACAAACAACAAATCAGATGTAATTGTTTTCAAAAATCATAAATTTTTTAATGTATATTTCATATACACAACAAAATCTTCATACAGTTTTCGATGCTCATTTTTTGTAAGCTTCACTATCAAAAATTAATAATACAAATAATAATAATAATAGCATTAAAAGTTAATAAAGCAAATTACATCGTACATAAATAAAATTGATAATTTTCATAATACACAAACATACATACACATAACACACACATGTTAATGCTCCGAATACGTATTTAGAATTTAAATAAAATAAAATATTTTAGAATACATTGGTTCCATGTTGTATCATTCGCCCGAATTACACATTAAAGAAAAATCAATTTTCAATTCAAATTAAATTCTTTCCTCTGCTTCACTAAAAATCACATGAGACGTTGTCTTTCATCGTACAATGTTACAAAAGCAAAGCAAAAATTAAAGGAAACACAAACCTTTTTGCTTCTTCTGTTTTCTATCACAACCTTAAATAAGGGATTTTCATTGTTTAACAAAATTAAAAACTGTCGACTTGGGGTTTGCGTTCAGTGGGCAGCAGCATTTTAAATATTAAGTTTTGTGGATTTTCCACAAATGAGTTACAGACTACATACTATGTATATATATTTGTAGGTATATATATAGATAGATAGCGATATCATTTGATATATGCATATAGTAGTTATATGGCTAAACACATACAAATTAAACTGCAATGCAAAGCATTTCAAAATACAAATGCAAAATGCACACAAAACTAAATTTGTTGCATTCTATTTAACAATTTTTATCTCCTTGCTCCTCTTATTCTTGTTATTGCTGTTGCAAGCGTTGGCGTTAGCCTTTTTATTATAGTTTGACTGCCTTTTAAAAAATTAATTACATACTGTGCGTGCTCGAGTCTGTGGCCAACGCAACTTCATTGCGGTAACAACAACAAGTCTGTTGACTATTAATATTGTATATTATTTTTTGTTTGCCTTGCATGAGTCTAAATACAAAATTAAAGTTTTTTGAAGAACTAGTCTGCCTGCTTGCGTATTGTGGGCGGTGGCGGCGCTGGCACCGTTGGCCTTTTCGGCGTTTGAAATGAGTTTGGCGATATGGGCGTGGTTGGTGTTGGCTGCTGCTCCTTATTGCTTGTCGTAATTGTAGTTGCTGCTGCTGCTGTTGTTGTTGTTGTTGACTGTTGTGGCGGCTGCTGCTCTGCTGACAGAAATTGTTCATGGTTATTGTGATTATTGAGCTCCTTTGTCTCCTTTTTCGTGAAAGCGCCAAGTAATTCACCGCCACCTCCATTCGTATCACAATTTTCCTGCCGCAACTTATCAATAAATTTTTCCGCCGTATACCTCACCAAGCCGCCATTGTTATCTATTTGTGCCTGCGTAGGTGTTGTTGTGCCTTCATCATCGCTTTTGTTGCCACTGGGCGCTCCACCAAAGTTCAGCACTGCGGGTCGCTTTGGCAGTTGTGGTTTCTGTGGCAAATCGGGCTTCAGCTTGAAGGAGCCAATGCTATCTGTGCTCTTCCGATCTGCCGTTGGCGAAGGCAAATTGTCCAGGCCAAAGAATTGGGTGCGGGTCATTGGCACGGGTTTGGCGGGCGTTAAAGGCGGCGGTGCTTGAGCTTCCAGTTGAGTCTGCGAGGGTTGTTGCTGCTGCTGCTGCTGTTGGTGTTGCTGGAACTGCGGCAGATTTGGCAGCGGCGGCTTGGCGGGCTTCTCTGGCTGTCGCTCCTGCTGCTGTGGGAATAGTTCCTTGGCATGCGGACGATGTGCGCTATCCATGCTGCCTCCATTTGTATTTGCATGTGGCGTGGCATCATTCTTGTTCGGCGGCGAGGGCGCATTTGGTTTTTGGCGACGCAACGTGCCATAACGCGGACTCTCCAGAACTTCTGTGGGTTAAGAAACTTACAATTAATAAACGCTACAGCTGTGTTGCGGGAATCGCTTCAAAGAAACTCCGACTAGAGGCCAGAACATTGTAATAAGCTTCTGATTTAAAACGGGTGGAAGGTTAGAGTGAAACTAATTAAAACCAAACCAAGCCTATAAGATATACTTCACCAATTTTTGCAATAACTCATTTGGTTACATTATCGTTATATACAAATGTTCCTATAGTAGCTATATAATTTAATGATGCGATTTAAGATTTGCCTTAAACTTGTTTTGCATACGGTTAGGATAAGTCTGTATTCCGAATTTGAAGTCGCTAGCTGCTATAGTTCAAAAGTTCTCGACGTTCATACAGTCGGACAGACCTACAGCTTATCCGCCATTGAGACAATTTATGTATCTACAATATAAGGTCTGCTACGCCCCCTTCTAACTGTTGCATATATTTCTCATTCTGTGCCAATTAATGGGCTATCTGACCATAACTTAAGTATACCCTGCCAACATTCGGCTGATCAAACGCTTAAGATGTTTTTTGACACGGATTCTACTAATTCATTATTATATTTATTTATAAAGTTCACAAATATACAAAAATTATAATAAAAACATAGCAACTCTAAGAAACTAAGCAAATAATACAATATCTAATAACGCTTCTGACTCGTGGGGGGAATTGTATTTACAGTCGGCCCAGACCTGGTCAGAGGCGTATTAGACCTAACAAATATAAAGTTAGTAATTACAATAAAATATGAATGCAAGTACAACAGAATAATAAAGTACTAGTTGGGTAAAAATTATATAAAATTCCACCCTCTGTACTCACCACCGTCATGTTTATCTAAATGCTCGTTCGATGAATTCGATTTGCTTTTGCCCTCCACGAAAAGTTTAAGTCGCTGCAGCGTGACAAAGAAATCGACTTCGCCATCAAAGAAATACTCCCACTGACTGATCAAGAGCTCGACAATAATATTCGCCGCCGATGAGCTATTCACTTGACCCAAATAGTCCGCGGGGGCATTACTGCTCTTGTCGACGCGTGGCCACAGCATATTGGGGGACATAACAATGGCCAGGTTCTGGGAACTCATCTTGTTCTGATCGGAACGCTGCATGACTAGCCAGAGAAAGCGCGTGAGATAGCGAAGGTTCGCATAATTCTCTTTGGGCAGCTTGCCTAGAATGGCTTTAATCTCCGTTTTGCGTTCCGCCTCGCTGTGGCGCTCCGCAATCCGTATGAAGTCCTTGTAGAGGGCATAGGTGAGCAATGGCTCGGGCAGCTCCCGCAAATAGAGCTTCAGTATGGAGCCAATCACATGGGGGTCTTGATATTCGACTGGTAACGGGGTCTTTACATGTTGCGCCTCCAGCGCATGCTTCATGCGTCTCAGCTTAGTGCTGGCACAGCCCACGCGCAGCAGCCCCTCTTCATCGAGTCCATTCTCCAGCAGGCAGCAACAACAGAGCTCGACAATGTAGGAAATCTCACGATGCGTTGAGCTGAGATGCTCCTTCAGTGAGGTGCCAAAGCGTGACTTTTCGGTGCCCTGTATGGTGTCCTGAATGCGCGCCAATGAGGCATTCACATGCTGCAACGCACGCTCGTGATAATTTCTTTGGTTCAGCACATAATCACGTATGCAATTGACAATCTCATCCTCTTTGGCAATCAGCTCAAGCATTTGCGCTGCCCAAGCATCGCGCTCCTTTTCCAGCTTCAGTTCACATTCCTCCTGCTGGCTCTTAATGTGATTCACTTTGGCAGCGGGCTCATCCAGCTTCAGGGCGGTCTAAAAAATAAAGAGAGAGTTGTTATTACAATATTATTTTAACTATGAATTGTTTATAGCAAAAGGAGTGTGGAACCTTAACTTTTACAAATTATCTTCAAAAATTACTTAAACAAAAATTTAATTACTAATTTGTCGAGGAAAAACGAATAATTCCATTATAGTATGAAATTTGAAAACATAACTTCGTTTCAGAAACGGAATCAGGCCTGTCTGGCTTTTCATCGTGTCTTAAATGAATGACAATTTTAACTTAAAAGTATTCACGTCTATGAATCAACTCTAGCCCCATTTCATATTTTATAATATTAAATCATCTTTTTATTGGAAAGCATACATAATTTACTGTTTCATTGAACCCCAGCAGCAGTCTGTCGGACTTCCCGCCCGATAAGACACGAATGTGTGACGTGCTTTGTTTGATCGCCGCTTCTTATTTTAATTTTCTATTTGTTGTTGGCTTTTGTTTTTTGTTTGTTGGAAGACTTTGTTTTAATTGCTCAAATGTCAAATGCGTTGGCATTTCACGCCTCACTTTCACGCACACACAACTCTTCACAATTGTCTGTGCAGACTGCAGCTGCTGATTCTTCAGATTCTCGCTGCCTCAGTCTTTGCCTCTATCTTATCGTTGTACCACCCACCCACATAATAGAAAGTTGGAAATGACTAAACACAGCGTTTGTCGATTGTAACTGGCTCTATATACTACATACATATATATGTTAGACTTGAAACCTTTGTTCCCATGCATAAAGAGCGAACAATCGCACGTGTAATTGGGAATTTAATATGCATCGTTAATGGTTGTCGAGCATTTTTCAATTACTGGCGGTTCGTTATGTGACTCAGAAACAGAGATAAGAAATGGTTGCAAGGGTTTTAAGAGTTTCTGTTTTGTTCTTATATGCAAATAATAAGCATACGGGTGGAAATAAATGGAAATAATAATTGTTATCAGTTTTGTGGGCAAGCCAGTTGGATATGATTTCCTAAAATAGTCCGCCTTACTATTGCCACTTTAAAAGCTTATCAAGGTTATAAGCAAACATCCAAAATTCATATAAACTATTAAATGAACGTTTTTTCAACAAAACTATATATTACTATACTAACAATAATTTTTATATCAAATTGTGCAAAATCAGAGCTAAATGGCTATTAAACATGCCATTTGTAAGCCATAAATTAGACCTTTTTAACCCTATACAAATATAGTTCAATTGATAATGTATTAGTTAATCAAGAGTTATATAAACTGACTGGCCGAGTAGTAATTAAGTGTTTGTAGCATTGGAATACTCAGTAAATAAACACAAGCTTTACTTTTCATTTTTCTACAATTGCCAAAACGTAATCCATCTATAAATAAATTGTAAACAAATCGTGACAAGTTGATGTTTTGACGTTTTGATGTCTTAACAAACAATAGCAATCAACGATTTATTTATGCCCAATACAGAAACAAAATCATCTTCAACAGCTTCGTGACTCACCACCACCACCACCACAATCCCTGAGTGCAACCTCAAATCACTTAAATCAGAAACAGGCAAACCCACAATACACACATACATATATACTCGTACATATATATATACATATATAAATAGGTACATAGTAGAGCATACCTAAACAAATTCCAGCATATCAAGGCTTTGCACATTACACATTCCCAACACACTTGTACATAGTTAGCACCACTTTAAAGGAATTCCGTGTATAGAGCCACTCAATTAGACCGCTGCCAGTTCCACAACTAGACATTTATTAGTTGTCGGGCCAATACTGCTAAGGTGGACAAATAGGCTGTCAATAAATACATCAGACTGCCGATAACAACAATTAGAAAGACGATTATTTTATTCGACTTGATTTCAGGGGCATACTTGTATAGGTAAAGGCAATATATAACGCAATTCAGCGAATTTCGATTATGATGTCACTACAAACAAGTCAATGAACGTCTTCCGACACCTTAAAAAGCAGCTGAGCCAACAGCAACAACAACAACAACTACCTGGCGACTCTAGTCATGTCCGCTGTCATCGCCTTTATATGGCACAAGACGTCGTGTCGAGTTGTTTTGAGTTATAAACGGAAAGCAGAGCCAAAACAATCAGACATACTCGCAAAAGCAGCGCTTGAAAAACTGTCTAGTAATAATGCACCCATACAGACGAGTTCGAATTCGAACACGAACACGAACGCCACTCCGAATATAATCCAAAGCTAACGGCAGATTGAGCGAGCAAATAAGCAGAGCCAATAAGTGGCGCAAATCAAATGTCAATTTTCTGATACCCAAAGAAATTGGAACGCCAGCTACAACACAAATGAGCCAGCAAATGAAACGAGAGAAATAAAAAAGAAAAGACAAGGAGAGATGATTGATAACACTCTTCTCCACTAGACAAAAGTATATCATCAGTTGACGCCAACGTAACTGAAACGCTTGCCAATAAGATAATTGCAAACTATAGATAGAAAATAAAAGTAGATTGCTCTATATTCATAGACACTAGTTGATCCAAGCACAGTGGATGAAAATTGAAAGGGCAACATAAGTATCCAGGATGACGAAAATAGATATAATCTAAGAATACCACATCCTACATAAATGCAGTTCCTAATTGGACGTCATATACGGAACTATATGGAAATACTTAGAGCTAAAGAACTACCAATTTTTAATGATTTTATTTCATTTCATAAACTATAGATAGAAATTTAAAGTAGATTGCTCTATATTCATAGACACTAGTTGATACAAGCACAGTGGTTTAAAATTGAAAGGGCAACATAAGTATCGTGAAGATGGATTACAAATAGGTACTTAACCCAAGAAGACATCCTACTGGTGGTTGAATAGCTCACAAAAATTTATACATATATACATACATATATTACAACTGAATAAACCTAAATTCATTGCCTTATCGGACGTAATATATGGAACTATATGGAAATACATAGAGCTGAAGAACTATCAATGATCTTGTTTCAAAATAAAAAAGTATGTAAATATTTGCAATTCATGGATTGATCATAAAAATACAGCAAATATAAGTTTTAATCAAGTTTTATTAATTTAGATAGCTTTGTCAACCAATTTTTTTAAATACCTATTAAGGTATAATTAATTAACTTTTCGACAAAGTGTCAGCTTTATGATTGAGTAGAATTGGATCCACGAAAATCAGTTTTATTTGTGTGTAAGTCTTTTAAAAATCTAATTGCATAGAGAGAGTGAATTTTCTCAGTATAATCAAGAAATATGGGCTTTCCCAATTTACAAATTTGTTTCACAGTTTCACAATAAACTCTACTTAATGGCAACACATAAACTTCGAAGCAGTGTGCCATTTATAAGCCCTTAATCATTCGACAACAACAATCCCAACAATCAACACAACAGTAGTCTTAGACAATGACCATTTGTATAAATAAGTATACTATGCCACTATTGTTGTTTGTCAGTTCCACTTTTATTCTGTAATCAAAGTAAATTTCTCAATTGAATAAGTTTCGGTTATCGCAATGCGAATAGGAACAACAGCAACAACAACTAACAGGGCACCTATGGGGAGACTCCCTTCATCTCTACCGCAACGCATTCACTAATTAATTGGCCAAACCGGTTGGTCGTAATGAAATGAAAAGAAATGGGCGCCTAATCACCAACAGACAACATGAGGCGGAAACTCAACATTTGCCAGCTGGCGTACAATCCCCATAATTCATAAGCGAGAGATTTATGCTCATTAATGCTCGGACTTGAACTCGGACTCGGACTCACCTCATAACTGCGCTTTAGTGATGTATATTCCTGTAATGTGCGCGAGACATTCCGCTTTGATATTGAGATCTCTTGTATTTCTTTTTCCAAGATATGTCTTAAACGTCGCACAACTTTGGTCTCCGTTTCCAACTCATTTTCGATGATGCACTCGGCAATTGTTTTCTCCAGCTCGCCTGCAAGGAAAGAAGCAAAGCATAAAATTACACTATATGCTAAAATTAGTTGGACAAGCGGTTATTAAAACATAAACAAATTGTTGCCAAAAACAAACTATAGGCAACAATATTATATGTTGAGTTTTAAAAAATGCTATTCTATACTACGGGTATATTTTTGTTAAATAAAGCATATTAGATCTCGATATAAAAAAAACGGGAACAAAATATATATATTGCTTCTAAGTCGCAAGATCTATTTACTTTATCGACATCTGTACAAATAAAAAAAAAAATAGATTTTACAGATAAAAGGAACCGCCAGCAGAAATTTGGAGTCACACAAAAATATTCGGATTTAACATTTTTATTAATCTTAAAATACATGAATGGAAAAAAAGGTTCGCCCACTACAAATTATTTTCGGAACAATCTGTCCTGGGAATTCATTTGGTTTTTAAAATGAAAACCTAATATTTATATAAAGATCTCTTTACGACAACTTGATTTCATTTTCCCTTTCCGTACATTTCAAAGGAACCATTGTTTACAGAAAACTAAATATGTCAAAGTACAAATGAAGGGCAGTGTAGGCAGCTCGTCTGTAGGCAAGTCATTTAATAGTTGATGCAAAGTCGTGTGTCAAAGCATCTTCTCTTCTTTTTTTCTCTCGCTTTATAAGTGCAACTCCTCGGCACAAGTGAGGAAGTCAATGCTTATTTAAGACCTTATAGCAGACGGTAGCAAAGATATAAATGGGGAGGGGATAGGGAGGGAGGGCAGGCGCTTTGCCGGTTGTTGAGGCAGTGCGCTAATGTGGGAGTGTGCGGGCGCGCTGGCGAGCTGAGTAAGCAAAATTGTGATAATTGTGTTGAGTGCGACGTTGGCAGCACAACTTGAGGCTTCACAACAGCAGTGGCAACCAACTATAGGGAACACACATACAAACAAGCCCCTATATAAGCGTGTGAGAGTGTATAATTTTGAAGATATGTATGTATGTACTTTGGCGATAGTAAAACGAGTTGAATTGAGAAGCATCGTCTGGCAGGCAAGTTATGTTGCTTGCAAAATACAATAAAAGGGTGCCCCTTTGGCACAGTGGGGCAACAATAAATCAGCCATGCATTGCTCATGCTATAAGTATAGGTATGTCGTGGTTATGCAATGCTTCTTCAGATAAGCTTTGGCATTCAAGCTGCGCACGTATTCACACAATTGAGGCACACATTTGCAAAAGATGCTTATTCTTCAACACTGCACAGCATAAATACTTGTTTTATATTGCAGAAATAAACGAAGAGTATTAAGTCTGTTCTTTTCTTAAAGGTAAAGGAAAACATTTTCAACTTTATTTCGTCCAAATTAGAAAACTAATCTAAACTTATTTGGAAAATTTTGATTAAAATAGTGAACGGGAAACGACCTGATAATTATTTTATAGACATCAATACAATAAAATTAAATTTTTTTATTACATGTTCCATTTTATTTAGTTTGGAGCAAAATCTTCCGACAATTGTCTTTAGGTTTTTTGAGATTTTATGGAAAATTGTTTACCTAACTAGCTACATGCACTTCAAAGTCTAGTTTGTTGTTGTTTAGTGTAATCAGTTGTGCAAATAAGAATACTCATTAGTTCTACACCACTGTGACTGACACAAAACTGTGAATTATTGAACAATTGATGTGTATGTATGAATGAGTAATAAGTATGTATGGGTGTATGTATGAATACGGGCGCCAAGTACATAAACAAACGAACAATTTTTAGAGATACACACATACATATACATAAATATGGATGCATGTGTGTAGGGGGTTATATGATTAGGTTTTTGGCTCAACTTTTACTTTTTCTGCAACATATTTTAATTATTACAGTTTACTTTTACTTGGGTATCGTTTTGAGTGTTTGTTTAAAAATTCAAATGAAATGCACAATAAATTTCATAGAAAATGGGCAATCAAATTTGCGCTATTTTGTGTGTGTCTATTAGTATGGGTGTGCGTGTGTGTGTCTGTTTATATTAAGCAGGGGGCGCGAAATAAGCACAAATAAAAATACAAAAGTCGAAACGCCGCAAAAAGTCAAAACACACGCACACAGTCAACAGCCAACCGCAATAGCAGCGAATGAATTATAAAAGAAAGCAACAACAAAACAACGACATAATAAAAATTATTATAATCATTAAAAAAAAAAACGCACACCACATAAAGCAACAACAACAACAACAATGCATCAAAAAAGCGACGTTGAGAAATGTAAATGCCACAAGGCCAAGCGCAGAGACAAGGCGAGGCCGCAAACACACACACACACACACCAACATTCGGCAAAACACGCAAGCCCATGACACACACACACACTTGTCATGTAAAGCTATTTTCATATACACATGCATATAAACATGCATATCTATGAACACACACCTTCTCTTCTATGTATATATGAATGTGTTTTCTGTTGGCGCCCAAACAATGGGCACCACTGTGCAGTCGCTACGCCGCTCTTATCACTAAAACTTAAACGGCGCAGCGCGGTCGACGCCAACGCCCACAAACAACGTTGCCGACTGCAGCGGCAGCCTCTAACAGTAATTGTAAATCGTTTACTACTCACCGCAATTTGCCAGCACCTTTTGCAATGCCATATCCTTGGACAACATTTGAGCGGACTCATCCAATGTTTGGCCTATTTTGTAGTGCGTATTCTTTTTGATGCGTTTATCGTGCTCCTCAATGGTAACTGTTCCATTGTTGTTGCTGCTACTGCTACTGCTGCTACTCAGCGCTGGCAGCTTACGAACTATTTTCTCAATGGTATCACGGTATCTATCCACCTGCTTTTCAATCGTCTCCAGTTCATAATCTTTGCAGTCCGTTTTATTTGACCTGGCCAGTGGAAACGGAAATCAGTACAAATGCCGTTAGGTCATCAGCAGCGGCAGCAACAACAATAATAGCAGCTGACAGCGACGTAAGCGTTGTGCTTTATTTTGGCATTGATGTTTGTGCTGTTGTTGTTGCTGCGCTGCGCCGTTTCGATGAGGCAATAACAACACCTGCCCGACGTCTTCGTCGTCTTACTTCTTGGCCTTTGAACTTACCTTAAATTTTCAGCGGCAATTTTTATTTTTGCAAACTGTTTCTTCATGTTGTTTTTGTTGTCGTCGCCTTGCACACAGTGGTCGTCAGTGTTTGAACGTAAGATGCACTTTATTGTTGTTACTGTTAGTGTGTAATTAGCTCGACATTCAATATAGTTAACAAATTAGTCATTCTCCAGCGACGTTTGAACGAAAAATGATGTAAAGCAATGTTGCAAGCAGTGATGTGCGCTACCTGAGCTATCGAGAAATTTTATTGCTGTGGCAACGCCCTTTGCAGCTGTGTTTAGCGGGCTGCCAGCTGTTTACTTTTATTGCGGTTGCACGTGTGCCGCGCACAGAGCATTAATTTAATTTGTTTTTTAAGAATTGTGCTGCCAAAATGACTGATACGGACATAGTAAAACGCATTAGAGAATACTACGATCGTGAGAATGGACTGGAAAACTCCAAGAATGAGAATTTAATCACAAACGTAAAAAATTTCCAGCTACAAGTGCTCAACATATTGACAGACCATCTCATACCTTATTCTTATACCAATAATGGTGAGTGCATCCGAAATTAACTTAAAAACGTCGATCCAACAATTGCTAAAATTCTCCCTTTAGATGAAGAGGAAGACGATTATGAGGAATACTTACTACCTGACGATGAGAAGTCGGCGAAAAAGAAACGCAAGGCGCATTTGTTAGCCGTCAAAAAAAATGGGAAGAAAGCATCTGCAGCCACTTCAACAATGTCAGACAATGATGGAGAGGATGTTGACGAGCGTATAGCCTCCATCAAGAACAAATTGCGTCAAAAGAAACGACCGACTACAGAGCGTGCACAAAGGAAACGCGAGGCCAAGAAACTTAAGCGCAGTAAAGGAGTACAAAAAATACTGCTATCTTCCGCGAAGTCCCTGAAGAATGAAAATGTCAAGCAGCAAAAACTGAAAAACGGTTTCGTCAAGCTGGAGGAGAACGGTGAGGAGGCGGATAGCAAAGCTCAAATTAAACCTGTCAAAGTGCAACCAGTCTATAATGAAGAGGCAAAAATAGTCTACTCGAAGGTGGACTTCGCTGCAAATCCCGGCGGCAAGACAAAGAAGTCCCATCAAAATCCTCGCGAAATACTCAAAAAGTTAAAAGACACACGGAAACAAATCAACGAGTTGAAGGAGCAGGGCGAGACAGAGAAAGCTGCTGAAATGCAGAATGAAATAGCCTGGAAGAAGGCTTTCGAAAAGGTTGAAGGCAAGAAAGTCAAAGATGACACAAAACTTTTGCAAAAAGCCATCAAAAAACGCAAGGTGGAGAAGCGCAAGTCTAAGGTCAAGTGGGTAGAACGTAAGGAGCGCGTCGAACAGGACATTGCAAAGCGACAGAAGAAACGACAAGAAAATCTAGATAAACGCAGCAAGGACAAAAAGAACAGAAAGCTGAAGAAAGCATCGAAGAAAGGTCGCATCATAGCTGGTTATTAGAATCCATGGGATCTAATGCTAACATTGTATAATTGATTAAAATAAGTTAAAGAAAAATAAAACTGTTTAACCTCCAAAAACATATTTTGCTTTGATTGGATACTTGCCGATGGAGCCAAAAAATCAAATTATATTTTATAACAAAACGCGAACTTTTTTACATTCTTCTTTATATCAAATTTTAAAATAAATCTATTAAAATGGATGATTTTTAAGGTTCCTAAAATAAATATGAAGTTATAGGAAAACAAATATCTAAGATGGAATTTTATTCGTTTCAAGGATGATATAAAAATGTGTTTGTTTACTTCACCAATGTGTCGGGTGATTTTGAAACTCGGAACAGACAAAACTAGCTCAAAGAATTTTAAACAATTCGACTCTAAACCCGCCGTTTTTTAAAATAATGTAAAGAATATAAAGATGGTTATGTAAATTTCATCTAAATCCTGCAATCTCATACCACCCACACTTGATGCTATCCCCAAGCAAAACTAATCAGCTCGACAATTAGAAATTGAAGAAAATCAATTGAATTTACTTGTTTTTTGAATTACTTGTTTTATTTTTCGTTTTCTAAAATTATACATCTTCCGGCATAAAAATAGTCCAAATTCCATGTGTGCGATTCGAAAACAAAATTTTCACATAGCCCAAAGAAATCCCCCGGCCTAATGTTATTGTTTGTACCACGGTACGTACCGCAGTCAAGAAGAAGAAGAAGATATAAAAGCAACAGCTGCTATTGAACAGCTGGTCCGCGATACTGCTGTACTTTGAGTGCGCACCAAACACAGCGTGACTTGCACAGCTAATTAAAGACAAGCGCTGAGATTTTCATGTTGTTGCGGATTTAACAGTTGAACAACTTGAAAACGCTGAAATATACAACGAAGGGTCGGACAACACATATGACCAAATAAAAAATCGCGATTGCTTAGTGGGCAAGAAGAAGCAGCTGGTGTGCAGCAGCAGTACCAGCCGAAACAGACGACAACGAGCAGCGCGCACGAAACGACGTGTGTAGAAGAAATCAAGAAAAATCGGCACACACTCACATAGGGAGAAGAAGATAGAGCGCAATCTATTTTATTCACATTTCCACCGAAAAAAGGCAACGGTAGCGAAAGAAAATACACAATTGCGTCGTACAAACAAGCCAAATAGAAAAAACGGTGGAAAAGTTAATACTTGTATGGAAAATCTGTGAAAATCAGTGTGCAAACGGCAAGAAAAATCAGCAACGGGAACTTACGCACCTCCCCTCTCACGCATGTAAAAGACTCGCGCGTATTTATGCAACCAAAATAGTTAAAGAACAAACTGGAACACAATAACAGTGTGTTTGCGTGCGTTGCGAGCGTGTGTGTGTGTAGGTGCGTGCCAGCTGAGACTTCCGTAACAGCGGCACAAATAACAGCAACAGTGGAAACGGTCTAAGCCGGATCAGCCACCACGTCGTCCAACACTATGAGTATGGTGCGGCGAATCATTTTACTTGGCCCAAAATACAGCGTCTGGGCCAAAGGTAAGCGAATAACACCAACAACACACCACACACAAATTTTGATTTGATTTTTGTTGTGCAAAAATCGCATACGTAACTGCGTCATTTGCGTCGCGCGGGCGTCACGTATCTACATGCATACATACACGCATATGTATATGTGTTTATTTGTAGCTGCTTTTCGGCTGTGCAGTGTTGCCAATTCTTGAGCAGCAAAAGCTAGATCAATTGATTAACAAAAAGCTAGAATGCTTATAATATTCCCAGCTTGTATGCGGCTTCAGAATTGTTGTCACACTTAAATCTACGATCATCAAAATTATTTCTTATACATAATATGCTTACTTGATTTAAAAAAAAGCCAGCTGATCTGCCGAAAAAGTCAACCAGCTGCAATTTTTCAAACAGAAACAGACAGAACTATCGGGAAAATAGCTTTATTTCGAGCGCGATGGCGTCTTTGTCCATAACAGAGTCGTCAGTTTTGACTGTGAGAGTGAGAGAGAGAGAGGCAAGCAGACAAAGAGGTAGGGACGCCTATTTGCTAATTGAAAACAATACAAACACCTTGCTCTTGCTCTTTCTCTTCTCGGTCTTTTCTCTCTAGCTCGTTTGCTTATCAGAAATTTCTAGCTTGCTTTTATTTTATTTATTTTTTTTAATTGTTACATTTAAACACTGTTTGCCACAGCAAACGCTAAACGGCTCATGGCGAAGGTCGTCATGTTTCGATATCAGACAGAAACAGCTTTTCTCTCTCGAACTGAACAGCAGTGCCTTAGTCTAATGGGATAGATAATTATTCTTCAGATAAGTCGAATACAATATTATCAACAAGTAAAAGTAATTTAAAATAAATTGGGCAATATTGTTGTCTAAACACCACTAAGTTGAAGGTCAAGTCTACGGCGCTGACAGCATTATTGCTAATAATTTTGCTTACGTTTTTCCAATCAGAAAACGCACATAATATAAGTCTACAGCGATTGTTATTGTTGTTGTGGCCGCTGCTGCTGCGACGCTTGCTTGCGCATTTGAGCTGAACTTGAATTGTTTTATGTTTGGCTTTAATTATTGCGTTTTCTTGTTGTTGCTGTTGACGCAATGATCTGGTTGGCGCACTTTTTTCATTCACGTTCGTAGGCCAAGTTTATTTCGTTTTGTGGCTTGTTGTGGTTGTATTGATAATAGATATTAGCTAGTCATAAAAAAACTGAAATCGTTCGACAGCATCAACAATGCGGAAGTTAGTTTTCTTCGATTGATAATCTTGCAGACAATGGCTAAACACTGACAAAAATAACAGATGAACTTTGAAAAAAGAATAAAGTCCGCAACATTAAAAAAAAAATTATTTTATATACATATACATACATACTTATGTACTTATGTACATACTTATGTATGTATGTACATATATTTAAAAGAATAATTAAAATTTAAGTTAAAAAACTGAGTTTTCAAGCCAATCATATTGTATCAAATAATTCCATGAGAGTAACTTGAAGTAAGCCAATTGGGTTAAGGTTTAGGCCACCGAATGTATGTATCTTTGTTGTACAAATCCAAAAACAAGCTTTAAAAATAATTTTAGTATCGTAAGCGTTGTGATGTTATAAGTATGTATATAAAAATGTTGCCATTTTTTGTTGGCAATTTTAAAATTGTGTCTCAAAACAATGACTGGTTTTTATTAGGGTTAACAGGTTTTCACTGTCAATTTCGCTACCGTAACGAAAAGTAGCCTAAAACATTTCTCACATTGAGAAATCACTGAATTCAAAAAAAAATTACGTATCTACATACATATGTATGTATGTAATAAATAAATAAATTAAAAATAAATAATTGTTAATGCCAACTGCTGAGTGCTTCCCCTTCTCTGCACTATGTAAGTGCTAATTGACCTTCGCTTTCTATTTTATTTTCGAATAATTTCTTAACCATTTAAGCACAATCGATGTGCGGCCATATCTCGCAGAAAGTGACCCCTCAAGTCAAATTGAGTTTATTGCATTTATTTTCGCCCTTAATCACTGGCACGAGTATTTATAGAAACAATTGTCGTCTACTGTCCACGTTAATGAGACATGACACATATAGTGGCGTTGTTGACCTCGAGTTCAATGCGCTCCCATATACGAGTACATATGTTTGGATGCATATATGGATCTAGAGATGGGTGTCTGATGTGCATAACAAAATTGTTGTATTTAAATTCAAAATGGGAGTGATGCAAAAATTGTCGTTTATTTCGTGACCGCACAACCTAACCGGTTGATATAATTACATTAATGTATTTAAACAACGCAAACTTTTAACTTGAAGTAGAATATGCGGCCCCAACAACATATATGTTTGACGCTGGATATGTGCATATACTTACATAAGTAAAGTGTGTTGAAGCCAATAGAAGATGCATTGGAAGAATATGAAAGCTTTCCACTTCCAATGTTCCGAAGCTAAAAATGATATATTTATTTTAGCTATAGATATCCAACAAATAAAGCCAATAATTTAAAAGACCATTTTTTTAATCGCTGTACTGTTCGTTGGAAAAAGGCTTACAATCCCTAGTTATTTACACAAAGATCTATAACAACAGATTAACTTATATCAGATAAATATTGCTACCCTTACAAACTTCTCTGCAAATTATGTTTTCACGCTTCCATTTCCATCATTCACAATTAAGTTGTTTCTATCAACTCATCAACAACTGAAATTTCATTCAATCTAATTCTCCTGCACTATCTCTTTTTGATTTTAGGCAGCAGCGTGAACAACACACAGCATGCCAAATACGTTATACTGAGTACACGGGCGATTGGTGCCCGAGGATTTCATCTGGCCACTCCAACATGTGCCGCAAACAGGCAACTGAGGCTCGAACCGGCATTGGCGATTCCGACATACATCGATATAACAAATGCGGTGACCATCAAAGGGTGCAGCAGCAGCAGCAGCAACAGTTCCAGCAGCTCACTAGGCTCCGGCGGCGGCACAACATCGTCTAAACCGCCAGGTGTGCCAGGAGGTGGTGGTAGTGGCGCCAGCACCACCAGCAGTGGCGATCCGCCTGGTGGCGGCGATAAGATGCTCGCATGCCCGAAATGTGGCAGCGCCTGCACTCAGGTCGAGACATTTGTGAGCTCGACTCGTTTTGTGAAGTGCGCCAAGTGCAATTACTTTTTCGTGGTGCTCTCCGAGGTGGAGACGAAACAGCGCGTTAAGGAGGAGCCAAAGAATCAGCGCAGGCCGCCACCACCACCCCAGAAGATCATGGAGTACTTGGACAAGCATGTGGTGGGACAGGAATTCGCTAAAAAAGTGCTCGCTGTGGCCGTTTACAATCACTACAAACGCATCCACCACAATCTGCCTCAACTGCAACATCAGGGTAGTTCGGGAGGTGGAGGCGGCGGCATGGGCCTAGATGGCATACCCCGACCAGATCTGCTGCACATCACAGGCATCGGACACACGCTTAACAGTTCATCGGGCAACGAGCTGCCGCCCAAGACGCCTGCTCAAATGGGTCTAGGTGGTGGCCCCGGTGTCAATGGCTCTGGTCTGGGTGGCTTTCACAATAGTGGCGTCCATGGTTCCAGTCGCGGGGAAAGTCGCAGTGGCTCTGAGATACTCGATAAACAAACGAATGACGTCAAGTTGGAGAAAAGCAACATCATTATGCTGGGACCGACAGGTTCCGGCAAGACTCTCATTGCGCAAACCATTGCGCGCTGCTTAGATGTCCCCTTTGCCATTTGCGATTGCACCACGTTGACGCAGGCCGGTTACGTGGGTGAGGACATTGAAAGCGTGATCTCCAAACTGCTACAGGATGCCAATTACAAGTGAGTAGACAGCGTTCACCAGCCGATGACAGAGCTAAACTATTCTATCTGCAGCGTTGAGCGCGCCCAGACTGGCATTGTGTTTCTGGATGAGGTGGACAAAATTGGCGCTGTCCCCGGCATTCATCAGCTGCGAGACGTGGGTGGTGAGGGTGTGCAGCAAGGCATGCTCAAAATGCTGGAGGGCACTGTGGTCAATGTTCCCGAGCGTAATTCGCCGCGCAAGCTACGCGGAGAGACCGTACAAGTGGATACTACAAATATACTCTTTGTTGCCTCGGGCGCATACACCGGGCTGGATCGCCTCATAGCGCGTCGGTTGAACGAGAAGGTAAGGTATTATAAATAGGTAGTGATAGTTAATTAAATGATTGGCAGCAAGAGAACTAAATGGTTTTTATGACTTCCACCTTTAAGTGGGTTCAAACTAAGTAAAGTTACGAATCGATGTATCTTTGTTCGTCCGTCTGTATGAACCTCGAGATCGTTTGAACCATAATTGGTAGAGACACCAAACTTGTCATAAAGACTTATCGTTTACAACTACAAATCATATATAGCTTCACTATTTTATACAGTTGTTATGGGAACGATTAGTGAAAAAAATCACAGAAGAAAAACATTTTTCCTTATTGTTAATTTTATAAAAGTTTAAAAACTGAAAAATCGGTCAAAAGTATTGATAAATAATAGTACTCCCTTATTTAGATAAAGATTACAGAGTTAAATATTGTTTCTATAATATTTTGAAATAAATATAATATTTTTGTAGTATTTGGGCTTTGGTATGCCCTCAACCAGTGGTTCCGGTCGCCGCGCCGCTCAATCAGCCGCAAATCCCATGGACAATGATCAGGAGGAGCGTGATAAATCCCTGACAAAGGTGCAGGCGCGTGATCTCGTTGAATTTGGCATGATACCTGTAAGTACATATCGCAAACAAAATATAAACAATCACTGAATACTGTCTCATATTTGTTTAGGAATTCGTTGGTCGTTTTCCGGTTATAGTGCCCTTCCACAGCTTGAATATAAATATGCTGGTGCGCATACTCACCGAACCGAAGAACGCTTTGGTGCCACAATACAAAGCGCTCTTGGGCCTGGATGAGGTGGACTTGACATTTACTGAAGAGGCGGTCAAATCAATTGCTACACTGGCCATGGAAAGGCACACGGGCGCACGTGGCCTGCGCTCCATTATGGTAATTAGACGTCAGCATCTATTACTTAATCAATTATATATCTAAAAAATGTTTTATAGGAGCAACTGTTACTCGATCCCATGTTTATTGTGCCCGGCTCGGACATCAGAGGTGTGCACATAACGGCAGACACAGTGCGCGGCAAATCGACACCCATCTACAGTCGCGACACAGACGACGCTACGGCGAGTAGTGGATCAACGGATGCCAGTTCGGAGAATTCAAATGATGATAATAACGATAAGAACTTTGAGGATAGTGAGAAAGTACGACTTAAGCAATAATTGCAAAAAGTCTAAACACAAACAACAAACAACAGAAACAAAAAAAAAGCTGCGTCGCCAACCAAAAAAAAAAAAGCAAATCAAGCATTGCAATGCTTTTAAATTTGATTTAGTTATTTAGTTTGCGCTGCTATTAATTTTAGACTATTCTTGTTCGCTTGCGCATAGAAAGCTCTGATGTTACACACTTAAATGCTTTTATTTATGCGTCATTTACAGTGCTGTGCAAACTACAAAATAATTACCAACATACTAGCATATACTGTTTTCCACCATACACTATTAATATGTTACTATATTTTTAGTCTTGTGTTTCTGATACTTTGGTTGGTGCGTAGCCCCGACTCCCAAGAATGCGTTGCAACTCATTTTGAACGGCTCACTGGCGCATTGTGAATATTTGTGAGATGCTCTGAAACTGATGCAGCGAGCCCCTTAAAGCAAAGAAAACCAATTATTTTGTTGCGCTTTCAAGCCCTTCAAAAATCGAGTGCAATGTTAATAATTATTAACAATTTCTCTGTGCTAAGCAATTGTAAAAAAAATTTTCACTAGAAATTTATACCGAATAATAACAATAAAAAAAAACATTTTTAATTATATAAACAATTTGATAACAAACAAAACATACGTATGTTGATATAGCAATTATAATTATCATAACTCCAAACAAATGCATTAGTTAAAGAGTTCAAAATTTTTGCTAGTGTATTGAACGACGACGTGAGATACAAATATTTTAAATTAATTAATAAGTTAAAGAAAATGAGAGAAAAAACAATAAATAAAAATTATAAAATTAAATTAATTTTTGTTACATTTTTATATCAGCTCCCAAAACATCAAATGAACATTTTAAACAGTTTTTTTTTTTGTTTTTTACTCTACATGAAGAATTTCTTTCAGCCTTCGGCACATACGAACTTGACAATACATATGTACCTTCTAAAAAAGCATACCGGATGGGACTTTTGCATATCTCCCGGAGCCGGCATTATACAAACGGCATTGGGCCAGCAATTCTGGAAAATGTGCAAAGTAAATCTATTGTCGAGGCTGAAAAAGCTTGTCTTCTCCAATACCCCAAAGAAAACAGATATTAAGAAATAGGCGCTGCATGTAAAACGTAATTGCATTGTTTTTGAATTAAATTAAATTTTTATTCAACTAAACAAATTTGCACAAATTCATTTCACTAACTACTACATCATAAAAATTTGCTCGCTTTTTTATTTTCGTTTTTCAACTCATAATAAATAATATTTTAATTTATTGCACATAAGGACTAAAGTTGATTTATTTTTTGGGGTTTTTTCCGTTCATTTTTCTCGTAGTGTATAAATTTGTATAAAAATTTGTAAGTAAATAAATATCTTTGTTGTATAAATTCGCTGGCAAACAAAAATTCAATTTCCATTGCGAGCTCTAATCATTCTCTTCGGTAATGAGCAGTTCGTATTCTTGTGCCGCAAAACGATCCCAGTCCGAGGTCTATAACGAGAAACAATTTTAATCAAATTTCCAAAAAGACTTCCTTAATTCGCCTCCACTTACATATTCATCACGCTGCGATGCAAATGGATCCCGCTGTTCGTGATCCAAATATTTCTCTAAATTGAAGAACGTATCGAAGAAGACGTGCGTCATTTTACAGCGCTTCAGATCGCCGAGAGTAATGCAATCACGATTTGCTGGCTTTATCATATCGAGCATCTGCAACAGATAACATATTCAGTTTTAAAGTAACTCAAAAATAAATTGAACAGAAATACACTGTGTGCAGACAGGCAGATAATCTGCACATACTATAAATTGGAAGAGTAAACCTTAAGGAAAATGTAACCAACACTTAATAATAGAAAACTTTCCTTTTGTATAGAAATTGGAAATCACAAAATTAATTTTGTGTCACGGCATTTGGAGATTACAGATTATAGATCCTTTTATAGCCTTTTCAAAAATTAAATACTTCTTTACCATGTCGAAATAGTGTCACTTCATAAAATTAAGTTTAAAATATGTGTTTGAATATAGAGTGCGTTTTTCGAAAATGTCGTCGGGATGTCTATTTTGTTCATTAAATAACAATTTGCGTTATTAACTAAAAACTGCAAATCATTATGAGTTTTATACAATTGCTTTATCTTGGGTGTGCCTGGGAAATTTTTCAAATCAATATGACAAGCATTATTTTTTTACACTTTGTAGTTCCCATCCTTCGAGCAACTGCAATTAACCGTTTTTTAATGTCGAGAGACATTGGCTTCAGCAGCGGAAAAACTTTAATTATGTGGCGGCCAAAAAAAAAGTACAAAAACCATATCCCCAACTTGTACTTCATATAGACAAAAGTAATATTTTGTAGATCCAAGGGATTTTCAATATTTTTGTTGTCGAAAATTTGCTAAGCTGGTCTTTTTTTAAAAAGATAAAAACAATGTAGACAACATTTGAAATATCTCTAATTCTAATAATGCTTTTATTATTTTGTAGATAGAAAATATTGTGTGCATTGGAAATGAAATGTTTAAATAAATATTTTTCCAATTGTCTGCTATATTCAGAATTAAACAGCCTTAATTTGATTGACTTGATATATTGAGAAGTCTTGTGAGTGGCAATGTTTTTTAATTTACGCCTCAAATTTAAATCACAAATTTTATTTTATTTTCGTCAATAATTACTTATTAATTTTTAGCTTGGATCAGAGAAAATATTCTCAAATTTGATATGGTTTTTTTCTAATACAAACTTCATTTGTAACTTTCTATAGCTGTCTATTATTCCTAACAAATAACATATTTAGTTTTTTCACTTTTTCAAAAATTTTATGATTGCACGCAATTAGACGCAACTCTAATAAGCCTTTTGATTGATGCGGCATTAAATAATAGCTCAATATTTGAGAAATTGATATACTTGTACTATTGGGATCAATTTCTCAAATATTGAGCTATTACACATTATTGCCTGAAAACTTAATCAGTTTCTCTCCCAGTTTTCTCAATTCTCACCTGACACAGACAATCCTCAAAGGGCAAACACTCAATGCCAATGCCCTCCATGCGCTGCTGCTGCTCCTCGTAGAAATATTCCAGCTCGTACATGGAAAGCGCTCCATCGCCATCGATGTCCATGCATCGGAACCAATACTCGATGGCCGTGGCTGTGCGTTTATCCTCCTCGGAGAGTATAAACCAAACGAAATCTGTGTACGACATTTTGGGCTCATCCTCGGGCGCCTTTTTATTATCGGTGCGTGTCACACAGCCCGAGAAAATGCGCTCCACAATGCGGGTGGAGAGCGCATGATCACTATGTCTCGCCAAATCCTCCTGATTGATGAGCAAATCGTGATCCTTATCCAATTCCCAGAACTTGCAGTAGATCACATAGAAGTGCTCATAACTGAAGAAGGCCATTATTTGATTGATGTCTTCTTCCTCCTCCAGCAAGCTAATCATCTGTCAAAAGAAATTATATTTTAATCATTGGCATAAGATCAATGTCATCCATTTTTGGAGAAAATAAATTGGTAAAAAATCGTGATTTCTTGCTATTTTTAGTCGTACTTTCAAAACAAAAATGTCTATATTTGTTTTTGATCGAATCGATTGGGTTTGAAAGCAAATAAATAAGCTAAATGGCAAATGTTATTTTTGGCGAGAGTCTCAAAGGGATAATAGCGTATTAAATTGAGTTTTAATTTAAATTTAAATTAAACCAAAATTTTAAAACCCCAACAACCGAAAATCCAAACTTTTCAATGCTTTTTTTCTTGAAAGTTCTTAGATACAGACCCACCGAAAAGTTTCAGATTTAATTTTCGTTTCATCAACAAACAGCTACAACATTTTCGAATTTGCAAATATTTCATAAATCATAAGCTTGTGCTATCAGTTTACGATTTAAACTTAGAAAAGATTCTTTGTTTATATAGAATCGATAATATATTAACAAACAGATCTATTACATACACGTAAAAGTATCTAACTCTCAATTCAAATTCCACAGCAATGAAGATACTTTGAGGATATTTCAATCAATCCACAATTAATTTGGAAACAAAGCATAGTTTATTGATTCATTTTTTGCAACTTAGATTTGTTCTCAGAGTGTTTCCAATTTGGCCTTCAAGTTTTAAAATCTTTTAATGTTCGATTTTAAGCTACGCCCCAACTGTGTACTATACTTTTCTGCTATTTATTGCTATATTCAAATATGAAAATGTTTTAAAAGAGCTTACCTCCAGCAGATCAGAGCGCTTTAGCTCTGCGATTGTTATCCTTCCGCTCCAACTGCGATTCACCGAATAAAAGATGCGCGCGATGACTGTGTGCACGTATCTGGAATGAAACTCGGTGGCTTCTTTGAGAAAGGCCAGTCCCGGATGCGTATCGACCACGTCCTGCACCATTGGCACCAGATCCTCGCTCACAATATAGCTGCGAAAGCGTTGACCCCGCGACAAAATGTAGACAAAACGCGAGGCAGCCTCATGGCAATAGACGTTCATTCTGTGGAATAGAATAGTTACTCGTCACTGAAGTAATTTTTTAAAGGGTATTTAGAGCTGATCTATCAGCTCTATCAGAAAAGTAATCCTGTCATATACTAATCCAATATGGGTTGAGAAAAAAAATATTTCCAACGTAAGGAACAGTTATCAGAACTACTTTCTTTTTTGTTAGGTTCTGTCACTGAAGGACAATTTACGCATTTAGAGTTATCAGAAATCAATATAAAAACAATGTAAAGGCATCAATTAATTTATAAAAATGCTGACACATTAAAACAATTTTTCATTTAGAAGAGAAGTTTTTAAAAAATGAAAAGAGAAAAAGAAATGTCCGTTTTATCGAATCGGCTCAACAAACTCTATTCAATTAATATGAATTAAAATAATAATAAAATAATATAATGATGGAAAACATTCCATTTTAGTAAAAAAATAAATAAACAAATTTACAAATTAATTAATAAATTAATTTTAGAAAATATTATAGACTTCTTTTTGGAAAATTTAAAGCTCTCTAGTGGAAGGACTTACTGTTTCCAGAACTCCACGAATCGCTGACGCTCCACCAGACCCGTGTTGCCTGTCTGACAGAAGACCATGACCGGCATGCGCCAGTAGAAGGGCAGTCCGCACAGCTTGAGGATGCGCGGCAGCTCGTCTTTGGTTACCTGATTGTTCGGAAAGGAATCGAAGGCGGACAGTATGCCGCGCAGCACCCGCTCCATCGCAATGGTGGGCTGTGGCTTGCCATGTGGAAAATAGAATCTGGATGAAACGAAATTATTTCGATATGTTATTGGACTCGATCGACTCTGGGAATACTTGATGCACCTACCTGGGTATGTAAACGCTCTTTGTGTTGCGTATTTGCTTTTGTAGCGAGTTCTGTTCCTGTGGCGGCGGTGGCGGCGTTGCGTGCAACTTAACCTGTCAGGAAGCGGGGCAACAAGCAACAACAAAGCCAATTAATGTTTATCGACGCATCAACATGCCTACATACTTGTACTATATGTATTCTATGTATAGTACCTATGCGTGTTTTGTTTACAATTGAAATCGCAAATAATTCGCATGCCATCTGAAGTCAAAATATTTGCCACTCAATAAAATTTTGAAATTATTTTTTTTTGAAAAATTCTACGAATACAATGGTTCCTAGAATTATTAGCAGCGGGAATGGAAGAAGAATCGTAGCACAAGAATTCGACAGCATTGAGTCTGGGACTGAAATGCCACGCCCATTTCAAATGAATAGCCTAAAATAACAAACGCCTCTTTTAAACACACACGCACACCCAGGTAGACAGACAGAATGCCCAAATTAGAATTTATGCTAAAATGCGCTAATTAAATAAACATATTTCCTCTGCATCTATATTTAGGTATAGTACGTAGGTGAAAGGCACAATTAAATTTGTTTAAATTTACTCGTCAGCCTGTCTGTAAATATTAATGGGGAAATAGAAGAAAACATCGCTCGTGTCGAAAGTGCAATGTGTGGCAGCGAAATATAAATATTGATATACATACTATATGTACACATGTACATACATACATACATACATCTGTACATGTTAAGGTGCTTCAGACAAGGGTCTGGTTAGTAAACATTTTACAAAACCCTGAGCACGCAAAACTGAAAAGCAAAACAAAAATGTGTGTAAAAATGCATTGAAATTGAAAATTTGGAAAACGAAATGCGATTGCAAGGGGATTGTGTGTGTTTTTTGCTTCATGTAAAGGTATTGACGAGTTCTTGGAAGTGAATTAAAGAGCTCATTTGAAAATGATTGTGTATTACAAGTATTGTTGTGACTTGTTCTACAAATGAAAACTCACAAACATCAGAATGGGTTTTCCTCAAAGGTCAAATTAACTCTACAACCTTCACTTAAAGCTTTTAGTCAGTGGATGGCGAATAGTGGTCATACCAAGAGTAAGTTGTTCCCCTTTTGTAGAGCCCAACAGACAGCTCACTTGTGGCATTAGGCATTAAGTAAGATATAAAGGAATATTAAAGGGACTAAGAATAAACAATATTTGGAAAGTTTCTGATATACTTGTAGGTTGAAAAATAGGTTTTTTGATATTTAATGGTATATTTTATTTTAAGCAAAGCCCGCTGGCCGATTCATGGAAATAGAGTGGCTGTAGAGGAATGACTGGCCAACTGGCGCCTCGAAGCCACTGGAAACTAAACATGTTGCTTTAAAACTTAATATATGCGATTGCCCTTCGCTATGGTCTAAGGAGTGCTATGACCTACAGTCTTATAGTACCCGTGCATATAAAACTCAAAACGTACATTCTCCACTGAAATTTAAATATATAGTCCCTTTGTCTATATGTATGCAACCATAAACCCAATTCGGACCCAATTTGACGTTCAGCTATAGAGAATGAACCCAATCTAAAATTCTGAAAATCAATACTAAAGCAAATTCGCAACAAAAATTCCCACAAACACCTAAACATTCGAGCAATAAAAACATAAAAAGCCTCAGACTCAACGTAGATCATTCGACAAACTAGGTACGCATCAGATCCACTCTACAAACCCATATCGAGGCTGCAAAGAAATCACCACCCAGTCTAGTACCTGAATCTAAGAGCCGTTTAGAAAATATTTCTCCAGCGCAGGATAGTTTGAATGACTCCTATACTGATTTTTTCAGCTGTAGACTAGGGATTAATGCAACACATTTTGCATTATTATTCACATATGTACTCGTATATAAAAGAAAAGAAATATACACAAGTGAGATTTGGGCCAATTTAAAATAATGGAAAATTTCTAATTTGGTAGACTACTGTCGAATAGTTTGACTTATAATCTGATGGATCTGCATTATTTATAGCTTGTGCAAATAGTATTCAGTTTTAATATTATATATATATTTTTGCAATTGTGTACATTCCTCAATTATTCAATCGTACAACAAGTCACGAATGCGAGCTTAAAGGTACTTAAATGTTTGGAGTGAAAAGTTGAATAATTTTTGATTAATTAATTAATTTAATGACTTGATTGAACTTATTTCTGAATTGATTGATATTGCCGAGGGTTAATAAGCGTGCATATTCGATTTTAAATATAAACTTTAAATAGTTCTGTGCAGTAATTAGATTTTTGTACAAGTGCTATTTGAAAATTTAATTATATAATTATAAATATATTTTCAACTTTTATACAAAATATTTCACTTAGGTTGAGCTGTGATAGGAGACTTATAAATCAGCTCATTTATAATTTAAGCTTCAAATCTCTCTAAGACTCTCAAAATCTCCAAATATACCCGTAGTTCGCATTCAAACTTACATAGCGACCTCAGATGTATGGCCAGTTCTTAAATTTATGCACGATATTAAAACTGTCAGCGGCGACATTAAAATTAATCTTCTTTATACGTAATAATGTGAAACGAGCCGGCACAGTATACAACTACAACAATAATGGCATGTCTGTGTACACACATTACGTATACGTTGTGTGTGTCGATAGCAAAAATATTGCGTATACGCCTAGTTGAGGAGCTCGTAGAAAATATGTGTAGAACAAACAAAAACTCAATTAAGTATGCTAAAAGTTAATATAAATAACAGCAAATATAGCAGCTGTGAAGTATTTTGAGGAATGTATTGATTTAGAACTACTCGCAAAACCCAATCAGCCATGGAGCTGGGAAGAAAACAAATTGAATTCATTTTCTGCACTTACTCGTAGATCGCCAAGTTCAAGTCATCAGATGTGTTATGTCATACTTGTAAGCGTCAGAAATTTCATATTATATTGGACATCATCATCATTAATATATGAAAGCATCGACAATATTTAAAATGTGTTTTTTTTTCGGGGAGATACACTCATACATACAAACGTGCCTAATGCATAACAAAAATGTTGTACGGAGAACAAATCAACGTGTAATTAAATAATTAAACAATAGCAAATAGCAGCAAAAAGTATAATGCGCTCAGCAATTATATGTGCAGCTTGCTTTGCTCAAATTAACAATTACCTATATACACATAGAGTGCCTTTTACTTGTATTGTAGTTAGGGTGATTACACATATGTACAAGTATATATATAGTACGTATATATTTATATTTTTGTTGGCTTTCTGTACTTGCTGCTGTTGGTGTTTTGCACGATCGTGCTGATCGTAAATGCTTGATTTGTTTGGTTAGTTTGTTTATGCATATAAGTGGCCATAGGGGCAGTCAGAACGGGGGTCTTTATCAATCAAATCCTATACAAAACTAAACACTACACACTTATTACAAAGAATTTGTGCTAAATACGCAAAAACCGTTTGTTGTTGAGCAAGCTTAATAGCTCTATAAAAAATCTATTATAGAAAGTTTTTAGAAGATAAAAACAGATTTTTTTTCTGTGCCATACATTTTCATTTAGCGAGAATTTATTTAGTAATCTTCTTAAAAAACACTTATGTGAAAATATTAATTTATAAAGTTATGTTCCTCTCCCCAGCCAACAGATGTTTCATTTTGTTTGTAAAAGTTAATAATAAAATTTAGTATGTTAAAAATTTGTCCTTAAAAACTAAATAACTTTAAAACAAATGATAATTAATTTTAAAATCCTTTTTAAAATGCAGCTTTTTAAAAAACTACTTTTCATCAATGGACATTATTTTAATAATTTATTTAATTTGATTAAATTAGTGAATCAAAGATCTATTAAATTTCATAAACACATATTGCTTCAACGGTCCCTATCAGTTATTTTTAGGAACTTCAATGTTTGTAATTCAATAAGTTTCATTTGTAATTTGGAGCAAATGTGAAAAGTTTCGCTATTAAGGGCTTCTTTCACTAAATGTTGTACGTTTAAATTCTAATAGCTAATGTAAGCATCTCTTCGCTTGGTTTTCATTTTGGAAGTCCGTTGTCCAAATATTCATTACAAGTCTCATTCCATTGTTCTACTCTAACGAATATTTTTAACAACAATTTTTTAGGCATCTCTGAACTACTTAAAATTCATAAAAGTGGCAAAGGTTCACTTTAAATCTCCTATTACATGTGATTCGGAAATATATACTTAAATTCTACAAAATTCATAAACAAAACTATTGTGCAAGTAAGTCCGAAAGGTTGAGAGTTTATCAGAAGACTCGGAGTTTAAACATAAAATACAACTGTGTTAAAGGGGAACCCTTTCAGCCTACATAAATTCAATCAGTTTTCGGACATTGACCTAATTCTAAAAAATTTCAACAATAGATGCCAAAAATTCTTTGCAAGAAAACAAACAAATTTTTAAGTAGTTCAGTTTCAATTTTTCAAAATTTAATGAATGTCTCTCAGTTTTCTCAAATATGACAGCAGGCATATGTCACAAACGAAAATGATACCAAGAGGTGTACGGATGTTTTGTTGCATGTGCCTGTGTGCGTCGGTCAATAATTGGGTTAGTCAAGGTTAATACTGAACTGTTCCAATTCTTGATTTTTGGGTATCATTCTGCCATCAGGTGTTGTTTATTTAATCTCTTGCCAGCCGGCATTTTTTGGGTATCCCTAATGCAATTGCTGCCCAATACTTTGCCACTTGGCAATTGTATCTAAGTATGTAAATATTGTATGTATGTATGAGAGAATCTCTGTGTGTGTGTGTGTGAGTGTGTGTGATCGTTTGGCAAACGAAATAAACGTGGCGTTTTGGCGTAACCTTAAATCAATCAATGATGTTGCTGCTGCTGTTGCTGCTAATGCTGTTGTTGTTGCAGCGATAACGAGCGATGGCGACTAAAGCACATGCCATTGTTGTTGCTGATATTGTTGTGCCGATTTGCACAATACACACACACATATATACATATTATATACATATATATATATATGTACATATATATAAATTTGCAATTTCAATTGTTATCTAACACATTTCACTTAAAAGTCGATCAAAAATCTTGTATTTTTGTTGTTAATATTTAATTTTTTCAACACCTACCTTAAGTAAACTTTTGGGCGGTGTGTCCACTTCGGGCCGTTTGATATTCAAAAACGAGTTGCGAACATCCGGACACTTTTCAAACATAAGCACGCGCTCAGCCACAGAACCGCGCGTCAATATCGGACGACCCACTAGAAGGTAAGAGGGGGGGAACACACTTATGAGTTTTCACTGAAATTTTCATATATTTTTTCATTCAACAATTACAATTCTTATCCTGGCCATTGGTGAGAGCTGCACGGCTGCCGCTTGTTGGTTTGACTTTATTCAATGTTGGCATCGTTGTGTTCGCCGATGTTGCTGACGTCGCTGGCGACGCATCCATGGATGTTGCTAAGCTGCTGGCAGCCATGTTGCTAATGTTGGTGTTATCAGTGGGGGTAGTACTGTTGCTATTGCTGCTATTGCGATTGCTCGCTCTGCGTGCCACGGCAGGCTTCTCCTTAGTCGCCGGCTTCTGTTCAGTGCTGCCACTTTCTTTGGTACTCTTTACTAATTTACTAACTGATGCTGTTGCCTTTGTTGTGCTGCGACTCATGACCAGAGCTTCACTATTTTTATTTTTATCAGTCAACGGCTGCGCATCCACAACGTCTACATTACTCGGCACTTGCGCATTATTCTGAATTATTGCATTATTTCCTTTTGTTGTTACTTTCTGCGCAGGCTTCGTAGATTGCTGTTGCTGTTGTTGCTCTGTTAATTTGTTGGCAACAGTGCTGTTTGCAGTCGCAACATTTTCTGTTAGCTGTTTGGCTACACCATTGCTGCTCTGTTGACGTTTTTTCGCAATGCTTGTAACAGTCGTTGGCTCTTTTTGTTTTTGCTGCAGCAATTCGCTGATTTTGAGCAAATTTTGCGTCTGCTCTAAAGCTAAATCTGTTACCTTAGTTGCGGATGCAGCTGCTACTTTTTTCGGTGATTGCAGCGGCTCTGTTGTAAACTTTGCTCCTGTTGCAGCCTTAACAGTTGCAGTCGATGATTTGTTGCCGCTGCCGGCTGTTAATGAGGGGGAGCCTGACTTTTGCAGCGTTGCCGACGATAATGAGGTCTTCTTTGGCTTGCCATTAGCTTGAGCTGTCGCTATTACTTCCGCATTGCTCGCCGGCGACTTTTTCACACTATTTTTGCCTCTTTGTTCTTTGTCCTTGATCACAAAGCTATTGACCAACTTCTTCAAGTCTTCTGTGCTGCTGCTGTCAGCGGAAGCGGCCGAAACCGCAGCAACATCGGAAAAGTCGCCAACAGTCGCCGCATTTGTGCACATCTCGAGCAGTTGCGCCGGTTCTAGGCGATGGGTCTTCCATGTGTGATAGATGGCATCGGCATGCTCATTAATTTTCTTGGAGAGCTCGGCAATTTCGGCGTTGGCATCGCTGGATGTGGACGTTGGAGAGGTCGCTGCAGTCCTTGGGGATTTGGGGCTGCCTGTTGTTGCTGCTGTTGCTGATGCTGCTTTGCGTGTGTTTGTTGTCGTTGTTTTTGTTGCACTCGTCACTGCCACAGAGCTGACCATGTTGCCACTGCTATTGGTGCTTAACTTTTTTGTTTTTGTTGTTGTCGTTGTTGTTGTTGCCGCTTGCATTTTGAAAACAGTGCAGCGAACACGTTAAATATGTTTCTCGTTTTTCTTGCTGTTTTTGCCTTTATTTATTGCCTTCAGTCCGCAATGTTAAACACGTTAACAATTTTCCTTTTCACGCACAAAAATTTCGAATTTTCGAAATTCACATTTCGTTTCATTGGATTTTATTTATTGTGTGTGTTTCAAACTTAATTCAATTTCATTTATGTTGTTGTTTTTAATGTAATAAGTTTGATGTTTATTGATATGTATGAATATATGATGTGTTGTGTGTGATACAATATAGCTGCAGCGAATGCGTCTGCTTCGATCTACATTCTTAGAGAGACTAACTTTGTTAGTGATGGACAGATGAGTCGATACATATGGTTTGATACATTTCAACACTTCCCCTCAAATCATATGTTCAAGAATTTCATTTAACATTTTGTTAGTAATTCAAAATTTTATATACTTAACGTATACCCAAACCCATCATGCATTCGATGTGCTTCTTTCTCGTTAGGTTTTTAGTTAAGGCGTCGGCTCGCATCTCTTCTGTGGGGATGTATTCGATGATGATTTCGTCTTTCTCCACTAGCTCTCGAATAAAATGGTGACGGATATCAATGTGCTTCGTTCGGCTGTGAAATACAGGATTTCTAGTAAGTTCGCCGGCACCCTGGTTGTCGTTGAAGATAACGATAGCGCCTTTCTTGCCCAAAACTTCTTCTATGAACAATTTCAGATGAATTGCTTCTTTTGCTGCGTCGGAAATCGCCATGTACTCAGCTTCGGTTGTGGATAATGAAACTGTGCGTTGTTTACGGGATTCCCAACTGACGGCTGCGTTAGCATACATGAAAGCGTAACCTGTGTACGATTTTCGGTCGTCGACATTTGAACCCCAATCGGCGTCGGTGTAGCCGAATAGGTCCTTGCCTGTTCTTTTGAAAATGAGTCCTTCTTCTGCGGTGCCTTTGAGATATCTGAGGACTCTTTTCGCTGCTTCCCAGTGCTTTCGGCCAAAGCATGAGTTATACTGACTTAATACGCTTACTGCGTGGGCTATGTCTGGACGAGTGCAAACTGCTAGATACATTAGCGAGCCTATAAGACTTTGATATGGGACGTTCTTCATATTCGCTTCTTCTGCCGGTGTACTTGGTGACATTGTTTTTGATAATTTTTCACCTGGTAACATTGGGGTGGATATGGCTTTCGCATCTTGCATGTGGAATCGATTGACGACTTCATTTGTGTACTTTCGTTGGTGAATCTTTATCTGGTTTGTTTCTGCGTTCTGCTCGAATTCGATGCCTAAACAGTATCTTAGGGGTCCCATATCTTTCATGTCGAAGGTTTTTGCAAGTTCCTTCTTAAGGTCGTCGGTTGCTTCTTTGTTGTTTGATGCTACCATGAGGTCATCAACATATATAAGAACAACTGTAAGTATATTCTCACTTCGCTTGGTGTATACACAAGGGTCTGCGCTGCAAGGTTCCAAACCAAGCTCTTGCAGCTTCTCGTCGAGCTTCTTGTACCATTGACGTCCTGATTGCTTTAGACCGTAAAGTGCCTTTTGAATTTTGCACACTTTGTCTGACTTGTAGGCCTCTTGTTCGTGACCACTGAGAATATGCTTTAGTTCTTCAGGTATTTCCACATAGATGTCTTCGGTAATTTCACCATTTAGATATGCGCTTACGAAATCGAGTTGTTGAATTTCCATTTCCAATTCAACGGATAATGCCATGAGCATACGTATGGAGCTCATTCGTGCAACAGGAGCAAATGTTTCTGTATAATTTACACCTGGTGTTTGTGCAAAACCTTTAGCGACGAGTCTTGCCTTTCGTCTCTGGATTGATCCATCCGCATTTCGTTTGGTTCGTAATACCCATTTCGTTTCGATGACCTTGGTGTTGGGCGGACGATCTACCAACTCCCACGTGTTATTTTTCTTCAGTGCCTGGTATTCTTCTAGTAAGGCTGCTTTCCATTCTTCACCTTCGGGACGAGCGAGTGCTTCTTCAGCGGTTTGCGGGTCCGTCTCTTCAACGTGGCCTTTTTGTTTAGAGGTGTTACGTGTTTCTGCTTCTTCAATTATACGCCTTGGCTTGGGTGGTCTTCCCCTTTTCGGCTTGGTGGTGACTGGGGTACTTATGATTCCATGATCCTTCGCATCTTCAACTTCATTTTTCATATTCACGGCATTGGTTGGTTTATTTAAGATTTCGACCACTATTTCATGGTTTCCCGTGATAAGCTGCTTTGCGTCGATGAATTCGTCATATTCGGAATTTCCTTCAAAATGATCTGTAAATTTTACATCTCGGCTCTTGAAGATTTTTCTCTCATCTGGACTCCATAGTCTATACGCTTTAGACTGGTTTTCGTATCCAATAAAAATACATCGTTTTGATTTTGGCTCGAATTTTCCTTTTCCAGGTTTCTTTTCTAGCATGTAGGCGATTGTGCCAAATTTCCGCAAATAGTTAACGTTTGCCTTTTTGCCGGTCCATAGAGTGTAGGGTATTTCACCATTTAGACTTCGTGATGGACACCGGTTTCTGATGTGATTCGCCGTGATGATCGCTTCAGCCCAGAAACTTGCTGCAAGTCCACTTTGAAGTAACATGCAGCGCGCCATATCGATTAGAGTTCTGTTTTTCCGCTCGGCTACTCCATTTTGCTGTGGAGTATATTCAACAGTTAATTCATGCTTTATACCAGCTTCTTTCAGCAGCCGAGAAAATTCAGAGTTTACATACTCTTTACCATTATCAGTACGCAACGTTTTGATTTTCTTTCCTGTACTATTCTCGACCATGCTTTTGTATTGTGTGAACTTACTTAATACTTCGTTCTTTTGTTTGACAAAGTATACTTCACACCACTTTGATTTGTCGTCAATGAATGTGACAAAATACTTCGAGTGACCATTGGACTGGGTGCGCATTGGTCCACAGACGTCGGAATGTACTAGTTCAAGGAGTTCATTTGACTTTGATTCGGAGTTCGGAAAGCGATTTTGTGTTTGCTTCCCCTGAATGCAGACCTCACACTGCTGCAAATTCTGTTTGACATCGGCCTGGATGCCTACCACTTTTTCAGTTTTGATCATACCTTTCAAATCGGCCTCGTTGAGATGCCCGAGTATTTCGTGCCATTCTTGAAGATCCTTCTTTTGCTCAGTTGCTTGAGCGACGTTGCTGCGCGATGGCGGCTCATTTATGTAGTACAGATTTGATTTTCGCAATGCTGTGACTATTTTCTCGCCTGTTTTGGGATTTAGTACTACTGCTCCGTTACGACGAAAGATGACCTCGAAGCCTTTATCTGTAATCTTAGAAACAGACATTAAATTTGATCTTAAGTCTGGTACATATAACGTTTCCCCCAAACTTGCAGTTCTTTTTGAGGTCTCTAATAAAACTTCTCCGCACCCTGCTATTTTAGCAGACATGTTATTTGCGAGCTTCAGTTTTTGGTTTTCACTATTTCTGACAATATTTTGAAATTTGTCCTTTTGAGAACACATGTGCGATGTGGCTCCAGAGTCTAGACACCACATTCCTTTTTCACCACATATTTGAAAAGCAATAGCGGTATTACTTGCGTTTTCAGGTCTTTCACGCTTTTCTTTGTTTTTGTTATTGTTTTCGAATTGATTTTTCGGCCTCGATCGGCATTCTCTGGCTTTATGGCCTATTTTTCCACAATTGTAGCAAGCTAATTTAAACTTTTCAGTAGGTTTGCTACTTTTCACTTTAATATAACTTTTTCGTGCAAACAATGCGTCACTGGACTCGACATTGTTGCGTTTTCGCGCTTCGTATTCTTCGAGCATTTTCGTTTTTAACGATTCCGGATCGGGTAGTTTGTCTTGCGTTTCGATCGCGACTCTAAACTGTTCGTATTCGTCTGGCACACTATACAATAGTAATATTGTTACAAGATCATCCATGATTTCCATGTCCATTTCGCGAATTTTGTCTACCGTGTCAAAGAAATTTTGCAAATGGGTATGCATGTCCCCACCATTTTGCATTTTCAACAAAATAAGCGATTTCAGCAAATGAGCTTTGCGCGCGGGACCTTTTGATTGGTATACACTTTTTAATTTGTCCCATAATTCCTTGGATGTCTCACAGTTTTTCACTTGTCTCAATTCTGTCGTAGAGATTGACAAAATTAAGTCGGATTTTGCTTTAGAATCATTCAATTCCCATTCTGCAACTTTTTCAGCAGAACTATTAGTTGGCAGCACGTTCTGGCCACTTACATATTTCCAAACATCGTTTTTTATTAATAACGCTTGTATCTGTATTTTCCAGGTATCATAATTGTCCCTTCCGAGGGGATCAATTTTAATATTTGCATAACTCATATTGTCGCACTTTTTCAGCGATTAATACTGTACTTTTGTTTTTCTAACACACTTCTTCTTACTTTTTTTTTTTTTTTGCGTTTGTTTACGTTTCGTGTTTTCGTTGATCGATTATTCGATAGTTTCACCGTGTACTTTTTCAACACTTTGATTTTTCACACGCTTTATGTGCTTAACACTGATTTGTGGATTTCAAATTTAAACGACCACTTTGTTGGCGTCAGTCACCAATACACACAAGATTTTTGCACATACACATGTACGTATGTACGTCTACCACATACACACATTTACATACAATTATGCGTCTATTGCATTGATTATTTCACAATGAATTCGGCATCACCAAAACTTTTATTTATTAGGTTTCACTAAGGTATATGAGCGCAGTGGAAGCGTGCTGGGCCCATAACCTGTTGTTGTTTTTAATGTAATAAGTTTGATGTTTATTGATATGTATGAATATATGATGTGTTGTGTGTGATACAATATAGCTGCAGCGAATGCGTCTGCTTCGATCTACATTCTTAGAGAGACTAACTTTGTTAGTGATGGACAGATGAGTCGATACATATGGTTTGATACATTTCAACAATTTAATTTCTTTAGATGTTTGCCAACATAATTATTTGTGTTTTTCACATTTTTTCCACTGCTTTACATTTGATTTGATTGTACAATTTCATGCGTTTCATTCACTTTTCACATTTTCCGTCTGCTTCTTAACTTCTCTCCGTATGGCGAATTCTATTTATAATATAA